AATGTCTATCAGCGCTACAGAGTAAACATTTAATCAATGTAAATAAAGATTAAAATATCAATATATATATAAATATAAATATTAATGTTAATCGTGTGCATATTTATGTCAAGAACGTTTTACTGCAGAAGAATCCTCAATTTTTCAAATTCATCTTTCCTATCAGCTTCGCCTCATAAGTATAAATTACATTTGTCCCAGTTCAAACTTCAATGGCGCCAGTGCAACTTCTTTTGTTCATCGATTCCATCTGAAGGAAAATTTTCGAATGAGAAAAACTCTACCAAATCAAAGTCTTCTAGGACTTAAACACTTGCTCTGATGATTTTGTGATGGCTCCCATTTGCTGACCATTTTCCCACCTTCACAACCACTTATCTCATTTAGAGGACATTTTTGACATCACCCCTTTCACACCTAGCTATTGTTTGACATTTCACACCAATTACTCACTATCCTTGCTAATTTCTCCCCGTAGCCGCTAAGCATGTATCACATCATCACACCTTTTCTTCTGTGATGTAGTTACTAGCAAGTGTGACTGGTTCATGCAAGAGAGCATGACATAACAGCTTCTAGCAAATTGCTGTGGGAAGGAAATTACTGCTTGCAGTAAAAGTGATGCGGCAATTTTGTACCGTAGATGGGTATTATATGTCTTAATAATGAATGGGTAAAGAGTTCAAAGGTCTTTGACTGAATTTAAAAGAGTAAAACTTCGTCGCTCCGAATTTGCTCTTTAACAGCTTTTTACTCTATTTTTCAGACGTAGAAAGTAAAATTTGAACTCCACGAATGTATTTGCTTTGACTGTAAATTCTGCTAGTTTGTGTACTTTGAATGGGAGGGGGGGGGGGTAAAAAAAGCAGCTTCTCTGCTTTCTCGTGTTTCATTTGAAAGGAGATGTTGTTCGTTCACATTTTATGGTGCTGATGTGTGCGAATTTCGCTAAGCAGTTCGAGTTACCCCGGCCTGTATTCGTTCAGGGCTCAGGGGGGAGGGTCTCTGTCCCCGGCAAGAACTGCTGTATTAATTACGGGTATACTAATGCACACATCTGTGGCGCTCTTGACGCCATGTGATGCGCTGCTGGCAATTACCTGAGAGCTCGGTGATTATTATCTTTCGCCTCCCCCCCCCCGTGTTGTCAGGGCACTGCGAAGACTTCAGCTGTTTCATGCGGGATACATGGGACCAATCCTGCTCGGGCGGGGTTGTTTCCCAAGCGTCTGGTCCGCGCACGGAGTGGTGTTTAGCGCCTTTCGACGTCGGTAATCCGCTAACCAAACCTGCCAACCTCGGACTTAGTCTGGGCAATTGAACGAAAGGGGAGGGGGGGGGGGGGGGAGGGGAGGGTTCACTTCCTCGATGTCGGCACCACCTTGGCGCTGATCCAGGTCATTCTCGACACGCAACCATCACTTTACATGCAACTTATGTCGTCAGTCGTGGGATTGGGACCCTTATCACCTATTCCCTTGTCCCCACATCGCTGTTCTCGTTAAGTTCACCTCCCCTCCCCCCCCCCCTCCCCCCGCCTCTGTGTAATTGTCTCGATATCAATGTTATGAATCGTGTAGCTGAGTCTCGTCGGAGCCATTACAGCCACAGCTCGCGCCCTTTTGCAGCCTACTCGATGATGATAGATGGACGACAGCGATGCCAGAACGATTCCAGTCTGCGCCTAACACGCACTTCCTCAGAACATCTCCTATAAATCACAACCACAAGATGCGTTTTAATGGCTTCGTTTTCGCGTAATCCTCCTGCTCATCGTTCGCGTGTGCTATACAAGGAATCTCCTTACTATAGTAATTCCTTCAGAGTAATGGCCCGCCACCGCATAAATGACTTACTGACCTCTGCTTGTGACTGCTGTTTAACCCGAAGATATGAGATCTTCGAAGAGGGCTCATTCTGGCGACCTCGCGAAGAGCTCCATTAATCCCATTTTTTCCGAATTAATCACTGGCCAAAATTCGATCAAAAAATGTAATTAATAAAATGGCAGATAATTTCTGTTATTTTTCTTTTTGGTTTAGAAAAACTTATAAATTTGCTGAGATTCTCTTCGCTTCATACTAAGGAAATGAAAGAGTCTATTTACCTATGTGAGAGATGCCGAAAATTAAACATAGCTACTAGGTTTACGAATAGCTTTTAAACACATTTAAATTTTTTCCTTTTTTTGTCTTTTCTCTCTGTCACTTTTGTGCTTCTTTTTTATAACTTTTTTCCACGGTTCATCTTGGCACTGTCTTGCCTATGACAGCACTCTGATCTCAACAACGAGATGTGAAGTTATAGACTTATCTTTTTCCTTCATGAAAGGGAATTGAGCGGAAAGCTAAGAAGTTCTGAATTTGCTCACAGCTTTCTTGTTTAGAATACCTATAAAAAGTTAAAGTTTCAGAAGTTTCAACTCAATTTATAAGACTATCCATGATTCCATTTTTTGGGTTATTTGCATTCGCTTCTAGATAAATCCTCAACTATTACTAACCCATTACTATGCCAGACTGAGACCTTGCACTAGGATCACTCCTCATAATGAAACCTTCGCAACACATGTTATAAGCTCAATATCTATAATTATCGGATTCTCTTACTTCGCATAAGATAGGGACTATATTCATATGCTATGTGATCTTTCATAGAACATGGTTTACACCACATTTATGTGTTTTTTTGGCGAAAAAATATGTTCGCGGACATGGCAATGTGTTTAGAATCTTGTGTGTTTATTTCATACTGTTCTATGCGCCCTTCCTCAGGATTCTAATGCGTTCAGAGTTTATGTAAGTTCTCTCCAATCGATTTTCTTCATTTTTCCTTATTTGCAAGTTAGTCTAGAATTTTCCCCATCTCAAGATTACAAGTATTATTTTCTTGTTCTCTGCTACGTAAAAAATTGGTTGCTCACTTTGTGCCTTAATCATGTACTTCAAAGTCTTGCAACCCTCTGTTGCCAATGCCACGCCCTTGTCGATGTGCCCCGCCCCCGAGAGAGGTGCGAACCTAGTCGTTGGGGTCTAATTGTACGGTTACCAACACCTCATCCCGGCTGTCGCACATATGCTTTTTTGGCTATGATTACCTCTTTTATAACAATACTACATATGTCACGCCCTTTTACAAAAACTTCATGTAAGCTTTGGTTTTGTATGTAAAATTACTATTTTTCTCGATACGAGCATTTTTATCTCACTTTCATTTATGCAGTAGAAAATTTTTCTTACTCAAGTGACTTGTTTTCTTTTGCTAGCTCGCTTTTCTTTTTGTTCTCGAGGGAACATAAGTTCAATATTTTACCTTCGCCAATGCAGTCACATTAATGTATCCATAGAATTTCAGTATTCAGTTCGCTACTTCTACCTATCTATCCATTTATCTCCGTCCTATTCATTCCTCTCTTTCCTTTTTTCACCGTTTTTATTAGCCCCATCCCCGGCTAGGCGCAGCAGATCTCCCATTATTGACCGATCTCCTTCGGTTTATTACGGTAGTCCAATCACGTCCGATACAAGTGTTCTTGACAACAGCAGTTGTGTTTGCCCGAGTATCAAATTTCCAAGCCTCTTCACTGCTTATATGAGCTTAATCGTTACCCAGTAGGATCGTATCACGGTTTGGTCCGGTTTTCTTAGCGTAAGAAAGTGTCACAAGAACACATCGTAAAGTAGATTGATGATTATGATTCTATCTTTTCGTTAGCAAAAAGGAGTAGTTGATGATTGCTTGAACGGATGCTTGAAAACTATTCGAAAGACTAATTAGGTTTTGGGAGGAAAAAAACGAGCCTTGTCAATAACACTAACATAGCTTTATTCCGTACACTTCTGAACTTCTAGAATTTTGAAGTTACGTGGATAATTTCTTTCACAATTTTAGACTTGATTGTCGTATGAAAACCGAAGAACTTACTAAAAAATACTGCCTATACAATTTTATTTTTCCTACCAGCTCCTACATGATGCATAAATAAGAAATTTTCTCAGAAGTTCTGTAATTTTTGCATTTTTTCACCTTTTCGTTCTGAAAGGCTTGAGACCTCCTACTGTCGCCATAGAAGGATAGTGCTTAGAATATATTCAAATAAAAGTTGCAGAAAAGAAGGGAACAAAAAGACTGAAAAAATCAAAGAAAAAATTTTTGTTTCTGGTCATGTTGGTGGGTAGACCTGCCATCCTTTGTGCATGAAACGAATTGAGGAAGGTCTGGGCTTGGAAAAGAGGACGAAAAAATTTGGTAAAAACCGAAAACCTGATAATCAAGGGTGTTATTTTCAGAACTTTTCAATTGAATTTCAGTATGATGCTAGTAGGTGAAAGTATTTATCTGTAATATCTATCAGCGCCTCTCGTTTCAAAGTCCAGTATCCGGTCTTTACGAAATGAGACTCAAGCACTGGGATCAAGCCAGGCCCATTCTCGTTTCCCATACGTAATGCCATCCTGCCCACTACATACTTTCCCGTATGCAAAAGGAAGTGGTGTAAGCACGTTTTCCGTCAAAAAACCAGCCAGGATCTGGTGATTGGCCGTTTTTCCACCGCTACGGCACCGAACCTGTTCCATTTTCCCGCTATGGACTCGGAAAAGTGCGCTCGAATGCGTTTCTTTTTGCACCGTCGAGACTTTTACTATTTTTCTTTGCGAATTTGTTTGCCTACGGATTTATCAAAGCGTACTTGAGAGCGAGGGAGTTAGTCTGACAGCTAGACTGACCTACCCAGATGACATTGATCCAGTGCCGGCGGCTGAGAATGTCGGCTCGGTAAAAGCAGTTCACTTGACCCATTACCTTTTATCTCCTTTGTAACGTCTAAGTGTCTATCTCATTTATTAAGTGCTTTTTTGGTATTGTCTTGATAGCTCTCAACACCTCGCCAATGGCAGAAATGGGTTGGCTCTGACCTGCTGCTCTTTCTTCTGGTCTTTTCGCTTACGACACCGTCGCTCTTCTTTATTTTTCGAATTTTTCTCGATAGAAAATTTTTCAGAAACACTCAATAAATGCGACTAATATTATAACACTATGTGGTTGAGAGTAGCTGCAGTATTTGGCATATTCCTATTAGCTGAAACATTCCAGGATTGTCCGTATGGGTAAGTATAAAAATTCGTTGATCCCACTCAACAAAATTTACAATTTCTTCTTCCAGGTGTGACTGTCTGCCCGATCCCTTAGCTGATTCTTCCTTCCTCTACGTTTGTCGATGGTCCTCCATAGCTTCAAACTTTACATTTTCCAACTCCTCCTCCATACGGTCGTTACAAATCGTATGCGAAAATGGGATGTCACTTCCCTCTAGCCTTTTTCGCACAATAGGATCATTGCAGCACCTGCGAATCGAGGTATCCCCTTTTTATTCATTTTTCTTTGTCAATTTTGTAGCGCATCCGTTGTTGACAATGGGATTATGATATAATTTGAAGGGAGAATAATTACGTTAGGGAGAACAGATTTCGGTTTACGATGTCCGCAGCATATGTAGGGGATGAGATAGGCATCTATTGCGCAACCGGACGGAGTCTAGGTGGGAACAGAACATTTGGCCCCCGACATGACGGGATTAGCAGACTGTATGACAGGGGCGATGCCTTCCCCGTTTAGTACGGGCGTTTTTTCCCGTTCAAATAACGCGTTTTGGGGCTTCGACCTTCGCAATGTCGTTCGTTTACGGGAATGATTCACCTCTTGTGGCCAGCCTTAGGTAGTCATAAATCAAAAACGAAGCTCCGCTGTTGTGGCTGTTCTGGCGCGCGGACACACACATTTACGGCCATCGTACTGGTAATAGTTCGAAGAGTTGCGCGAGTCTGTCTGGTCTCAGAAATGTTATGACATTATACGACAGAACCATCATAAATGTTACGTTCGGTATGACATAGTTTTGCTCATTTTGGCTGTCACCAGGAAGCTTGTAAACAGTTTCGTAAATAATTTGTTACTAACAGATAGGGTAAGCAAAGAGTAACTGGCAATATTTTCTACTTTTTCGAAAAGTAAAACTTCCAAGAATCTCATCAGATCTCGGTGCTGTAGCTGGTTTTGATGTTCACATATGCGATTTCAATACTTGAAACCATTTGCAGTGCCTTCCATGGTCAGCTCGAAGAGATTAGAAATTTCAAAAAAATCCAATTTCGTGGGTAAATGTAAGGAAATTCTCCTGTGAAGCACAAAAATTCTCCAATTACAAAGCCCAATCTTCGTTTTTGCTCAAACAGCCAAAGCTTGTATGTTCAATTGCCTGCTTTGCTTTTTTTCCTTTTCGCCATACGGCACTAATGAGAAACCTAGAGATTCAAAAAGTGGTTTTTTGCAAGCTAAATAGATTTTTATTTGACTTTACATTCAATTTATACTTACAATAGTTGATAATTGGAGCTGGCAAAAAGGTTTTTGTGGAGAAAAAATCCTGTTTAATAATACTTAAACTCCAATAAGTTTGCTTACACCATATAAATAGCATTCAGTTTGACATAATAGATGCCTTGCGATTCGGAGGTTGAATTGTGGCCTATATGAAGGTTAATCGAAATTAAAAGTTATGCTTCTGAATTTTAATGTCAAGAACGTTAGTGGATGAAATGTTCAAAGTAATTTTTGCATGGTATCCATATCGTCTTTTTTTTACCACTTTTGCTTAAATTTGACGCCTCATAACTATAATTTTTCTGGAGTAGCTTCTAATAGTGATTTTGCATCTATTTATAATATGAGCTTTACGTTAGGTACCAAAGACCAGTGCCTGTGCTATTTATCTGTTAAAGTGTTTGAAATATTTCTTGCAAAATTTGGTGACCCCAGAGATAGAAAATTGAATAATTAATTTATACTAAAAGATAATAGCGATTAGTACAACCTCGAAGTTTTTTCTAGAGTGCCTTGTACCAGCTATGTAATTTTCAATATCCATGTGTCAGCGGTCGTCTTGTCGTCGTCAATTGGTCCTATAGGTGTTTTCCAGTAGCGCTGTAATTATAGGATCATTGAGCGGATTGAGGCCTGTCATGATGAATATTGCGCGAGACGTGACAGCTTATCCACAGCGTTTTTACCCAGCGCTATTAACGAGTCATTCTGACTACATTGTCCTCTAGAACGATGATTATTGCAACGTTGTGGACGCGCATAAGAAAGTAGGCCGAGCATTTGGAAGTATAATGGCGCTGTAGTGTTTTCTTCACCATTAAAGCGGAAAAAGATTGAAAATTCATTGCTGGAAACGAGACTAACAAACAGGCTGTCAAATTCGAAAAAATCGTTATCAAGTGTATAGAAACCTATGTAATAAAAATTACATTTAAGTATTTAGCACCTGCTATCCTGCTGTGTTTGCGTATTGACTTTTTTGTTTCCTAAATTTGGTTTGTTAAAGCTTGTTTTCGCCTTCAAAACCATAAAACGCTTGTCGTTTGCGCTCATCCTTTTTGAGCGTACCGCTCAATCTTCATTTTAGTTTTTTTCTTATTCCAACGAACGATACGGAGATAGATGATCTCATTAATTATAATTATTGCCAAGAACGATGGAGAAAAATGAGTACATGCACGGTAATGTCATTTGATAGCGCCGAGGACGAGCGGGTTAGGTGGGGCGGGGGGAGGAGCTGTACGAAAATGAAACGACATAAAAATGGTGACCAAACCAGGGAGGGAAAAATTGGAAGTTGACAAGGAGTTCATTTTTAGCGGAAGTTGGGTGGTATGCTTCAAGAGCTGGCTTAATATATGGTCAGAATTTGCAACGAAAAAAGCATGGGCAGAACTCAACCACCAAAAAAGTTTTTTTTTCAAGAATCTTACATTTTTTAGGCTTGCCGATGGAGTGAATTCCCCGAAGATTTGCTTGCTCCCTTGAGTAATCTCCGATCTTTACATCTGCATCAGGTAGGATTGAACCTCTTTTTCTTTTAGTCTTGAAATCCAAACAGAATGTTTCTAGGTATCCTTGCCACAAGAGGCCCTGACGATTCCTGGAGATGCTTTAGTGAATCTGAAGCGACTCGAAAAGCTCAGCATAACCGAGTCCAACCTTCTGCATTTACCAGAAAAACTCTTCTGCACTCTCAGGAATCTACAGGTGCGTCTAATCCGTTCTAACTCAATTTACCCATCTCACGGGCAGCTGAGGGGATTACTTGTTGTTGGTGACAGGCGACACATCTCATATTCATCTTTATTTGAGCTGCGCACAATCGATGCGTAATTACGGTGTTTATTAGCGCCATGGATCACTTCATTTTGTGCTTATACAATATGCCTCACGGGCCGCCATCTGGCCGCTATGCCCCAGTGATGAATCGCTCGAAATGTCCGAGATTTCTCGTCAACGAGCAGGCGCTTAGGTCCGCGCACAGCTCTTGGGCAGGTGGTTCAACAATCCGAAGCTTATCCCCCCGGGGAGATACATCTAATCATACGCTAAAGCTCGCTGGAAGTGATTTCTGTTGATGTATGGGTGACGTACACTTACCATAATGAAAACGGTAGTCATACAGTAATCATGGTCGTGTCATGATAGTCCAAAAAAGCTAGAATTCAAGATAATCACTCGCTTGCGAAAAATGAGCTTCAGGGTTACCGTTCTAGTTTTCGGGCTCGCAAAATAACGACTATAGCACTATAGCCTACCATCATTCACTCTGATCTTGCATTCAATACTGGGGCTGTTTCCAAAGTTGCTGGTGTCAGCGGGTCTGTGCCGGTTCCGACACCGTACTGGAACGGCGCTGGCACACCGACAACTCTGAACGGCAGAAAGCGGTGCGAGGAGTGGTCTAGAATTCACGTCAGACTTTTGACTATTCTCACAAGTAAAAGGTTGCAAGCGGATAATCTTGTCGTTCAGCAAAAAATAGCTCTTTTGAATTTTATGGCTGATCTTATATTTCGGCTTCACTTTTTAGAAAGAAATCTTCCCTTCTTCCAATTATCACGAGAAATTGTTTGCAAAAACTGCTTAGAAACAAAACTAAAAGCCTACAAAATTCTCCTCACCTCTCTCTCCCTCTCCCCCTCCCCAAGATTTTCTTTTACTGCGATTGCTATCGACACAATGTTAGAGTACAACAGTCACTTTTTTATCGCATGTCTTCTGAGCTGGTAACCCACAAGAATCTTAGATCAGCGCTGATAATAGGGCAGGTGCGGATTAACATTAGCTCGCATCGTTTGACATCGCATGGAATCGCGGCGGTGCGCGATATCGCAGAGCTGAACTCGCGCTGCGCGAGAGCGGTAAACACAGCTCGGTGACTGCTGATGCGAACATGATGCATCCATCACAACCTTGCTAATTATCCGTATTACTTCGCTTTCATCCGTCCGACGCTGGCACTAATTAGCTAACAGAAAGCGGAAACATAGCAACAATGTCATGGAGTTCTGTGGAATAAACCGCGATATTTCCAGGTGCTGAATGTGTCGTCGAATTGGATCTCAACGCTCACATCACTCGATTCGTCGTGTGTGGCGAATCAGCTGATCATCGTGGATTTCTCGCGTAATCGTCTAGATCGACTAGGAACGGAGTTACATACCTTGCCAGCTGTTAGACAGCTTTCTCTATCAAATAATCGACTTTCAACAATCGACAAAGATTCACTTATGAAGTGCCCGTTACTGCAGCAACTCGAAATCGACAATAATTTCCTAGATACGATCGAAGATCTACCAGGTAATTACTCCACAATTAAATTTATCGGGTTGATACATAATTCTTGCACCAGAAATTTTGAATTTCATGGCCTCCTTCAGCTTTGACGAAATTGTTTAGTTTGATATTCAATAGATAGAAAAAATCTTGCTCTTTTCAAAAATTCTGAGGCAGAATAGAATTTCTTGTCATGTCTCCGCGATACAATGTATTCAAAGAAACATCTAAGAAGTGATTTTTGGAGTTAAAACTGCTGGAACTATTGCAGTCTTTTAAGTTTTAATTTTGGTTTTGTGACCTGCTCTTTTCTAGAAAATTTTGTGCTGACTGACATTCTTACGAACGGTTGTGATTTTCGTATTTTTTTTATACAAGTTGGATTTCTATTGAGTAAAACCTCTAATTTATATTATAACAACGACATTCCGTATATGCTGGGATAAGTGTATAATTCATTTTGGAAATACTTTAAATCTCTATAGGAAAATTTTATATTTTTTGGTGCGAGACTTATATATCAACATAATATAAATTGTAACTTCAAACTTCTTATTATGTTTACATCACATCCTACGACACTGTAGGGCTACTGTAGCGCACAATTCATCGAAAATCATTTCAGAAACACTTATTCACATAAACCTTGCTTCTAATCATCTCACTGTCATTCCGCCATCGGTAACGGTATTGCCGCACTTAGTTTCTCTGAATTTATCCTATAATTCTATCGAAGAGGATTCCCCAACTCCCTGTGGTCAGTTTCTTGGACATTTGCCAGATTCATTTCTGTAGGCGCGATACGGTATCCTCTACATTCCATTTGTCTCTTCCAGTCACCAGTGTGTTGGAATCCCTTGATCTGTCTTGGAACCTTATACGGTCTCTTCCTTCCCGTCTCTACCCGACTTCGATGGGCTCCCTAGTGCACCTCCACCTCGAGGGCAATGAGATCACCGAGCTAAAACCGATGGAACTCGTCAACTACACCCGTCTGCAGACGGTAAGTTCGCTTTTCACCCTTTCATCCACCTCCTTCACCCATTTGTATAACCTTTACACGATCGAGTGCACCTCTTTGCCGAAGTTCGCGCAATGATCGTCGTGGTGTCAATTGCACATATATTGCGTGGGTTCGAGTGTGTAACCTTGAGCCACACTGTCAACAATGTACTTTACGCCGCGATTGAAATCGTTTCTGGCCAATTAAGGGTGTGGAAAACGTAAGGGGCGAACGTGCGTAACGATCGTAAGATTTGTTTTTTCTGTGATTCATAAGAGTCAGCTGGTTGCATGGCCTTGTAGTTGACTCTTTTTCATGTTTGCGGAGGAGGTCTAGATTGGGTTGAGTAATGGTGAACGTAAATGTAGTGGAAATAAAAAAAACCAGTGCTTTCCACTCGGGTCTCACACAGCGCGCAAGAGACGGTAACAGTACAATTCTTTTGCACAAATGAGTCTGTCTGGTTCTGTGACAGTTCGGTAGTACAAAGAAATAAAACCAAGGCTTGGCTGAAGGTCTAATGCGGACACGATAGATCAAGCACAGGAAGGCGGGAATGAAAAAGTTAGATTCTTCACAGCTAAGCCGAGCCAGTTACTTCCCTCTCACTTATAGTTGTGGAGGCGTTCCCAAGTACATTGAAATAAATTTTCCAAATAAATTAACCTTGGTTTATACAACAGAACCTATTGTTTGTCCTATGGAAGTTCACTCGGATTATTTGAGTTGAAGAAGGAGTGTTCAGCTATTGTTTCTATATTTTTCCAATGAAGAATCCATTGCTAACTCAAAACTGTCCTGAAGGAACTGAAGGGTAATATTGAAAGGGTGTTTTCTTTGAAAGTTTCTGTCATTCATGAATTTCTTGCCAATTATTTTGCTAGTATCGCAAACACTACAGCATGCTGTGGTTTCTCTCCCTGTTTCTTTTGTTTCCTACATTACGCGGCCATGTAGTACGAAGGGATTACTTGCCACCAAGAATCAGCTGCTTTTTCGCATCGCGTGTGTACTTTCTCTTATCCACCACCACCAGCACGCGAGTTTTGTTTGTTTGCGTTGGTTCTTTGCGTGTATGGAGATGAGGGGGAGAATGTGACCTCCTTGACTCTGAGTCGTATTTAGTATTGTTTCGCTACTGGCTCATCGCCCGGGCATAATAGAAATGGACACTATGCGCGTGTGAGGAGCGAGCAGGTCAAGTTGCCACCCTCATCCACTGCGGGGAACCTGCAATTAAGACGAAATGAGTTATTGAGAGGGGTACGGGAAAAATCGCTCCTTAAACTCTGGAGATGGCTCACCTTGAACTATCCCCACTCACTGAGGGAGACATGAGACCTTGATGACCACAAGTACTTGCACTTCGAGTACATCATGACCAAACAGCGCCTTTCTTCCCGGGTTGTTTGCATTTTGTCGCGAACCCCCTCATAACAGCCGGGACGTTGCATAATCGCTTGACCACACGAGCTGAGTGACGAGGTGCAAACATCGTCGCGAGTCCGGCAATTCTCGCAAATTTGCAGAAAAGAAGAAGCATTATGCGAGATAGATTATTTCCAAGCATGTGCACTGCATGGAAAGTAAACATTTACTGGTATTTTGCTCTTCTACTTTGGAACAAAAAAGCGACGCATTTGTGCGAAGATATACTAGGTTGTTCCTACAAATGAATGATTTGCAGATCTCCACATTCATATTTTGAATATTATAACTTTTTTCAATACTATATTTTTGGACAAATTAGACTTGACTGGATTTGGCGAGTTTATGGCTGTCTAGGAACCTATGCCTTGTGAAAAGGCCGGTAATAAAGATGAGAAAGTTTGGAGAATTTTGCAAGGTCTCCTTCAAGAGCGCCTATTTTGACATAGTAATGCTCACATATAAGGATGGGCAGACTTATTTGGTTGCCATCATCGTTAATTTATTCTTATTGATAGTAGTACGCTCCAAGGCGTGTTTCAGAAGCGGTGGGACATAAATCACAAGAAAAACAGTACCTATCCATTAGAGGCAGAAACCAAGACAATAAAAATTTTATGCAGTTTGAACAGGTTCAGCTGGATTTTACCACAAAAAAGCACTACAAATTTGCCAAAATATACATCGCCATAGAAAATATATGGAGTTTGTACTAGATTGTGAGAAAAAAAAATAGATTCTCTTGATCTGGCTACGATTATGAAATAAAGTTATGTATTGATTTACCTCGATCGCTAAAGTATGTTTCAGCTAAACATTGCTTCGAATCGACTCGAGAGTCTGCGAAATGACATCTTTGCTGGGCTGAGCGAATTGTCCACTTTGCAAATGCCCAACAATTCTATAGAAACAGTGGAACCGGCAGCTTTTGCTGATTTGGCACTGGGTAATAATCAACGCCCTTAATCTCTATTTTTGAAAAGTACTAAAAAATTTAGGCGATGTTGACTTGTCACACAATCGCCTTACGGAAGTTCCGCTTGCCATTGGACGACTTTTCAAGCTCAAAAAGGTCGATCTCAGCCATAACAAGATAAAGTACGTTTTATATGATGTTCTGGTTTTACCAAGGAGCTTTCCAAGAAACGAAACGCTATGGCATGTGTCAGAATTCTTAAAATTCGGCATTTCCCTCGGGGAAAGGTCTCACTGATCCTAGAGAATGTGCAGACATTGAGCTTTCAAAGAACAGGGGCCCTACTAAGTAACGATTTTCAGGAAACTGCATCAATTTATCTTCAACAAAATCGCCCATCTGCACACCATCGACCTCAGTCATAACGAGTTGCCATCGGTACGTTCAGCGCTTTGCAGAAAAAAATCCGCTCTATTAAATTACGCTACAACGTACGCCGCGCTTGTGGTTTTGCCAAAGCTTTTGGCTCCTCAAAGCGAGGGACGAACAATCAAAATTGTTTTTTTTTGCAGGTCAGCCCCTATGTGTTCTCGGATTGTGCGTACTTGACTACCTTAAATCTGTCGCACAACCATATCTCACAACTATTCCATGATTCACTGGCTAAATGTCCACTTTTGAAGCGCATAGATTTGTCGGACAATCGCTTAGGTAAGCCGACACACTACATTTTCCAAGATTTTGTAAAATGCTATCAAAAATGAACCTTCAGGATCTCTGGCCGATGCATTGTCTCAAGCATCTGCCGTACGACGGTTGGATGTGTCACGGAATCGTCTGGAGCTTCTCCAGTGGGATGAACTTCCACCCCGTCTCGAACATCTTGTGGCCGATTCCAACGTCATCACACTTCTTGGAGCAGCCATCAAGTCTAAGTTCGTTAATTTTTCTCCAATACAGATCTATTTATCATTCCAAACTCAGTTTATCTGTATGGATAATCGTTAACATAATCATTTATTCAAAATTTCAGAGTTTGCACCCACAATTTTATACTTTGTAGTAAAAACACAACAATGGCTTCAACTCGTAACTTTCGCTGAAACTCTAACTTTTTGTCATGATTGTTGATTTGTCGTCTACTTTTGCTACAAATCACATGGCTTTCCCTGACATAATTATCTCAGACTAAGCTGGGTTTTGGTCACCCACCATACCACCTCATGATAGCCAAAAATTTCGAAATTTTCCGTTGCTATTTCGATAGTGATTAATTTAAAACAGCACTTGAAATTTTTTTCTCATTATTTCTGTGGTTTTGTCTTACTGAAAAGTTTTTTTCTTTATTTCTATTATTTTTTTGTCAATTTCAATAACGCGGAGAGTTTGAGCTGCGTGATGAATGCACTTGAAAAATCAAAATTCGTGATGACTTTGAACTGCGACTTGTTAGGGTAATTCCCTCCCAAACTATGGAACATCCATAAAAAATGGTAATGAAGAAAGGGACAGTCTCAAAGTTTTCTGAACGGAAAGAAGGCTCAGTGAATTATCTTCGACAAAAGAACGTAACGTCAGCAGCGCTCTCTAAACAGAATTTTTTTTGCGACATCTGACCACCCCCCCCCCTCAGAGAATAAGCTGCGAATTTCAGAGTCCGTACAGCCTCGTTACGTGGGAATCGCATCGAACAACTGTCAGCCGATCAAATTCCTAATACCATTGAAACTTTGGACTTGTCGGCCAATCGAGCGCAACACATCGCTTCTGCAACGTTCGCTGCAAAAACCGCACTGCGATCGCTCGATCTCAGCGACAATCGCCTATCGCAGCTTTCTGAAGAATCGTTGTTGGCCGATGGGGTGCACAGCATCGATGTCGTCTTGAGAGGAAATCCACTCAGGTGCAGCTGCGAACTTCATTGGATTAGAAAACCAGACATTGTAAGTGTGCAGATGCGTAGAAAAGCTGCCATACACGATATCTAATTGCTTATTTGTAGATCAAGAGGAAAGTGAATATTGTCAGCTTAGCAGAAACTCTATGCACACACCCAGTCACTGGGAAAGTGCTGGCGCTAGACAAGGTGGATTCGAAGGATTTGCTCTGTGAATACTCTCAGGTGGGTATTTTTGCATTTGGAAATGGAAGCCAGTAAAATCCCAAGGTTTGCTACACTTGAATGAGAACTTTGATCCATTGCATCTAAACCAAATCACATTTTGAATGTAATCTGAATCCCACGTTTATCAGAAGGTTCAAAGGCTTCATATCTTGTGTGCATGAAGAGTTTTTGGGCCTAGTCACTACAGTCTCTTTTATATGGAAAGAACAAGTTTACAAAATTTCCACATTAACTATCTTCCACAGTGGAAATGGTTATACTCTATAATGAACTTTTTTATATTGTTATTAGAACACTTTCCTTTTTGTACTTGTTTAAACAATTCCTCATGCAAACTGGAGATATCTGTTTCTAAAGACACTGATTTTGGTTCTTATTTTGCCTAATTATCAGTTTTGAAACAAAAAATATAAATCTCAAAATCTTACAGTAGAATTCCTTATAAAAAGATTTATTTTCGGCTAACCAATTAAGCTGTGCTGTCGATGAAGCTTGCGATATTTCTAGATTACTTGATTTTAGTTCAACTGAAAAATAGTGACAATTTTCAGGTTTGCGAACCTGATTGCGTGTGTTGCCAGTTTGGCAACTGTGACTGTAAAGCTGTTTGTCCATCTGGTTGTGCGTGTTTCCGAGACGCTCTATTCGAAACAAATGTTGTACGTTGTGAAAATCTTACGGAGACTAATATGAAGGTAAAACAATTTCGCGCCCGCTATGGTCCTAGAACTCCGATTGATCTGAATTTTTCCAGGCTTTCACACCTTCGGCGGTTCCCATATCAGCCACACACGTCTACTTATCCGGGTTATCCATTCCAATTCTGCGGAGTCATTCGTTTCTTGGTCGACCACGGCTCGAACATCTCCACATCAACGCTTCTGGGCTTCGTGGAATTCAACCAAAAGCATTTAACACCTTGCCGAAACTCAAGGTAAACCAGTTTCGCTAACTTCTCTTTTTCAGGAAAATCTTCATAAAAAAATCATGCTTTCAGCTGCTCGATCTTTCCGATAATGCTCTAGTGCGCCTTTCTGGAGAAGAATTCCATAAAACTTCAGCAGTTTCACATCTTTTCCTCAATGGAAATCGTATGCGCACCATCGAAAGAGGATTGACGGAGAAACTTCCGCTCTTGGCGATGGTAATTTCCTTAACAGATTGATTCGAAAAGCATTTTTCGCAGCCTCGTTTGCAAAATAAGTCGGAGAGCCTCAGCAGGTCTCTTTTTGCTTCTAAATTTACATCAAATTTCAAAAAATTTGTCGAGACAGTTTTGCTCGAAATTCCGCTTCATCGCACGCAGGGACTGGGCGCAGTTGTGTACAGATAAGATAGTACATATTTGAGAGAGGCCACAGACAATTGAAAAAAAACCGCGTCCGCAATGGCACCTATCTCTCGGTGCGATATCGCCTATACCGTACTTGATCGCGTATAGTAGAATTAATGCTATCCCATTAACGGAAATAGAGTATATGAGATTTAAAACTCAATGTTTTACATCATTAGGCAAAATCTCTTTTTCAGGTAACACTGCACAACAACGACTTGGCTGATATCTCGCCAGCTCTAGCAACATCTGGGGTGCGATCGCTGTCATTGTCAGGCAATGCGTTTCGCTGCGATTGCACACCGCGATTCTCGGCACCGTCGTGGATACACGAGAATCGTGCCAAGGTGGTCGACATGGATCGTGTGCAATGTGTCGAGAATGTCACCGAATCGTTCCGAAACAACGATACCACCGTTTTGTCCGCATATCCACCAAATGCTGGACATGACATCTTCATGATGCCGATGGAAGGTTAGTACGGACTTTTCTTTCAATTTTGGCAGAACTTGGTGAAATCACATTCGACAATTTTATTAGTGCCGTGAGAAATTTTGCTTTATCTCCTCAAATTTTGCCTATTTGATTTTTTCTATTTGATTCTCTTGAAATTTATTGGTTAAACCACTACCTTATCTAGCAACTTCCGACACGAAAAAAATAATGCATGAAAAGTAAAAAAAATTTCGCTACAGAGTTGGCCACATAATTGCAGGATATTGACTTCGATTCTCATTTTATTTGTTTTAGAATTTCTTCGCGACTTCAATCGCACCATCTGTGTGCCAGCAGCTTCCGGATTCTTCGGACAAGAGCCTCAAAACTCCATTCTGACAGTCATATTCCTCACTTCATGTGCCTTTCTTTTATGTGCAATGACATTGCTTGCTGTATCCCTGGTAAAAAGAGCACACAACGATCTGAGTCAACGAAGGTTTGTAAAATTAGTTCCTTCTCTTTAGATTACAAAATAGTGCTTTTATTGAAGAAATTTCTCTTCCAGGTACAAGGCGTCGTCTTCACTGAATTGCTCGTCTACCCCAGGGTCGTCTCCCCTACCAGTTCCTCTGTTAAATTTTGATGCTTTCGTTAGTTACTCAAAGAAAGACGAGAAAATGGTCCTGGAACAATTATGCCGGTGAGCTCCACGACCTGCTCTTCAATCTTTTTTTTTTGGAAAATTTCAATTCTTGCTTTCAGACCATTAGAAGATGAGGAATACGTGCTGTGTTTGTTGCATCGAGATGGACCAGCCTATCATTCTCGATTACACGCCATTTCGGACGAGTTGATCTCACAAATGGATGCATCTCAGTGCCTTGTGATAGTATTAACGAAGAACTTCTTGGAAAGCGAGTGGAAGACACTGCAAGTGAAGGTAAGAATTCACAACTGTTCTAGGGCCACATAAAATTATGTAGGAAGCAAACTGTCCTCTTTACGCGAATTTGGCATAATTATAACTCATTTCCAAAAACATTTGCGTAATTCCAAGTGAGTAACACAACAGAACCAGCACATTAGTTTTTTCACATCTTAGGGACCGTCGCAGATATAGGAAATGACTTCCTTCAAATTTCTTATTGTTTCTTAACTTAGAAATTCACATAAAGTCAATTGAGCATGATACGACATGTGATGCAAAATTCTGTGTTTAGTATTCCTCAAAATAGTCCAGAATAGCGGAGGTTTTTTTCTTGCTCAGTTCACATCAAAGTCCTCAAATTTTGTGCAACGTTACTATAAATTGCATTGATATTTCGGTGTCACAAATTTCCTACTAATCTTTTTCTTATAACGTACATTATCCTCTCAAACACGTCTCTGCAATCTGTGTACTAAAGGATTTCGTTGTAATCCCTTCTGAAAACGTTCTCATCGTTTTTTTCAGACTTCTCATCAGCTGTTCGCAAAGAACAGAGGAAAGCGAGTGATTGCGGTGCTGGGCGAAGGGGTCGACCAGAATCTGCTCGACGAGGAGCTTGGTCAAATCCTGCGGAAGAACACATGCATCCGGCAGCGGGACCACCTTTTCTGGCAACTGCTGCACAGCGCACTGCCGACGCGACTGTCGAGTCTTCCGGGGAGCGGCGACGACACCTCGCAGATCTATTCGGACATGTACGGTATCGTACCGTCGGCGGTGATTTAGCTACCGTACTCAGGGTCGTCGCAGGACTGCTCTCCACAATTCTTGTCGTTTTCGGCTGGGTGCTTTATTAACGGGTTGTTTAATTTTGTGATATGTGGATTCGTTCGAGACCAACCAATCGTTACTCACATGATTACTGTTGAAACATTACGAGTTCTTTCCGCACTAATCCCCCTTCCATTGATCTGATCAATCTCGTTTCGGCATTATATGTTTGTGCGTGTGTGTATATCCATCATTTTGCTCAGCTTTCATCACCCTCGTTCCTCTCTCGCAGTCATCACCCTCATGCCAATGTAAGTAGCATATTTTGTAAGTATGTGCAGGGTTTCCCCGTGTTTCGCTACGTTGACCTCCGTTCTCGATTAGTTGCCTGCTTTGCCTCCTTTCTCTTGAGTCCGATTGTCCGTGTGACTGTTTGATTTTTCTTCTTTTTCTCAGCTCTTTGTATTTTGTGATATAGATATTATGCTTTCCAAAAGCTATAGTATTAAATATTTATAATAATCAGTTTATGTGGACAAGTGCAAACCGATGAGAATCTTAGGCCTGCACAGAAGGTATTTTCTCGGAATTTTTGTTGACAAGTTACAAAAGCAGTCATTACAATTATAGTTCCTGGCTTTAATGAGTTATTAAGTGGAGCTTCTTCCATAAACGTAATCACCAATAGCTGTGCTTATTCTGTTCCACAGCGATGGCGGTTTTGGCTTGATCACATCGGGCATCTGCAAATGGCACCTTACAATTAGAACTCGAATAACATCGTAAAAAAAGTACATGAAAAGACTTCAGCTCTAGAAATGCTTAGCAGTAAAGCATGTACCTCAGAAATAATTTCCTCCAATTCAATAAAATCAGGCCTTTTATCGGGTTCAGGATCCATGCAACGCAGCCGCAATTTTTCCATTTCTGGAGGAATATCCCCTAGGCACTTCGGCAATTTGGCCTAAAAAGAGCTCACATAAATTGTTTTCAATTTTTGCAGTTTTTTTGCAAACTCGCCTTTTTCTGTATAATCAGTTTCCTTAATTGACGGTTGTCGAATTTGTAAAATGGCAATTGTCCGAACGAAAAAATTTCCCAGATCATTATGGAGAAACTATAGACATCCGTTTTGGTCGAGTAGACGCCGCTTTTTAGGGTTTCCGGCGACAACCACCTGCAATGTTGAGCCCTGAAGGTCGGTGCCCTTTGAACACCCCAAAGCTGCGTTTATAAATGACTGCGATTATCTGGCTAGCAATGCCCTAGAAATGCCACAACGGCTCTGTCATTGCGAAAGCTCGGCTTTTTAAAACAAAGCAACTGTTGCTCTGCTAATTGAGGGAATTACATAAAATCACTGTTGTAAGTCGAAAGCGCATAATTCTTGTTCATTCTTGCCAGATTGACATTCAAACCTCAAAAGCAATGTTTTTGAGGCCTTGGAGATTCTATCGATTTATCAGTAGAGTGGCAAAATGCTATACAGTTGCGTCTGATGAATGTGTTTTTTGAGATGTCAAGAAAGTTTCGGAATTTTGTTCGCCAAGTCATCTGAATTTTGACTGTCATATTAGGTCAGTCCGAAAGTTCGCGCTGTTTTTCGGACCCATGTTCAAACCACTGAGAATAAAGATAGACAAGCGATGTAAGCATTATCCCATGCAGAATCTTTCCTTCTTTCTAATGATTATGTTTTTGTTCACATTCTCTTGATGTCCGCTCAATAGTCAGCAGGGATCTCCAACCCATGTTTTTCACCCATCATCTTGAGTTTGGCTATTTTTTAAAATTTCCTATTTAAACTTTTGGACTAGCTTTGATAACAGTTGGATAGAACAAACAAAATGCAATACAAGATATTTTTTGGCATCTCTAGCTGGTTCTCAAAATTTTTGAAGATAATTTTCTGAGGCTATCAAATACCATATTTGAGCATCTCCTTTTCCCTATCTTTATCCTAGGTTTGAGCATGGCTCTAAAAACATCGCGAACTTTCGAACCGACCTACTTTGTCGGGTGAAATCTTCAGATGTTCGACTAAGCAACCTAACCGGCATGCGTAAATGCTTTCTATGTGAAGCTGCTAACGTTCTTCTCCCAAGAATGATTCGCGTTGCTTTTGTAAAAGTATGGAAAGTGCTAGCATCAATAGAATCCTAACGGAAAATTATGGAGAGCTATAGAAAGGAGAAAAATGCACAGTTTCCTGTAGGGTGCTCTAAGCATCCGTTACTTGAACTGCTTTGCACTAATGGATAAAGTTAGAAAAATTGTGGAACTAGACCATGTCACAAGATAAGGATACTCGGTGACCGTGGCCAATTGGAGTGCAATTTATACCATAAGAAGCATCTCGAAACGCTGATTCAAAATCTGTGTTCGATATCTGCGAAACGATCATCTGAAGAAAGTTATGAACCTCTTTTTGTAAGAAATTTGCGTACTTTCGGGTAGTTAAAACCCAACGAATTTGTTCTAGTACCATTTTACTGTTGTATTATACCTATCCAAATCATATTCAGCATCAGAAAATTTAAGAAAGTTTTTATTGATGATTTTGACCCTCCGCAGAATGGTCGAACCAGCGTTTAAAGGCGGATTTTTTAATATACAAGTCAATACGAATGGCCACGGTCACCAATATCCTTCCCCTGTCAGAGATAATAATTAATAATGAGAGATTCTGGTAATTTTCGTAGAGCTAATCGACTGTTTTGTAACGACTTTGAAACCATCAAAAAGAGGATGAATTGCTGCCTACCAAGGCCTCTCAGAAACTGTTCCAGGAAAAATGGTGTTCATTTGTAAAAAAAACTACATTAGTTTCGGAACGACCTAATGTTTTCCACAGAATGCGAACGTCTGCAAAAATTCTAGGTCAAAAGCCCGTAAAAATTTGAAAATCTCCCAAACTTCGGAGAATAAATGACGCCGAGTTCCTCCGAAAATTTTCTGCACTTGTGGAGGTCCTATGCATGGGCAAATTGATTACAAGTAAGTTTCAGCAGATTTCCACCTTACTTTGCGGTAATGGAAGAGTAATCTCATCAAGCACTAGGATACCAGCTCCTTATACGGTACTTCGAAACGTGCAAGAAACAAAGAAACAGGCTTATGAACGTTTGGAGTACTGTTTTTGGATACTATTAGGTTGGTGCAAAAGTTTTGTCAGTTTTTTCAATCCATCGGCAAACACGCTAGAATGAAGATGAATAAACATTCAAAATGTACCCGATGCAGAATTTCTTCTTCTTTCCAGCTGCTAAACCCTCACTGCGTTTCGTTGCGAGAGTGACGAGATATTTGCTGGGAATTACAACCACTCGTTTTTACCATGCCCAAATTTCGCTAATTTTCAAAATTTTTGTATGAGACTTTCGGAGGAGCCCTGATAACCACCAGGTAGGACAAACCTTTTGCCAACTTATGCAATTTTTTTCTTTTTCTCAGCTGCTTTTTCTGATTTTTGCTAAATGATTTTCTAAAAGTCTTGTGCTTTGGAAAAAGCGCATAACCTGTTATTGCACCAAAACACTGCAAAACCTACAGAATACTAAGGTGCAACACTCGATTATTACTACCGCTGCCATTACAAAGTACATGAGCGATTTTCGCTTCAAATTAAGAAGATTTTGAAACATAGGTTACGGCAGTGCGCATTCCTGGAATTGAGAAATACTACGATCTTCCCCACAAATTTCGCCTGTCTCGGAAAAAAAAGACAAGTGTTAGAAGGAGGAGAAAAAGTTAAATCGAATGGTGACTGAAGTGTTCAACATTTTAGGTTCTACGAGGTTAAAATAGGCTAAATGTAAAATTTGGTCACTTCAAAAAATAAATCGTAAAAATTCTGAAAGGCAAGCCGTAGGGCTAGAAAAAAGTGCATAAGTTAGCAAAAGGTTTGCCCTACCTGCTGCTTATTAGGGCTCATCCGAAAGTCTCATACAAAAATTTTGAAAATTAGCGAAAGTTGGACATGGTAAAAACGAGTGATTGTAATCTAGCAAATATCTCGCAACTCTCGCAACAAAACGCAATCAGGGTTTAGCAGCTGGAAAGACGAAGAAATTCTGCATCGGATACATTTTGAAGTGTTTATTCATCCTCATTCTAGCGTGTTTGCCGATGGATTGAAAAAACTGATAAAACTTTTGCACCGACCTAATATTTTGTGCGCGATACCCGTAGAGTCTCAAGGGTACTTCCTCTGCAAGCGTTTAGACTATGCATATGTGTATACCTCAAAGGTACTTTCTTCAGTTTCTTTTCCATAAGAGTCTTTCCGATGAATGACAGGCCAAAGTCCGAAATCTTCAACACATCATTTTCTCCTAGCAAGCAATTTCTAGCAGCAATGTCCCTGAAATCCAACTGATTGAATGGTTAGCCTATGCGTATAACGTGCTCACCTGTGTATAATATCTTTACTTTGTAAGTACGCCATTCCTCTCGCTGCACCATACACATAATTAATTTTCGTAACTAATGATGGCTGGAAGTAGATGCTTGGTTGAAAAAAAGTGAACACGATTTTACTTGATTATTGAGATCTTGTAGACGTAACAGAAGTGATCCTCCTGGGCACAGTTCCATTACTATCATGATAGGTTCTTTAGATGTGCAGACGCCATGCAAGCGAATCACGTTTTCCTGAAGACATGGTCATGAGACCCATCAATTATCTCAATTTTCAAAATTGCAACAAAACCCATTTTTTCCAAGAATCAATAGCTCACATGCCGAAATCCTCTCATGATGTTTGCTTCTTGGAGAAATTTGATGCGGTCGTCAGCCGTCATGTTCGTCGAATGGAGTGTTTTGATGGCCACTGGGATGCGTGCACCAAAAAACCCCTCCTGCAATGAAAACATTTTTGTTTTGCTCTTTTGCTTAGACCGTCCACCCTAACTGAAGGCGACGAGATTTTGATGCTACACGATAGCGGCGCCCCTAACGAAGAAATTGACCAAGTTTCACTGCAAAAGACTATTTTGAAGCGAGAAAACCGCTCCAGAATGTAGAACGATCACACCGGTTCCGCCTATCAACTTGGGTGGTCTAAAAATGACAAGTCCAAGCTTGGGCTCTAATGAACTTAGTATTGCCATAGACCGGCCCTTCACGATTGTTATGAGATTTATGACATGACTGTCTACCCTGAAGCCCAAATCTTACAAGGGAATACTCGGTGTTCGTGGCCTCTTGAGATGAGATGTAAATTTTATGCTCGTCTTGTAAAGCTGAATGCGAATCTGACTTCTATCTCTGCTAATCGTTTTTTTTTGAAAGAAGCAGCTATGAAGGATTTTCGCTCTAAGTTTGGCCGCCCTGGGGAAATACGATCGGATCGCCACTAGAGCCGGTACGCTGTGGTGTAATGGTTAAGGCCTAAGGCATACCTCGCGCGATTCCGGTCGCTACGCGATTTGGCATAACAGCGACTCTTTGTAATTCATCGTTAATGCGTTTCCTTTAGTCAGGACTGGCCCATGTGCAACAACTCATACAAGCTACTCGCCTATGCGTTCGAGAAGCGCGCACGATAAATTTGCAGAAATGTGGCAAATCGCCAAGTCGCGTGAAAGTGGCGATTTGGTCAAATCGCACCTCACGCGATTTTAGTCGCCGCGCGATCTGGCACTGCAACGACTCTCCATAACTGGTCGTAAACGCACTTTGCTTAGGCCAAACTTGCTGCGTTTGTTACACTTTACGGAATCTACGCACCCATGCATCTGGAAGCCTCGCATGCTTAATCTTTAGACATCTGGCAAATCGCCAAGTCGCGAGGATGTGGCGATCGCGAAATCGCGAGAGGTATGCCTTAGGCCTAATGGGATAGCGTGGCAAGGCGATGCAGGTGTAGGTTCAAATCCCTTACTGTTTTTCAGTTTTGCATTGCCTCATTCAATGTTCTTTTTGAAAGTTAGGCATCCTCAAGGTAATTGCATGCCCTTACTCTATGAAAATCAACCGGGAGTCGTTTGTATGAGTGTTTCCTATTTTTGCTCTTAAAGGACTTATCTCAATTCCCATATTTTGAAGAGTAAGGGCATACAGTTACATCAAGAATGCAACTCTCAAAAAGAAGCTTAATTGAGATAATGCAAAACTGAAAACACAAAAAGACTCGAACCTACCCTGCATCAACTTGTGAGGCTATTGCACTAACCACTACAACACAGGGTACCGACTTTATTAGCGTTCCGATCGTAATTCCCTTGCGCGGGCAAACCTGGCGAGAAAATCCTTCATTACTTCTTTCATAGAAACGACTAGCAGAAATGGAACTCAATTCGGAATCAGCGCTTTAAGATGAGTACAATGATAAATAATAATCTCATCTTAAAAAGCAACGGACACCGAGCATCGTTCCCTCATCAACTTCAGACCACCCACGTTCATAGGCGAGCCAGCGTGTCCGCTTTTACTTTCTGTGGCGGTTTTCTCGCTTCGGAATTCAGCTTTTGCAGCGAGATTTCGACGATTGCTTAGTTGAAAACCACGCTATTATACAGCATCAAAACTCATCATTTTCAGTCTGGATGGAGGTTCATTTAGGTGAAAATTCACTTGCAAGAGTCCCTTGTACACTTCACCAAAAGCCCCTTCTCCTATTTTCTCGACAGGTTCAATCTGAAAAGCAATCTTGAATGCGTTCTAAGAAAACAGACTCTGCCCACCTGCTCAGGATTCAGCTGCCATTGCTCTTTTGGACATGCTTTTTCCAAGTAAACTCCCCCCGTGCTAAGTGGCGCCCGATTTCTCAAGTGATATTCTATTAGATCATTGACACTTTTGAAGGCGTAGTCATTCACCCAGTAAAGCCTTTTCTGAAAACTGATGCTAGCATGTCTCGCTTAGCCATACCACCCACCTTGCTTGTGCGCTTTATGAGGAAATGTTTCATGATACCACCATCTTTAAGGCTGATAACGAAATAGTGCCGTCCTGCAACTTCTGTTTTTCTTACTGAAATAACAAAACCGATTAGTCTGCTGAGTTATTAAAGGTTCTTCGTTCATTTACCTAAGAACTCGCCCTCCTTCTTGATTATTTTTTCCACTTCCTCTCTACTCAGAAATCCATGATAATACGGTTCGTCTTCGATTGGCCGTAATACCCTGCCTGCTTCATCACAGTTGATCTGAATCACAATGAATTACTACGTGCCCCAATCTGTCAAAATGCAAGGTATGTACCCTTTGATTCAACTAGATTGGCGGCTGGAAGGCGACCGCTTGCGCCCGCGACGCATCCTGCGTCTTTCTCGCGGGCGTGCTCTCTGGTTACTCTCTAGCCTCAATTAGGTCACGAAGCCCCGCCTTCCAGCTGCCAATCAAGTTGAAGCAAAGGGTGTGTCCCGAAAATCCCTTGCAAAATAACAATTTAGCTTAGTTGCTGCGATCAAATTATAGTGACTTGTCACTGCTTGCGACTGCGAGCTCAACAAAATCGTTTCTTACTGTACGAAAACGAAAACCCGTTTCTTAAATGTGATTGAAGTCATTGCAAAATGACTTCTGGACCAATTTTGCATTCAGCAACGAGTGTTCGATCCTCTTGTTGCAGCTTGCGTGGTATCAGGAAGATCCTGCTAATCCCTTGCACAGCTATATGCGTTACGAAAACCTACACATCTAGATCGTCTGCTGCATCCCTGTTGGGGAGCAGGGGAGCTATGAAGAGAGGCCAGACATTTCAGTGTTCAAAGAAAAGTCTGTAATGTTTATGATTCCCTTGGCATTTCCTATGGAATCATACACCTGCTTGTTCGTTACTTACACGGTCAGTTTTCACGCGGCGTGCCGGTCTTCCTCTAAGTTTTTCCCTCACGTCGTTCTCCACTTTATACACAATACGAAAGAAAACCTTTTTGATAGGGGTACCTTTTAATTCCATTTTTGCTGCCTCGCATACTTTCTTCAAGGGCAGCGGCTTCGAGAAAATTGCGACTGCGAGCTTTTACAATCACCTGGCCTTTTGAATTCGCTGAAGACAGTCAAAAAGTGCTTCTTATGGCATTTCCCAGTCTGCGAGAGTGCTGAGAGGGGCCGGAGGAGAGATTTACGCTGAAAACAGGAATTTGTTGCAAGAGACTGTAACTTCATACATTTTGGTCCAATTGGCTGGTTGACTCAGGCTTTGGATGATCAAGCTGCCTACGTTGTATGAATGTTTATCAGAGGTAGTGAGCGGCCGCTGACTATCAACAGTGGATATGCGGAACAGCCCCTGACGATAGTGGTAATAATCGAAGCAGCACCAGAATGAATATTCAGGCCCTTTCATGCCACTGTTTTGGAATAACCTAAATGCTCACTTCCGGTAAAGGACAGTACTATAGAGCATGACGGGGTGCCTACATGAAGGTAGGCGCCATTAAGTAGACTATCAAGTACAGTGAAGAGGTGGCCTGGCGGCTTAATCTTATATATAAAGCTGAATGTCTGTTTGTCTGTATGTCTGTCTGTATGTCTGTCTGTCTGTCTGTGTGTGTGTACGTATGTTCCGAATAGAAAATTCCATTTCTGAACCGATCCGGACCAAACTTGGCACACATACACTTCGGGCCCCGGCGGGTGTCATAGGCTATTTTTCGTCATCGATCGATATCGATTTTATCGATTTTTATCGATTTTTTTGCTGAGTTCACCTACGGGGCTGGGAGTTGGCACAGGGGGGTAATCGAGCATGGGGATTCCGAATACAATATTGGTTTTCAGGATTATCGATTACTTTTATCGATTTTATCGATTTTTTTGCAAAGTTTGAGCTAGGGGGCTGGGAGTTGGCACAGGGGGGTAATCGAGCATGCTGATCATCCCCAAGGGGGTGATCAGCATGCTCGATTACACCCCTGTGCCAAATTCCATCCCCCTAGCTCAAATTTTGCAAAATCGATAAAATCGATAGAAGTAATGGACGATCCTGAAAACTAATATTGTGTTCGTAATCAGCATGCTCGATTACCCCCCTGTGCAAACTCCCAGCCCCGCAGGTCAAACTTTACAAAAAAAATCGATAAAATCGATAAAAGTAAGGGACGATCCTGAAAACTAATATTGTGTTCGTAATCAGCATGCTCGATTACCCCCTGTGCAAACTCCCAGCCCCGCAGGTCAAACTTTACAAAAAAAATCGATAAAATCGATAAAAGTAAGGGACGATCCTGAAAACCAATATTGTGTTCGGAATCCCCATGCTCACTTCCCCCCTGTGCCAACTCCTAGCCCTGTAGGTGAACTCTGCAAAAAAATCGATAAAAATCGGTAAAATCGACATCGATCGATAACGAAAAGTGGACTGTGACACCCTCCGGGACCCGAAGTGTATGTGTGCCAAGTTTGGTCCGGATACGGCGGAGCCGGGTAAGCCAGCTAGTTGATCAGTAAACAGAAACGTTTCTCAACGAAGCTAACACATAATTTATATAACATACATGATATATAGATAATCTACGACAATGGGGCGCGTGACGGAAGGCGCGAAAGCGGAACCACAGTAGTTACATAATTAGAGCGTTACACATTATATGACCTTGAAGAAATCACAACATTAGCTAGGTTATTATAGTTAGTTATGTATCATTTTCATTTCTACAATAGGTTTGTTGTCCTCATCTGTGAGGACAACAAAAACCTATTGTAGAAATGAAAATGATTCGTACCGTGGTGCCGTGGTAGGCCTTCGGGGCCAGACGCAACATTGGAACAAATCAACATTGAATCGCTATCTTCTTCACAGGTTGTCATGAGACCTTGATTTCCTATGTTTGCAATTAAGCTGCAGTTCATCAAAAGCGCAGTTACGTGTTGGGCGGAGTTTGGATGTTGCACGCTCAGCTCAGAGCTATTGGTGGCTTCCGTTCCTATGCATAAAGAACGAACATGGATACTGATTATACTATGATTGCATTGTTTTGCGAAAGCTCCGCCGCTGTGATTCCATTCATTCTGCTACTTCCAGAGATTGCACGATCGGACAGTGGGCGTCAGAATAAGACCAGTCGGAAGAGTTGTACACGGTTGATTTCTCAAGATGAACCTAGTGAGATCTTGACCAATGACAATGTTCGGTGTAATCCGTCGCGTCTTCAAATCCAATTGTGCAATTCGAATTTTTTTCGAATCAACCTTCTATCCTCTGCGCTCAATCGAGCTGTGCTCATCGCGTGAGTGAGTGTTGACTTTGCTTCACAGCTTTGACAGCGATTCCAGCGGGTTGTTCTCAATATGGCGGGAATTCACTGGTTGTGATGAGCGATAGATCCTCTAAAAACGCCAATCTTCATAGTGGTGTTTGGGAGCACTGTAAGCCATTCGTCTTCCTTGTAATGGTGAAGCTGTTTTGCGCACCTCCATCATAAAAGACAATTACGGCTTTGTAGCTGTAGGTGCGGTCGTGTGTGAGTGCAGTCGCCGTCATCAATGCGTGCTGCATTCCCCCTCGCTTCGCTTTGCTCTCTTTGTGCAGAACCTCAGAATTCTTCACGAGCTCCACGTTTTTGGGAAGATGTTGAGTGTGAGCAGTCCGTTGCTGCCGTCGCCTGATCGAAGTGCTTTTAGCTGCTGGATAGGCTATTCATGCTTACAGTGATGATTTTTGTGACACTTGTAGCAGTACTGTGTGCTTGTGCAGTCACTGATCCTGTGATCGGTTTGAAGACATTTGAAGCGCAGCCTTTTTTTCTTAGCTTCATCACTTCGTGCTGCTGCTGTCTGAAATGTTGTGCATCGCATCGCATCAGACAACTTCCGCAGATACATTGAGCAGTCGAATCTCTTGGAGACGTGCTTCTTTGTCTATGTTCCGAGTTGTATACGATTGAGCCTTCTTCATTCAGATCATCAACTTCTTGGTCGAATTTAAAGCGTTCTGCGACATTGCATTCTTCAAATGCAAATGTTGCAAGAGGAGCGTTTTGTTCAAAACGACAGCATTCTTCAAAACATCCAAGCACTCCTCTGTTGTGTTGATTTTCCTTCGATCTGCTCTTTGCAAAGTGCCTTCTCGTTCAGCGAGTTTGGAAACTTCTGAAGTATTAATCGCCTTCACATTCGCTTGTTGTCCAAGGGGACTCCTGCACGTTCGATGTGAGCGAGCTTTTCACTCACACTCGAGTTGTATGCAGCTGTTGGCATCATCTTTTGCTCGTGAAAGCCTTTTGAGTTCTATGATAGTTCTGTGATAAGTAGATCTGCTATGCAGCCAGACTTGCTGAAGCGCTTACCGAGAAGCTGTATGGCTTTGTCGCAGTTTTCTCCAATGACTGGCATGTTGCCAAGAATTGAAGCTGCTGTTCCTTTCAGTGGCTGCCTCAAGAAAAGGAACTTGTCCACGTTGCTGAGGTCCAGATTGCTATGTATGAGCGACTTGTAAATGGTCCAGAATGTTGGATACTCTTTATAGCTGATATCGAATTTTGGAACTTCAAGTTGTGGGAGTCGTATTTCGTTCTCAGAAGACTGTCTTGTTGAAGAGCGTTTTTGAGGTGTATTTGACTAACGAATTTTGCTTCTCCAATCTGCTTCCGTGCTTCAACCTATTCGACCAGTGAATGGCTTATTTGTAAATCGTTTGCTTCTGTGCTCAAGAAGGTAGCCACTTCGCTCTAGTCACTTCGCTCATTGACTTGTGCCTCTCTAACTAATCCTTTCTTGCCCCAAGAAAACTCATAGCAGATGGACTTGCGCCAGGTTTTCCAGCAGATCTGTTAAGGAGATTTGCAGTTCATCAATCTCTGCCATTTTATCTGTTACAGAGGCGATTACGGTGTTCGGAACTTCGAAGGTTTTATCAACACTGCGGATTGTGTCCTCTAGATTGCTGATTGATGAGCAAGCCATATGAATGCGAACTTTAAATAGAGTTAGCTCGCCCATCATTTGTCTCGTGCGCGTGAACTTATAATGCTTACACTTTCGTCAACTGCGTGCTTTGGCACCGCACGTGTCTGCTTTGGTAGAAGAGTTCTGGCTGGATACCGAGTACGTGCAGCTGTTAAGAACTAGAGGTTGGCTGGGCTAGAACCTCTGTGTTATGTTTTCTTGCTGGGTGCAAGAAAACTAGTCACTAATGAGCTTAGCAGTGGTGCGCCTAGCTTCCTCTAGTTACTTAACAACGTGCCGTTGACTTAGGCGCTGTGCTGGCTGGTGGGTTTGGAGCTGCGTGTAGAATTGAGAAATCCTTGGAGATCGACAGAATAACTATGAGACTCCTGACAGCGAAAAATGTTCCCTTTCTGGTTCCTTAGGAAAAGGACGCGCGAAGAGAGTTTCACTAGAATTTGGTTGCTTACTTACAAAAATTCTTCCCACTTCCTGTTTCCTCAGGAAAAGGACGCGCTGGGAAAGTTTTCATAAATTTCTATGAACAGCTACTTTTGACTGACATCTTTACAGCCCTCTGGTCTCTTAAGGAAAGTGCGCGCAAAGAGGGTTTCATTCGTCAAGTAGCTAGAGTACCGCCTTCTCTTTACTTAACTCTTCTCTCTTACAAAAAAAAACGCGCAAAGAGGGGTTCAATATTCAGTGAACTTTAACTTACTGTTTTCTTTACTTTTCACGGATCTCTTACAAAAAGAGCGCGCAAAGTTGAGTTCAATATTTACTGGTATATAATTCGCTGACTAATATCTTTACTAGCCTCTCGTCTCTTACGAAAAGAGCGCACAAAGAGGTTCTCAGCGATTAATAAATACTGTCTTTCTTTACTATCCACTGGTCTCTTACGAAAAGAGCGCACAAAGAGGTTTTTGGTAAGCGTCATTGTCTGGATATCAGACGCTCGAGATGGATTGCATTCGAGTCCTCTCTCGAAGATCTTCTGTCGAGCAACTCCTTGGTGGGCTTTGAGAGCTTTCTGGGTTCTCGGAAGCCACTGGGGCACAATCTCCGCAGGCACGCAATCATTTTGAAGCCGGTCGTAGTTGTACGATGGGTTCCCCCAATGGGTCAATCACGATTTGATATGATCTCCTCCAACTATGACCGTCATAAACGATTTTTTTCATTCTTGCGGCACTGTGACAAACTTTTTTCTCTAATTTACAACTCGTTCGTACCTTCGCTCGAAAGAAACGTTGATCCGAGCTACTGCAGAAGGATGGAACTACTAAGACATCGAGCAAGCTCCCCTTTGACTGGTGAGAACGTGCTCGATCTCCGCGTGGGTCTTTCCGTCGGACGATTTTCTTGTCCACCAGAATTCTTTCTTCGTGAAAGTGCAATTTCCATGGAAACGTCATGCGGCATAAAGAAGCCCAAGGAGGCCGATGCCGTTTCAATTTCAAAGCCTAACACTTCTCAATCTTACATTCCTCTTCCAGTGGCATCCCGATTTTTGCTTTGCTCACAACAAACTTGTAGAAGGACTTCTCGTTGCGGACGACCTCCTTCAAGTCTTTGTGGAAGGCATCTTATTCAGATTCGTCAGCTGCCGATATTGGGTAGCAGCTATTCTTGCAGCTAGTCTCCTGGAATGGAGGTCGTAAACGTGGGATAGCTAATGGGGGTGATAGAATCTCATGCGAATGACAAGACAGACGATATGTCGGCGGACGACAAGGTCCGTGGAAAATTTCTCATCACAAAGATGAGTAATCACTAACTGCTACACTGCTACACGTCCTTTTGTCCCCGACGTTTGTGGAGATTGTCTTGGTTCTGTAGCTGTGGAGCATGATACAGTCTATGGCGTGCCGTTTCGTCGAAACCAGGTGCGCTGAGCAACCTGACATCGGTCTTATTATTACTCGGTACCATAGGTGAGGTCGGACTGCAAAGTTTTTTTCTTATTCGCTTGTAGAATAGTTAAGAGCAGGGTAAAGCGGGGGGTGCGGCACGCCGCAAGGGGGGTCGTAAGGAGGGGGGTAGGTAGGGGGGGGGGTCGTATCGACCCAAGGTCAAAAGCACTTGTACAAGCTGTGTGACTAAACTGACTTGATGAAAGCGCTGTTGAAATCCTGCAAAATTCAAGTTCAACGACACAAATTTGCAGATACCGTATGCCTACCGTAACCTACCGTACCTCTAATCAAGCATAATTGTCGTAATCCGCGTGTCGAATAACCCCTATGCGCCAAGTTTCAGCGAACTCTGAGGTCTCCGAGCAGTAAACAACCTTGTATAAAGCAGTAATTTAAAACATGATTAACTTCATCTTAACGGTGAGTAAGCTACCTCTTCTTGCACTCAATACAAAGCACTACTCCTTCTTTGTCCATCTCAGGAATCCCGCTTCAGAAGACCTCCAAACTATTGAATTAGAAGCCAACCAAAATCGCTTTTAGCTTTTGATCGCTGTGCTTTCACCAAATATTACTCAGAGCTAAGAAGACGAATCAGGCTCAAAACATCCCTATGGAATCTATGAGGTTTAGGCTATTGATTCATACAAATATTGTCCGCTAAAAATGTTTTTTTGATATAGTTAATGGCCTGCGGCACCCCCCCTCAAAACCTGCGGCTGCCGCAGGTTTTGAGGGGGGGGGGTGCCGCAGGCCATTAACTTACCTTCAAATCGTTCAAACAGCTGCCTTTTTCATATCATCCTATAGATTCATCCTTCCTCTCTCCGTAGTAGCTGTTTCCCCTCGAACCTTTTTCTTTAGAAGGAAATACATATGGTTTTTGCGAACCATATGCTGGGAAGTGTGGCCAAAAAATATTGGGTTACGGTAGCGCTCGAAAGATTGTCAAAACACACAGAGGCGCGAGATACGCGCCTTTGAATCCCGCTCTCGTTATAGCTGTGATGTTCTCGCTTTTTTGTTCTTTTTCATCACTTGTTTCTCTCATTGTTCTTTCAGAAAACTTGCAGATGAACTGCAGATGAACAGAAAACTTCAAACTGACTACTTGCAGATGTTTGGACGTTGATGTTTGGTTTGGGTGGTATGTTTGGCGGCTTTGGACAAAGTACAGCAAGGATAATCAACAAAGAGGATATAAAGGTTTGCGTGGAAATTCTTTGGATAATACATTAAGTCTTTCTGTTTGAGGTCGCCTTCAAAGATGTTGCTGGTTGTGAAGAGGCCAAGATAGAAATCATGGAGTTTGTAAATTTTCTTGAAAATCCTCAGCAGTACAAAGACCTTGGCGCAAAAATTCCCAAAGTAAGTTGTTATTTTTCTTACTTCTCCCCCTTGAATTGAATTTTATTTTCTCAGGGTGCAATATTGACTGGTCCGCCTGGTACCGGTAAGACTCTGCTTGCGAAAGCAAATGCCGGTGAAGCTAATGTGCCATTCATCACTGTGTCCGGCTCTGAGTTCCTTGAAGTTAGTTATCAGAGCTCTTACATCCTTGAAATGATCTGAAAGATGATTTGCAGATGTTTGTTGGTGTTGGTCCAGCTCGAGTTCGTGATATGTTTGCAATGGCAAGGAAAAAACAGCCCATGCATCCTTTTTATTGACGAAATTGATGCTGTTGGTCGTAAGAGGGGTGGCAAAGGTGGAATGGGAGGGCATTCTGAACAGGAAAACACGCTGAACCAACTGTTTGTGGAAATGGATGGTCAGCACTTCCATACTTCAATTACCTCTGATATTGCAGACTTGTGATTTAGGTTTTTCTACCGAAGAGTCGTCTGTGATAGTGATAGCCGCTACGAATAGAGTAGATATCTTGGACCCCGCTCTCTTACGACCCGGACGTTTCGACAGGCAGATTTACGTACCAGTTCCGGATATCAAGGCGCGTCCTAGCTTTTGTTCTCTTCCGTTTTCGTGTGAAACTTACATGGTCGATTCTTTTAATGTTGCTTTTCTCGCTGTATTGTATATGTATTTTCTAAACATTTTGCATTGATTCAGTGGCATTACTTTTGCTTAGATGTTGCGGAAAACAAACAAAGGGTCAGATTTGAGACGGAAAACTGCTCCCGAATTTCTTTCTTCCTTTGAAACTGTCCATTTTGCTAGTGCAATAGCAATCAAAATCTTCACTAAGTTTTTAGGGCCGTGCTTCATTATTCCGAGTTCATTTGGCTCCTTTAAAAACATCGTTGGATAAGTTCAAACTGTCACGGAAGCTTGCTGCGCACACTCCTGGATTTTCGGGTAATTTGTATCACTTTTGCTTTAAGCTTTCGTTTTTTTAAGCTCAAGGGTGGGGAGAGGGGGTGGGGTAGGGAATGGGGGGGGGGGGGGGTCGTGCCGGGGTGCGGCCCAGGGGGGGGTCGTATCCGACGGTCGCGTGCCGCACCCCCCGCTTTACCCTGGTTAAGAGTTCTTCCGGGAACAGCAGGCTTACTAGGTCATGCTCATAGCTTCGATACAGAGAGCCATGTACTCTGGTAAACTTCACTTTGACCGTCATGATAGAACACAACCCTCACCTGGAGAGAAGTACAGAAGTCATTTGGGACGAAGCCCCGGATATGTGACATAAGGAATGACATAACCATATAGGAATGAATGTGAATGAGGCCAAATATAGTAGTGACATTCAAAAGAAGCTTAAAAAACCGAAGGATTGCGTTTCTAGGGCCTTTTTTTGCTGAAAAGAAGAGTTTTATTTGAAAATTCAATTAAAAACTAGGACAAAACTTCTCAATCAACCTTTCTCTAAACTGCGATTGAGCGTTGGAAGTTTATGGAAGCCGATGGAGTTCAATGAAAACGAGAAACTGCGCTCAAATCTTGTGCAGAGAGTCGCCACATAAATGCTGGTCTATCGCGTTATGGAGTGATTTTCAAGACTCGCGACGTTGTCAATGCTCCTCATCGTATCATGACGATCAGAATGATATATAATGTTATAGGGTTTCGTTAAGATCCCGCGGAGGTCTACTACCAGAGCCAAATGCCCCGTCGGCTCTGGTCTGTTTCCGCTGCTCGTCTGCGTCTCCGCGCGCTGCGCGCTACCTCGCTACCCCACTCAGATAACCGCCGGGGGCAGGCGGCCATGCGAATTTTGAGCAAGCGCGCACCGGAAAAATAGTTCGTTGATTTTTTGCGGCCCGCTTGCAGAAATTTGGAAGAAAGTTGGCAAAATTAAAGACGAATGCTTGAAGAACAATCGCGGTTTCTTTATGGATTAGCTGCGGCGCAGTGGCCGCATTCTCGCGGACTTTCCGCGAGAATATGCAAAAATTTCGAGGGCCGCACGTTCCTTTGTGGAGGACCGCGCAACCCCCAGGTACTTTCCGCTGAGAGAAAGTACCTCAAACTTGAGTAATTAAACCAACGGTGACACCTCTGCCACACAGAGTCTTACCTGCGCTCGACGTACGCCCGAAAATACCTAAAAAGAGTCCGAGCGCTTGCTGAAAGTTTGGCCAGCGCTCGCTGGAAGATATTATTTGACGAGCGCTCGCAGAAAATTCTGTATTGCTGCCCGCTGGCAGAACGCGGAAGTACCGCCCGCTGAAGGTTTGGCCACGCCCCAAAATTCTGCTGACCGCCTGCAGAAAAGCGCGAGTTTGCGGACCGCCTGCCCCCGGCGATTATCTGAGCAAACGCGGGGCGCGGGGCATTTGGCTCTGGTACCCTTTTCTTCGTTGTTCGGAGCACAATTTCGACAATCTGTATATCATATTAAAGCTCTTGATCTCTATTTTCACTCTGACAACGTCGCAAGACTCCTTTTTATGATTTAAACGAGAAATCTGGGAAAAACGGCGTTTTCGAAAACCTTTTGTTTCTTCTTCAACTTAACTCTTTTCACTCGGTTTTTTTGTGTATTCGATAGGTTTTGTTTCTGTCTATGATGTAGACAACGTCGCCGAGCCTACTTCTTTGCTCATGCCGGTTTTTTTGTGAAAATTACTAAAAAGTGCGTTTTTCTTTACCTTGTTCTCTTTCAGTGCTTTTGCAACGAATTTTCCCCAGCTTGAACGATACTTGCTCAGAATGATGAGCGGAAGAATCCAGACAACGTCGCAGGATACGAAACGACTATGCGGGGGTGAAAATTAAAAGGACGCATCGAAAATCAGATTGGCGTCGATGTGCAACATAACTTTTTATACATGTTTAACATGTTCAATTCACTTGTTGACAAGTTTTCCTTCTTTCGGTCTCTCCCAACTACCGCCACAGCTGAACAGCGCGTTTTTTCACTTGAAAATGAACTTTGTTCTTGTTGCCACCCAACTTAACCGGCAATCCTGACGACAAAACTGTGCGTAGGAAACCGCCAAGTTAAGATTTCAAATTTGGTGATGTGCTAACCTCTGCTATGAATTTTTCAAGTCTCCTGGTTTAATTCATATCCCTAAATTTCCACCTATCTTTCTGAAACAACCTTCACTTTTTATAGGGGGCAGGAACTCAAACAACTATCACTTTCTAGCTTCTGTCTCTTGACTATCGAAGGTATGGTCATGCTCTTGTCTTCCACGGGGTCGCTGGTAGACTTTTGTCGCGGATTGCGGGACTCCTTCACAGTAGTCCGCTGCCGTGGCGCGGAGGGTCCCAAGACGCCAGTGCCGCGCTGCCCCGCCCACTCACATCCGCGTAATAAACAGCGCCAGCCTAGCACAAAAGTTAATTTCGTCGCATCTGTCGTCGCATGTGCCATCTCTCAGATACTCAGATAACCGCCGGGGGCAGGCGGCCATGCGAATTTTGAGCAAGCGCGCACCGGAAAAATAGTTCGTTGATTTTTTGCGGCCCGCTTGCAGAAATTCGGAAGAAAGTTGGCAAAATTGAAGACGAATGCTTGAAGAACAATCGCGGTTTCTTTATAGATTAGCTGCGGCGCAGTGGCCGCATTCTCGCGGACTTTCCGCGAGAATATGCAGAATTTTCGGGGGTCGCACAATCCTTTATGGAGGACCGCGCAGCCTCGAGGTACTTTCCGCTGGGAGAAAGTACCTCAAACTTGAGTAATTAAACCAACGGTGACACCTCGCCACACAGAGTTACCTGTGCTCGGCGTATGCCCGGAACTGCTCAAAATCGTCCGAGCGCCAGCTGAAAATTTGGCCAACGGCTCGCTGAAAGAGATTATTTGACGAGCGCCTGCAGAAAATTCTGTGTTGCTGCCCGCTGGCAGAACATTAGACAGTAAAGGAAGTACCGCTTGCTGAAGGTTTGGCCACGCCCCAAAATTCTGCTGACCGCTTGCAGAAAAACGCGAGTTTGCGGACCGCCTGCCCCCGGCGATTATCTGAGCTTGTGAGCGGTCGGCTTCGAACGTCCCCATCCAATCGATCGATCCAGCAGGTCCTTCCCCAACTCTCGCATACGTCAACATCTACCACGCCAAGGAGGACTGGCCCCAGCGCTGACGAGGTAACCCCAGCTGCGTTCGCCTCTGACACATGTAGACACACCAATTTCTCAGACAATCGCTGGGGGCAGGCGGGCACCGGAAAAATAGATTGCTGATTTCTCGCACCCCGCTTGCGGATTTTTTGCAAAGCAATCAGGACTTTTCGGAAGACCCCTCGCTGAGTCAGCGGATTTTTGAGAGACCGCCTGTTGAATTTTTTTCGCTCTCATCTTTTGCAGATATATTGCTGAATCTCTGAGGAATCGAGAACTCAGCAAGCGGTCTTCCGAAAAGTCCTGATTGCTTTCCAAAAAACCCGCGAGCGGGGTGCGAGAGATCAGCAATCTATTTTTCCGGTGCCCGCCTGCCCCCGGCGATTGTCTGAGTTGGGGGTGGAGGGGGGGAGGTTCGATTCACGGGCCCCTATGATTTAAGATCTGGTCGGTTGTACTTTACCGTTGTGCTTGAGTGTAGGGAGTTTACACGGATAAATGATGGGTATTTAGCACTTGTATTATTGATTGATGCGGTGAGCCACAGCTCTACTGTGGCTCCGGGGATATCTCGCAACATCATGTGGTTATTCTAATCGCCTAAAAAGAACGATCTGTTTGAAGGCTGGCACGACCTTGGGTAGTGCCTAGATTATAAGCATGAGCCCCAAGTGTCGATGTTGGGGGCAAGTGTCGATTCGCGGGTGTCGTATCAATTGCTAAGTAGGCTGGTGACAAGGGTCTCTATATGTGCATGGCATAGTATTGTGGTAGTTCCAACTAGCATTCTCACAGGTAAGCCACCACTCTCTCTCCATTGCATCTTCTCCCGGATGGGACCCATGGCTCTTACCGCCGATGCAGGAGAGCCTTATCAACACTGATGTTGGGAGCTGAGGGCCCAGTCCGCGACACTGATTTAACTGTATTGGCTGCTGAAAGGCAGGGCTTCGTGACCTATTAAGGCTAGGGAACGATCAGTGAGCACCTTCGCGAGGGAGACGCAGACTGCGTCGCGGGCGCGAGCGGTCGCCTTCCACCGCCAATCTCCTTGAATCAAAGGTACTTGAAGTGGGAATTGCCAGCAATTCTTACCTGAGCAAGACGGCGTAGGAGCTGGCCTGGTCTTAGCTAGGCATCCGGCCAAAACCGGAAACTTCGGATTCTTTCGTAGCTTGAAAAGCACTGCCAAAAAAGCATACGGCTGTACATTGCAGTTCGACACTCAATGCTAACTCGAGGACAAGTGGCGGCGAACCATAGTGGGGAATATATACAAAGCATCAAAAAAACCGTCGAACGAGTGTATTCATTTTATTGAGTACACTATCTGATACATGGGGACTGTATGGCGGTGATACAGCTATTTCATTTTGCTGTGTATAGCAAATGGGAAGGTGTTCTACAAATGATAAGTATCGCCGAAGCTGCCTAGTACATTTGTTGTGGATGATGAAGTCACAGATACAAGTGAGGCCTTAGTTGATGAGACATTCCTCCCCAAATCTCATCTCACTAACATCGCCTTTTCGAGCAGGCTCGAAGCAGAAAAAGGAACTAAACGAAGTCCGAAAGAATATGTATTGCCGTAGTTGAGGAACACTCAGTTAATGAAGAAAGTCTTTTGTGAAGATATTACTGGTATGGAAAATGAATTAAAATGCCTTTAAAGGCAGTGTCCGGGCAAAAACCCGATTTTGAGATTTTTTGCTTACCCGGGCCTATTCGCTACGCTGAATCCGAAAATGCACATTGGAGAGCGCGAAAACGGCGAAAAACGGCTCTAATACGGGCGGAAATCAGCAGATGGGCGGGGTCCTCCCTACTGTGAATTCACGCTCCCAGCTTCCAGAGCGATCTTCTCGGTTCCGATTTCAAGTTATACATTCGCACCTGGCCGGTGGAGATCTCAGGGCGCTATAGGAATTGGGAAGATCACTCCAGAAGCTGGGACTGCGGAATTCACAGTGGGGAAAACCCCGCCCACTTTCGATTTCCCTCCTGCGTTAGAGCCCTTCTTTCCCATTTTTGCGCTTTCCAATGTGGATTTTCGGATTCAGCATAGTGAATAGGTCCGGGTAAGCACAAAATCTCAAAATCGACTTTTTGCCCGGACACTGCCTTTAACCCATTGCGTCTGTGTTGCAAATATCGCCAGTCTAACTTCTGTAAAGCAATTCGGAGCAGCTTCACAAATTTCCTTTCACAACGTGCGAATCTCGAAAGCTCATTCAGATTTAGCTTCGTTCCAAACTCTCAGAACCGGTGCACATCTTGTGGTCATGATGACTTCGACCTTGCGACCTTTTTAGTTATAGCATTACCTGTGTTAGCCTCTTGATAGGAGTAACCTGGGGAGAAACTGGTCGTTGGATTCTCAAAGATACCTGACATATTTGGATCAGAGAGGGCAAAAGTAGTTCCTAGCCCTTACTTTATCAGCAGGTTCTGGGACTTGAAATGTGGCGCCAGGATATCTCTGTTCTAATTCTGCTGCCACTGCAAATACATGTTTCAAATAGCTCCTCCAAAGAAAGGAGTAAGTACACCTATCATGCTGGTTGTCTTTCGTATTGAACCCGTCTTTTGAGTTTTTTCTATGGGTGACGTATTTGCGGAGGAGCTTTCAGTTGGTTCGTCTAAATTGCCTCATATCCATGTCGATGGAGAAGTTTGGTCACTGCATCAGACCCACCCGGCATTCTGCAGGTGCAGCGAGAAGAAAGATTGAATGCACCTCCTACTTACAGCACTATTTATAGTTGTTGCTTGTGGTGATATCATCCATTTCCAGGAAACGAGTGAACATTGTGAAAAAATGGAGAGGTGGCCGGTTGATGTCAGCCTGGCTGATAGAATCATTCACAACAGTTTATCAGTTACTAGCTGGCATACCCGGCTCCGCCGTATGTTCCGAATAGAAAATTCCATTTGTTAACCGATCCGAACCAAACTTGGCACACATACACTTCGGGCCCCGGCGGGTGTCACAGTCCACTTTTCGTTATCGATTGATGTCGATTTTATCGATTTTTTGCAAAATTTGAGCTAGGGGGCTGGGATTTGGCACAGGGGGGTAATCGAGCATGCTGATTACGAATACAATATTTGTTTTCAGAATTATCGATTACTTTTATCAATTTTATCGATTTTTTTTGCAAAGTTTGAGCTACGGGGCTGGGATTTCGCACAGGGGGGTAATCGAGCATGGGGATTCCGAATACAATATTTGTTTTCAAAACGTGCATTACTTTTATCAATTTTATCGATTTTTTTGCAAAATTTGAGCTAGGGGGCTGGAATTTGGCAGGGGGTGTAATCGAGCATGCTGATCACCCCCACGGGGGTGATCAGCATGCTCGATTACCCCCTGTGCCAAATCCCAGCCCCGTAGCTCAAACTTTGCAAAAAAATCGATAAAATCGATAAAAGTAATGCACGATTTTAAAAACTAATATTGTATTCGGAATCCCCATGCTCACTTACCCCCTTGTGCCAACTCCCAGCCCCATAGCTCAAATTTTGCAAAAAATCGATAAAATCGATATCGATCGATGACGAAAAGTAGCCTATGACACGCGCCGAGGTCCGAAGTGTATGTGTGCCAAGTTTGGTCCGGATCGGTTCAGAAATGGAATTTTCTATTCGGAACATACGTACAGACAGACAGACATACAGACATACATACAAACAGACATTCAGCTTTATATATAAGAAGATTCTCTATCTGCTACCGTTCCCACAGCGCTTGAGCATACATACATAGGTGTGGAAACACAAATCTACAAGGCCCAAGGCATACTTTCGTCAATTCCGTCAAATCGCTGAAACTCCGCGACTCTGCATTTCAAAGGCTTTTGCCCAATGATGAACAGTCGTCGCGTGCCGAACCGCGCCGCGACTGAAATTGCGTGAGTGGTTGGGCTCAACGAGAGCTCTGTGCTAGTGGTTTTACATTCCCTTTTTCGGCTATCACCTAAATACTAGAAATCTTGGAGGAAGATAACGATGAAAACTATTAGTAGGGTTGAAGGATAGCTCCAGTTCTATTAGTTTCGGCTCGAAAGGGAAAAGGGGGGAGGGGAAGGCGAGTGAAGACACTCATTTGTGTTCCTTCTGCAAATCATGTTTTTTTCCTTTTAGACCTTGAACATATTTTGAACTACTCAGATAATCGCCGGGGGCAGGCGGCCATGCCATTTTTGGGCAAGCGGGCACCGGAAAAATAATTCGCTGATTTCTTGCGGTCCGCTTGCAGATATTTGGAAGAATTTTGGCGAAATTTTGAACGAATGCTTAAAGAACAATTGCGGTTTCCTTGCAGATTAGCTGCGGCGCAGTAGCCGCATTCTCGACTTTCCGCGAGAATATGCAAAATTTTCGGGGGCCGCACGGTCCTTTATGGAGGACCGCGCAGCCCCCATGTACTTTCCGCTGAGAGAAAGTACCTCAAACTTGAGTAATTAAACCATCGATGACTCCTCTGCCATGTAGAGTCTCACCTTTCCTCGGCGTACACCCGAAATTGCTTAAAAACCGTCCGAAGCGCCAGCTAAAAATTTGATCAGCGCTCGCTGAAAGAGATTATTTGACGAGCGCCTGCAGAAAATTCTGTGTTGCTGCCCGCTGGCAGAACATTAGACAGTAAAGGAAGTGCCGCCCGCTGAAGGTTTGGCCACGCCCCAAAATTCTGCTGAGCGCCTACAGAAAAACGCGAGTTTGCGGACCGCCTGCCCCCGGCGATTGTCTGAGTAGCTGGCTTACCCGGCTCCGCCGTATGTTCCGAATAGAAAATTCCATTTTTTAACCGATCAGCATCACCCCCACGGGGTGATCAGCATGCTCGATTACCCCCCTGTGCCAAATCCCAGCCCCCTAGCTCAAATTTTGCAAAAAAATCGATAAAATCGATAAAAGTAATGCACGATTTCAAAAACTAATATCGTATTCGGAATCCTCATGCTCACTTACCCCCCTGTGCCAACTCCCAGCCCCGTAGCTCAAATTTTGCAAAAAATTGATAAAATCGATATCGATCGATACGAAAAGTAGCCTATGACACCCGCCGGGGCCCGAAGTGTATGTGTGCCAAGTTTGGTCCCGATCGGTTCAGAAATGGAATTTTCTATTCGGAACATACGTACACACATACAGACAGACATACAGACAGACAAACAGACATTCAGCTTTATATATAAGAAGATAATTGTGTACAAATAATGGGCTGTTTCAGTACTGTTGCACGTTTTCGAAGATTAAGTTCAAAGTTCAATTCATTGAAGCTCTTTTTAAAAATGATCGTCGCAAGTGGAATAACGTGTTCAACAGTCCACAATTTTCTGGGAACTCTAGGCATACTCAAAAACTTTTGCAGCAGCAAGAAAAAAATTTTCTAGGCGAAAATAGTCAACATCTATTTTTAGAAATCTCTACTTTGACGAACCATAACTTGATTCGAAATGTGGTGGGCATGCCCCACTCTTGCCCTTTCTGGGATGGCAGACTGTGCGAAACTGGCAACCGAGAATTCTTCGTTTTCAAATAGTCTATGTTCTATGCCTTGGAACTGCACAGAGCAAAATATCCGTTGCGACTTTTAGTCACGACTTCGGGTGATGTTGCGCTGAAACATTTACAGGTGCAGATTTTTGAAGAAATCACATATAAGCATATCTTAGCACAGGACCATGTCCTCAACAGACATTACTCGTGTTTCAAAGAAATCTGCTCATCTGGCTTTGAATACGGCAATAAAGTAAAAAGAAGAACTTCCATTATTTTGCTGTACTTTTGAGGTACGGAATCACGAAATAAGTGAAGCTCTATGAAGATGAGAATTCTCATGGAGAGAAGAACTTTCAAACGATATAATAAATGTTTATAGAAAAAAATTGTTTTTTCTTCGGTCAGCAGCTCAGAAGAGGTACAAAAAAGTCGAACTTCGAAACAACTTTATATATGGTGCTAGCACGTATCGGTACCAAAGTATAATATATGTAGTAATTATGCCGTATCATTGAGGTAATGTTTATTAACACGTATATAATGAGCCGCTGAGATCTCTTCTTGTGTGAGATTCGATACTCTATACACAATGTCAGTGACTGAAAACAATATGGTAGGGAGCCGCTTTTCGAACAATTCCGACTGGCATCTTTGGTGACATGCTAGGCAGATGATCAGGATCACTCGACAGGTTGTAGCGGAGTAGGAAATTTCCAATAATCTATAAAGTACTTTACGTATGAAACATGGTATCTTGTGTGAAAGTTATGAAGAAAAAAAAACCAACTAAATACATTTCGGCCCTAGCGAGAGACTCGCCGAGACATGCTCTTCTACCCAAACCAAACGGAACGACTTGCTGGTCCAGTTTCTCTCCATTCAGGTAGCGATCGGGATCGAACTAAAAGAATATGATGGTTCTCAAGTTAGCTGAAATGCAAAATAATTCGTAGCCTTAGGTTGCTGCATAAGTTCAGTCCGATTTTTTTTGCCTTGAGTTTGAAGCAGCTGTTCTAAGAGAATTTCATCTCTAATGCGGTATTGTTAACATCACTAAAAAGTGCTTTTCTTGCTCTTTCTAATGCATGTCAAATTTCAATAATTTTCTTGGTGTAATGAGATTTCAGGCCTAAAATCTTCAAGTGGCCGAGAATTTTTTGCATAGGTGTTTTACAAGTAATAGCTTTCTGCGAATAGAAGTAATCGATAAGTTCAAAGTTGCAGATGCTAGAGTAAAGCAAGAGCTAACAGATCCCATCCACCGATTCCTTTTCGGCGCTCATGTCAATTGTAAAATTTTCCTAATTCGTAAATAGGCATGCACATATGCGCTGAAACGAGGTCAAAAAGTGGCTTCTTTTTTGCTTGGTCAAAAAAATCTCTCGGCAGCGCAGACCCTATGGGCTCTTTTGTCCTCCGAAATAATCTACGGAAATTTCTCTATCTATCCATTGTTGGACAAAATGCCTATCAATTCTCATAAGGGAGCATTACCATGTCAAAAAAGACAGGTTTGAAGAAAAACGCTGTGAAGTTTTTGGGTTCTTGCTTCTCGCTTAACAAGGATTTTCGCAAGTTTCAATATGTATCTGATAGCCAAGAACTTGCGCAACACGCAATAACTAAAATCTTAGGAAAAAGTTGACTTTGAAAGAAGTTATGACATTTTGAACTCAAAAAATTTAAATCGGACAGAACTTATGCAGCAACCTAATAAACTGCGAAGACTAGTAAATCTGACCAAAATGGTGCCACTGTAGCGGCATTTGACGACAACCTTTGTGCGTGAACAATTTGCCGGTGGCGTGGGCACGGGTAGCGCATGCTCAGACAATCGAAGGGATACCTCCGGAGGGGAAATGGCGGGGGTCTGCCACTTCGTGCTCCAGAGCCCTCACTATTTCACCCATTTTGGTGCTCCGGGGCTCCCCCAAATCTGGCGAACCGCTCCCCCCCCCCCCCCGGAGCAGAGATTTGCGAGCCCCGGAGACGGGTCCCATTCACCTTATTGTGACGTCACGGTGACGTTAATATTGAAAACCGCTGGCAACAACAGTGTGAGCACAAAATTAAAATGCCGTAACAATTTGCTTGTGCCAAATGGCCGTAGGGCGTGCACTTTTTGCCCCGGAGCACCAAAATGGGTGAAATGGGAGGGCTGCGGAGCACGAGTGGCAAACCCGCGCTGAGCAGAGCCCGGAGCCCTCCCATTTTCTCTCCGGAGTATCCCATCGACTGTCTGAGTGAGCAGAAAGTGCACGCTCTACGGCCATTTGGCACACAAATCGCTACAGGGATGGCAATTTTGTGCTCACACTGTTGTTGCCAGCGGATTTCGATATTGAAGTGACACCATTCCTCCAGAACTATCAGTCCTTACTTGCCTCATATTAGGACTAAATGAAGTGGATTATGCCTCATAGATTTTCTCCCCCCTCCACCTCCCCTTTCCCCATTGTGGAACATTAGTTCCTGCAGATCTCATGTGTAAAGTACATGTGCAGTGAAGATCTGCGGATTTTCCTTATCTTGATGGCTACATGCGGCAAAGCACAACGTTTCCCTCTTTTATCTTTTCATTCTATTTTCGTAGAAACGCATGAACTATCTCTCTTGTGCATAAGTATGTAAACTCGAGTCTTTCCGCTTATAGGGTGCTTGCACTGCAAGTACAATGCGGTGAAACTTGCGCGTGGAGAAATAGCTACTCTAGTAATGCTGACATTTTGCGCGCGCACTTGGCCGGCGTTACGGGGGTACAGTCGAGTAGATTTTCCGCTTAATATAGTGTGCTTGCACTGAAGGTGAAATGCGGTAAAATTTGCGCGTGAAGAAATAGCTAAGCCTGTGACGCCGGCAATTTGCGCGCGCAAAATGTTGGCATTACTGGCGTGGCCACTTCTTCACGCGCAAACTTTAACGCATTTCACCTTCAGTGCAAGCACACTATATTAAGCGGAAAATCTACTCGACTGTAGCTATTTGTTCACGCGCAAATTTTATCGCATTTTACCTGCAGTGCAAGGACACCATATCTAGCGAAAACTCGACAATAGTCCCAATAATTTAGAGAGGAAATATGAAGTCGAACACTGAACATCAAAGTAATTTCGAATTCTTCTCACGTTGAGATTTTCACTGCATATGGAAAAGAATAGGTCGCAAATTTTTCGAGAGTGACCCAACGAGAAAACTCGTTCACCTGAATATATAACGGTGAGTTAATGGATTTGTAAAAGCTCCAGTTTGTTAATTTTTGCCTTTAAAAAATGCACCGGCTTGCATTTTCTTCTCGACATCGCTACTGATTTATCAATATCTAACACTACTCATAGCAATCAAGATATGCTTGACCACGGCTTCTCAAGAGAGTGGTACCCATAAAAGAGCTATAAAACGTCTGAAAGTGTGAGAATAGGGGGTGCTGGGATGCCCAAACTGAGAGAAAAAACGTGATTTCCTCTGCAAGCGTTTCAAAAGCAGTTATGTGACGATCACCTGTGCGCTCTTCTTGAAGTATTCATCCTCGTGCATGATTGAACCTATCTGCGCGGTAACTGATGTTCCTTTGGGTATAGTGTATCCTCTAACATGGACGTCCTCCTTTGCCCTTCTTGACAAGTTCATGGGGAAAATGGCGGCGCATCTGTGGATTTCCTAAATCTATTAACTCAAATAGGGAAATCAGTTGCTCAAAAAACTTAATAACCGTTAGAACAGCATTGTAGTAGGGCGTCTCGGCTTTATCATTCAAGGAAAGCGGACGGGCACCGCTAGTGACCTTACGAAGCTCATCTGTGATGCGCTGTTTCACCTGAATAAGAAGTCATAGGTATAATCGATTAGGTTCTTCAGCTAATGCGTGCAATTGCACAATTTCCAAGATGCAAACGATGGAACGCGGCCTCTCAGATAAGAATGAAATGTAGTACATGTACAGTGGCAGACCGAGGGGGAGGGGCAGGGAGGGGGGCCTCGAATGTAGCCTACATGGGTTATGAAATATTGCAGTGACTTGTAAATGTAGATAATTTCAGTGTGATACATACGGTTCTTAGGAAAAAAATGAATTCGCTTTGCAAAAACCTTTTATGCAAACTGCCGCCACACCGCATTTCAGAAATTCTCCTCTTTACAAACAGCAAAAAAATACACCCAAAAATGTGGAAGGCGTGGCTACGCCACCACTTAAAAAATTCCTGCCTCCCCCCCCCCCGCCCCGCCCTCTCGCCCCCGGCTCCAGCCGTTTATGACCTAGGCATTATACACGGTGCCAAGCAGCATAAGAAACTCAAAGAACTTAAGAAAAAAATATAGGCACCAGGCCAAATTTCCTTTAAAATGTGCAATTGCATAAGAAACCTCAACTGTTTTCTAGAACAAACGTAAACTCACGTCTTCATGCAAAAGCAGATAAGCGAATGCCCAGATTAAAGTGGTAGCTGTGGTTTCCTGTCCAGCAGCCCATAAATCTAATAAGGAATGGCCGAGGCTTTCCTTGCTGAAATGGGTGATGTTAAAGACACTGTCAGGTCAACTGAGGGGTGCTGCTATTTTGACGCAGTGCGGTAACACGGCTCCTGGCTAATGCAACAGTTCAAGTCCGATTGAAAAAGGTGGATTTTGAAGCGAGAAAAAAATCGCTTCGCAAGAAAGGAGCGGTCCGCCAATCCCGCCTTCTTGACAAGTTTTGACGTAGCGAATGCTGTATCTAATATATTAATCACGTCAAAATTTGTCAAGGAGGCGGGATTGGCAAACCGCCCTTTATTTTCGAAGCGATTTTCTCGCTCCGAATCCACCTTTTTCGCTCGGGCTTGAACTTTTGCATTAGAGGAGCCGAGCTCCCACACTGCATCAAAACCCCACCACTCCCAATTGACCTGGACAATGCCTTTAGAGGCAGCGGCTCGGGAAAATTGCAACTGAGCGCTTTCTGTTCCTCCTTAGCCTTCTGGATGCTTTTAAACCAGGACTGTGCTTGAAAGGTCTAAAACGAGCTTTTATGCCGTTTTACGGCCTTGGAGATTGCTGAGAAGGAAGCGGAGATTTCCGCCAAAACAGTGACTGGTTGCAGGAGACTGTAACTCCACTCATTTTGGCGGCAATTGGCTGATTGACTTAGGCAGCCAATCGCGACTTGGCTGCTGGAATCTCCGCTCCAGTCTCCTCACCAATCTTCAAGGCCGGAAAACGCCATAGAAAGCACTTTTTTGACTTTTCAAGCACAGCTCTGGTCTATAGAAACGCATCCAGAAAACCAGGGAGGGACAACAAACGCGTAGTTACAATTTCCCAAGCCATTGCCTTCAAAGATAATTTTAGCATATTCAACTATAAAAACCGTCAAGCGTCGCGACCATTGTGCCATCTTCGGCAGATTGCCATCTTGGTTTAGCTCATACTCACTTGAAACTAATCTGCTGTCCAGATTTCTTGTCCTTCTCCATTTGGATGAGGAAAGCATCCACAAAATCATCTCCTTCGCCTTCCAAAATATGACTGCCATCTTCTATGACTTTCACCCTTGAAATAATCTTCATAATTCTTGCTTTTTCCGGTTATTGCCCACAACTAAATCAACCTCTTTTCAACTTGTCGATTGAGGAAGGCGAGTAGTTGGTTCTGTGGCGTCAGCAAAGCCTCTGCTCGACGACGGAATAGCGGAATGTTGATAGTCCAACCGTTGATGAGAAAGTCGTACGGCTCGAAAGTGTCAAAAATATTGTCCAGTTTATTTTTCAGGGCAAAGAACTGTGTTTCCTCATCCTGAAATGAAAACAGGTTATAGCAACACATTTCTTTACGTTTGCTCCTAACCTTTTCGAAACGATCTGTGAAAAGCATCCTGTTGATAATATTACCAATCATAAGATCTATCATCTGATTAGGTTGAAAGGACAGGCGACCATTTTCCATCTTTCTCTCCAGTTCCTCACAACTTGAGAATATGGAATGTCAAAATTAAATTGTCAAAATATTATGACTAGATCATTAATAGCTTTTTTCAAGTTGGCCTAGATAAGCAGAAAATAATAAAAGATCTTTGCACAAAAAACTTTGTTGACAGTCAAAGTATGAGGAGATGATTTTTGTTGTGTGAAGAAAATCTATTAAGTTTACCTTAAGGCAACTAGGTGTTGAGGGCACTACCCAAAATGGGGCTAACGAAATTTTTATGCTCGTAGTGGGGTCCCCTAGCTCTATACTTGCACACTCTCGCTGCCAAAAGTTGCATCCGGAGCGAGAATATTGCTTCAAAAAACGCTACGGATGACGGATTCGCCACATTGGCTCCTGCCCTCCGAGGGCGTGACGTTCGTCCTGTCCATCCGCGCCCCTCCTTCTTCCCCCAAACACCGTTCCCGGAGAACTTGCCGTGCGGATTCTGCGGAACCGGGATTGTGGTTTTTTCGCTGTTCTCGACTTCATGTTCAGAATTAGGGACATGAAAAATCCCTGGAACGACAAAAATATGGAAGTTGAAAATTTGGGTGGACGGTGCTTTTGAGCTAACCATTTGATTTGCGCACTGCGTATATATATTTCTAAAGGGGAATGTTATGTCCCAGCTGATCTAGTATTGCACAAAGAAAACGCTCCCTCTATTTTTTGAAAACATTCTTGAAAGCACTCAAATGAAAGCGCTTTTAACTGAATTATTCTGTCCTTTACCTACAAGGTTCTTGGTGGATATACAAAATACAGATTTCCACTTATGAGAGGTCTGGCTGATTTACACTAAATAAGTGATCTACTAGACACCGAGATGATGCTTCCAACTGTTGCACTGCAGGCTTAGCTTATTAGAATATGTCAAACAAAATATATGACTCTCATTGTAAACGTAGCAATTTAAAATTGAGCGAAAACGTGCAAAAATTTCAATATTTTCTGCATTTCGGAATGCCCATGTTTCATGAATCAGAAAACTTACGTGTATTCAAATTCAAACATTATTCTTTGCTCAATGATGTTTCTTCCTAGGCCAAAATTCCTCAAAGTATGTAAAGCAAAGCGTCGTTGCTCCTGCCAAAACTGGTCGCTGGACGCGAGAAGACCTTTACCTTCTGAAGACCTCTCATTCAGTGACACATACGTCATGTCAGATTAAAGCAACCTAATCACACCTCTAGAATATTCGAAAAGAAATGGCAGAGCTCTGTTGATGAACGCGGATCCGTTCTTGACCATTGCCTCCACCGCACTAGCGTAGTCGCAGAGATGCACAGTCGCAATAGGTCCAAACCATAAAGTAAGCATACCTCCATATTTCTAGAACACACCGGTGATTCAATTTTCTCAAATAATCTTTTTTCCTGCACACGGTCAAGAAGTAAAAAGCCTAGATATCTTGCAAACTTCTCGCAATCTATCACGCTCGAAAGGCTACGATATGGCATGATACCAAGTAAAGAAGTGCGAAGAAGTGATCAAAGGCGCGAGAAAGTCTATTCCTCAGGTAATTCCATAAGCAGTGGTAAGCCTTTGCTGCCCCCTACACACTAAATTAGTTGGCGTTACATGAATAATTCCTCTTTCTATTAGTAAGTTGTCGTATTTGAGGGGCGCAAAGTGCAATCCAGAAGGAGCGTTCGAACAGTTACTGCCACCTCGCCTAAATCGAGTTTTTAAAAATTTCAATCACTTTGGGATTACATCAAGGAGCAAGAGGAGAGTCAATCTCACGGTACATGCATTTTTTTCTCAGAACTCTCTTATTGATTATGCATAACCCCTCTAAAAGTACCTCTCCAAAAAATCTAGTCTCCTAGCAAAAAAGCAACTCATGATTGCATCCACCGCCTCGAAAAAAATTTTGATAGCGAATAAAAATTGAAAATATCGCTTCCTTCGTGGTGATATTTCATTCCCCGACCTCCCTCCGAATACAAGCAAAAATTGATTTTGATTAATGGGCAACACTATGCAATGCACCCAAAGCGGCAATTCCAAAGTTTTGGGAAGTCGCTGAGAGCTGAACGAAAATTGGAAATTTCCAGATTTGTGCTTATTCTACGCGACTCCTGCACAATGCCCTGAGGGAGCGGTGATTTTACAAGTTTGGAAGAATGGTCTCCACGTAAAAACTATAGGTTTCAAGCTTTACTGGTTTTTCAGAAGCTCGTGGTACGCACTGGGATGAAAACAGCTACCACGAAAAGAAAAAAGCGTGGTCATCAAAAATGTGAACAAGGAGGAAAGCGCCTGTTACTTTTCACTGAATGATTTCAATAGTCGTGAAAACCCACCTTTACATTTTCATTCATAAAATCTCCGAATGATTTCTTTTTTAGCAGCATTTCGTATATGAGAAGGGGAGCGTTCCCAATCAGTGGCAACGGTAGTGGACCTCAATTATCATGAAATATAAGTCATGGGTATATATTGTTTATAGCTATTAACCTGGTGGTAGAGATCTTCTCTTGGTCCACATCTTGAAAATCAAGAAGGTTAGAATAGCAAGTAAAAGCAATAGGGATATCATTATGTTAACGGTAGTATGCTGAAATTATTTTTCATTGTCTTTTGAAATATCACAGCTTCGAAACGCAAACGCATAACGTCAGAAGACAACAACATTGATCACAGGTGCTTTTTTTTATGAAAATAAGGTCATAAAAGCCTGTTAAAAATAATTTTAGGCATTAGAGAAGCTAGTACACAAGTCGGCGAAGGAATCACGAACTATCAGGCGAGAGAAAGAGAAAACGCTGTAGTAAACACTGGTCGAACGTTGAAGCAAACAAGCGACTGCTTGGCGTCATGGAGATAACTTTTGGTCTCTTGATGCCATTACGCTGAAGTTGAGATGATTCTGACCGGTCTACCAATGTATGGGGTGTTTGAAAAGTTTCTGGCCTCAAGTACTTCACTTGCGGATTCTAACTTGATTTTTGCTACATGTGTTTGCTAAACCTAGAAAGCACTGAATCAACAAAGAATGATTTTTTCTTCAAATTACCCAAAAAGAATTTGAAAGTAAACACTTTTTTCAGCTTCTATGAAGAGACGGAAGAGTGTGTTATTCGATTTGTTCTCCCTTTTTTAACGCCGGATAAGAAAACAGCTTTTCGTTTTTTTTTTCCATTTCAAGTAGTTCTAATTCTACACTTTCCTTCCATAACAAAAGTTCTCCAGTAGCTTGCAAACAAAGATTTTTTATGTCGCCAAATTACAGCACACAGACGTACAAGTTTCTGTTGAGGTTTTTATTTAGAAAATTTTGTAAGTCTCAACTAATGTGTAATTGTAGCACAACTCTCTAACTCTCATTGTGTTCGTTTTCAAGTATTTTGCAAGCTTGAGGAGTTTTTGAAGATAAAATATTAAAAAACTGGATTTGTCTTTCGAGGTAGGGCATCTCAAAACGAACTCATTATCAAGGGAATGAAAATATATGTAAGAAACTAGAAAGAAAGGTCTCATAGTATGCAAAGTTTTCTTTGATATGTGTTTTCTTCTTTGTGAGAAGCATTTTGGAAGAAGAGGCGTGAAGCTAAAGAGCCGTCACAAAATCAAAACCGAATATAAAAGTAATCTTCACTAGACGTTTTAGCCATTAGTGACCGATATCTAAACTTTTTGAACTTTCCTCTACAGCTCGTGTCGGCTGCAATACGTCAATTAAAAAAATGATTCAAGCTAACAAATATCCAATTCTCTCACCACTATATATTACACGAACGAATTTGTATTATAGAAACTAGGTGAGATTAAGAGTATTATAGCTTTTGTGCAAGACTTATACATCATCTCATATATGTGGCAAGATTCGCCAGAGTAGGGAAATGAGCAGCAAGCAAAGGAATTTTGATTAGATTCGAAGATCTCTTGAGCAATAAGAGGTTTAATGTTGTTGTGAGAAAAATAAATTAATTTCACAGTTCTTACCTCAGAATAATACTAATGAAATTTGGCATTCAAACTCAACATAGCGAAAATGAGATCTCAAGCAAAAACATCACAAAACACCTCCTAAATGTTATGAGAACTACTTGATCTTGAGGTTACATTCTCAAACATAGCTGTGAGTTGTGAAAATGCTCCAAGAAAATTAGGCGATAGCGCTGACACTACAGGCCATTCTCGATCAGGATTAGATACATATATTGTACATTATTGATTAGATATATGATGGTTCAATGTCTACTAAAGCAATTCTCTCGACTGAAGTGAAATCAAATAACTGTGGTGCAACTATATTTGGATTGGAGACAATTTCATATATGTCACCGACAGCATTCGCAAACGTGCTCATAAAATATTAGGTTGTTACATTAGTTTTACTACGCTTTAATTTCTTGTGACGACAAATCGTACATTTCGTAAATCTAATGGGGCCCAGGGCACCGTTCGACAGTGCAAAGCAAGCTCTACAAGATGGTATGCAACAGTTCACACCAGCTTTGACCCGCCGTAAGTTTGCATCCAAAATGTTAATCGCACAGAAGGCTCAAGAAATTGGGAAAAATTTATATCTTTGCTCAAAAAAAAACATTACGGTTTTTAACTAGTTCACACAGCGTGCACACCACATCAGACACTCATATGTACCGTTGCTGTTTTATTTCCTCATATGGAAATCGAGAAAACGAAAATTTTCTTGCTCTCACAAAAACGAAGCTATGCTGTTTCTATTCATGTAGTTGTATACTACAAACCTTTAACAGTATAGCCGTAAATTTTCAGCTTTCCACCAGCTCTAGTTTTCGATAAATGCCGAATTTAGCTTTTTTCTCTCGGGTGTTCAGTGCTAAATTTGGTATTTCTCGAAAGCTAAAGCTTGTGAGAAGTTGAAAATTTACGGTTATACTACATGAGTGGAAACAGCTTCGTTTTTGTAAGAGCAAAAAAATTTACGTTTTCTCAATTTCTAGATGAGGAAAAAATATAGCAACGGTACTATGAGTGTCTGATGTGGTGTGCAGTCTGTGCGAGCGAGTTGGAAATCCGTGATATTTTTATGGGCAAGGAATTCCACCCATTTTTTGGGCTTTCTGTGCGACTCACATGCCGGATGCAATCTTGGTGGGTCAAAACTGATGCGAACTTTTGCACATATTCTTGTAGAGCTTGCTTTGCTCTATCGAATGGTGCCCTGGAGCCCTATTAAAATTATGAAGTTTACGACTTATGGTGGTTAGAATTTAAAGTATAACAAGACTTTGTAACAACATAATAATAACCGAGTGGTTCCATTGTAATCATTCTTTTTCCACTAATAGTCGCAATACCATCCTGCAGAAGAGCACAACTAGCGAAAAAAAATTTAGGATGTTCCAAAGACTGCTTCGTTCTTCTCATTGCAGGTTCATAAAAATTCATTCGACCAGAGTCATATGATTCCAGTAAAGCCATCATTTTTACCTTTGTTGAGTTTCTCTGACAGTCCAATTTTTAAATCAATTTTTGTCAAATTGGCAGACAATTTCAAGACAGAACAAAGGCATAGACTGTAGGAGAACTTCGAAAAATTTATAAATCCTACTTCTCATAATGTTTTCCACGGATCTTGAGTTTCTTTGGTATTCTGGTAAGCTTGAATTTGCAAAAGTGAAAAATTTTCCAGGTTTTGAGTCCTTTACTGTGGATTATCCCAGACTGTCATCTCCACAAACATATGTATTTTTCACATCTCACTCTCTCTTTTATGAAATTATTGGTACATTTTTGCAACACTTTCGTAAAAGGAGTACGCTTCCTCAAAATTTGCGCAAGATTCAAGAATTCTTCAAGGAGCAAAAAGTTTGAAGGATATACTTAAAGCATTACTATCTAGCAACATTTTCTGCCACGGCCTTTGTTAGATATGTTAATTTTACCAGATGACGCTACTGGTCTCAGTAGTCAGCGGCTAGATATTGCGTGGAATCAACTTGATAAATTACTTGTCCAAGTTAGATACATTGCTAACTAAAATTACACATCTATAGTGACAAATGGCTCGATTTACCTGTCGTCAATCAATTAATCTAGAAACTGGCACAGGTAGTAATAGAACGGGTCTTACTTATATCCACCAAAAATAAAATCAAAGCTCCAGCAACCTTGTGACGTTGACTCCGTACCGTATAACTACAAGTGCATGCAGAAAAACTACTGCGAGAAGGAGTATCACTGTGATAGTAAAAGCGCGCATATATCACGCAATTTCATCGACTCGCGTCTCCAACAAGACAACTTTACGAGTTCATTAAATGCCGATTATTTTGCATTTCGGTTGTGACAGGTATTCGCCATTAGTCGAGTCGGAGAACTACCACGACCGAAACGCAAGTTGACCGGCATGCAATGGACTCGTAACAGTTGTCTTGTTGGGAGAATCGCGTGGCGATAAAATCGCGTGAACTCTGTCCGAGGCCTGAGATGTCGAATAGCGCCCGTGATAAGGTTATTATAAATTTCGGTTATGCGCTCTTTAGGATTTTACTTGAAAAGTCATAGAAATCAACAGAATTCATTCAAGTGGTCACTTGGTAATGAAGATTTCTTGCCTGAATGTGTGGAACATAAGCAAAGTAGAATATCTTTACTAATCCAAGATGATAGAAAGTAAAATCTGATTCTGTAATAAATTAGGGAAGGAATGAAATATCACAAAATAACCACGTATACGATAAGTAAGACTGAAAAAAGCAAACCGTAGCATCGAAAGTGCAAAGTTGTAAAGGGGAAAGGGAGACTGTTTAATAATCAAACATGTTGACGTATGATAAAGATCTAATGATAAGTATTATGTCCTGGAAATGGAGATAGATGTGACAAACAAACAGGCACTTCACATAGGTATTCTACGCTACCGAATTCCTCCTGTAGTGAGAACTTCCGCACATAAAGAACAAACGCGCACTCTTTTCTCTTCACCAAATTTCGCTATCGGCATTGTCACTTCAGAGCATTTTGCACAAACAAGCCTTCCGCAGTGCCTAAAAACAACTTTAAGGGCTTCATAAAAGCACAATTATACTCCTAGTCAACAGATGACGCGGCCGAGATATACGGACTTAGATTATACGAGATTTTACATAACATTATTACACTATTATTTCATTACATTATATTACATTACATTATTCAGGATCTGCTTTTGTCTTCAACTTCTGCACACTATTACACGCTTCTTAGCCTCGAAAGCGGATAGCAAGAAAACTCAAGATGGTATGTATGCATAAAATAGCATGAGAGCCGTTAAATGCATTTTTGTGAGTATAATTGTAAGAAAATCACCGAACAAAAAAGGCAAGCTGCAAAATCAAAAAGATGATCTGGACACATACTACCCTAGCAAGGAAAGGATTCTTGGATTGCAGAATCGTTTGCTGTGCCTGGGCTGCCCGAGTTTAGAAGAAAAACTCTGCGCCTTGTACTCGTTAAATTTGAGTACTAGTTTTCGAAAAGTGTACTGTAAAGTTTGTAGAACTTTCACCCAAGAAATTATTCCAGTCTAGTCGCCACTCCTTTCATTACTTTACCTTCATAGTCATAACCACATTGCACGACCGCCTGGTTATTGAAACTCAAATGCAAACTGTAACATAGATCGCTAGTTCGTTTCTACTCCACTGACTGTTTTTCTTCAATGACGTTGTCTTCTTGATCAAACTCATACCTTAGTACAGAATTATATGGCAGATATATTTTTCCTTTACAAGTTCAAATGAAGCGGGAGGGAGACTTCAAACAATAAACACTTAGTACTACACAAAGATCAATTGTAAATCCATTCGATCGCATTAGAACTTATCTTATCACAAATGCAAACAACAAAACTGGGAGAAGAAACACAAAAAAGGTTTTCTTGTCAGTCGAGCAAATGTTTTCCAAAATAAAGATTAAGAGACGCCCAAAATGATCTTATATCCAGTATAAAAAACTGCACGAACAAACCTGCAGTGATGCTTCCTGACTGTGATGGAGAAACGAACGCCGCAGTCACAAACATCGCCATCTGACCATCGTGGTTCTCGCTCTAGCGAATCTGGATAACACATACTAATCAGTTGCCTCAAACTTTCAAGCACATGAACTCACGTGATACATCTAGTAGCAGGAAAAACTGTTTTTATGGCAATTATCTAACAGTTGAAACGCATACCTAGTAGTCTGAACAGCAATAATCTTGTAGGTGTCTCATAAGTGAACATAGTAGCACCATCGGCATTCCTCGCACCCATTGTGGCACCAGCTCGAAGAAGACATCGGCATACGTCACCATTTCCAGCCATGTAAGCCAACAGTAAAGCTGGAATCCGGAAAATTTGAAGATGTAACTGCCATTTTAGCCGGCTTCAAAGTTACAACACATAGCATTATTTATTTTCTGAGAATGACATGTGAAAGCGCACCAGTATTTCCGTCGGCGTCACGCTGGTCAACATAAGCACCAAACTCTTTCTCCAAAAGTCGGTTTGCTTCCCGCCTTAGTAATAAATCGCATATATCAGCTGGAGAGCTCTTGAGCCGAACCTTCTCTGCTGTTAGGGTGGAACAAAGATGAAGAGCCGTTTGAGAACTAGGAATGTGTGGCACGTGGAGCTACATGAAAGTATATCTAGAAAGACCTACTTTTTATTCGTAGACAATCCATCAACACTTGCGTTCGCAGTCAATACTTTGACGCAATTAATACTGCCGGATCGGACTGCGCAAAGAAGAGCTGAAGCTTTTTCAGAATATATACTGTGATAGAGAACTGCATGATTCTAAAAGATGAAACTTGACTAACCATTTTCACCTCTGTCATCGACAACATTAGGATCTGCCCCATTTTCGAGTAGTATTTCAGCATGACAGGCCCGATCTGCTCGAACAGCCACATGCAAGGCAGTGTTGCCGTCTGCTGCTTTAGCACCCACATCACAGCCAGCAAGAATCTAAAACATTGGTTAAGCTCAAACAGAGACGAACGACAAAAGGTAAAACAGAAGTCTCCACCTCTTACCAAATTCCGCATTATCAGTTCATTGTCAACATTAGCAGCATAATGTAACGCGCTTTGTCTGGAACCATCAATGGTAACGCGTGTTGCGTCCGTATGAGTACTGAGTAGGAATAGCACGCCTTCGAGATCATTTGTCTTCACCATTGTGTGCAGCAGATTCTCGCCTACAAGAACATCATCGTTTCCCTCTATTGAAATTTGGCACTTTTCCATTATCCAGACCATTTTTGAAGATGTTCTCATGAGATACTGGCTTCAGCCTGGAGATGCTTTTTTATAAATCTCCTGAGGACTGTCTCTTTGCCACGGGCCAGTTTAACATGTTTTCTCAAAGTCATTTCCGGTGAGGTACAAAGGTATTGGAAATGATTCGAAAGCTGTTCAGGGGTGTTCTATAGAAGCGAAACAGTTTTAAAGGCAGTGGACAGGCAAAATGGACCCATGTCAGATTTTGGTAGTTTCGGGTAGTGGACCCCCCAAGTACACCGTAGCCCCAACCCCAACTTCCAATTGATGCGCTAAGTCCTGAAAAAAGCGCTTCAAACTTCCACCGATAACGCCCACTCAATGCAAGTGGGCGGGGCTGGTGGAGTTTTGAAGCGCTTTTTCAGGACTTAGCGCATGAATTGGAATGTGGGGTTGGGGCTACGGTGTACTTGGGGGGTCCACTACCCGAAACTACCAAAATCTGACAGGGGTCCATTTTGCCTGTCCGCTGCCTTTAAACGTTTATCAAAACATCTTGATATTTCTAAGCAGTGATTCAAGGAAATCCTGCTTTTCACATTGTTTTCGCATGCGAATTCAGCCGGGAAAGAATTAAATGATTGCCTGAAGTACGTGGGTGGGTACCTATTGTTTCATCGTTCAAATGATACGACAAGCCCACTTCTCTGCTTCGGGGAATCTAATGTGTCCACTGAACACAGAATGCTAATTTCATGATATTAAAGCTTATTCATAGAATTGTTGATTGAAAATGGGGTCATTATTGAATAGAAGACAGACTGAACTTGTAGATAGGTAGGCTAAACAAATTCTTGGTGAACCTGTTAAACATGTAGATGACATGTCATTTTTTGTCACTGGCAAGAGGTTGATTCTCCATCCTGTGAAGTTACTACTAAATTTTGGTAAAAAATGAAACAAAATCCCTTTTCGAAAAGATGGTCCGACCGACGGAAAAGTACCGAAATTCCATTGAGGCAAGCATTAGCAACATCAAGCAAAAGTTGTTTATATAGGCTCTGATGTCAGCAGCTGCTTTGTGTAAGCTAAACTGACAGGCTATCATATAACGAGATTCAATAAATAAAAAAGCAGAAATGTTTCATAGAGCATACCACTTCCGTTCGTTTGTAAAGCTACATGAGGTTGTCTCCGTACAATCGCGGCTGCCAGCTGGAAAGCTTATGCAGATCTTCCAAGCTTCAGTGTATGCAACTAACCGAATATTCTTTCATGACGACAGCCAGGGAAAAAGGAGTCTGGCCTATTTTATCACGAATAGACAGGAAACTGACATCCGCTGCTCTCAACAGCTCCGCCAGGGCCTCCGCGTTCTTTTCTTGAACCGCTACGTGACATGCTGTACGCCCTTGAGCATCCTAATAACGAAATGTAGAGTAAACAAACGATAAAGGAAAAAAGAAGCTACCTGAGGGACCAAATTAACTTTGGATGTCACCAGTGCAGCAACGAGTTTATTCATACCCGATGATACCGCTCTGTGCAAGGCTGGTTCTTCTCTTCCCTCGCCAGGGTCACGAGATACTCTGGTAGCGTTGCCATTACAGCCACTAAAAATTTTCCACGGTTTTCGTACCTACGGGAACTAGATAATATCAAGGATTAGTTGTTTTTTGCCCGTACTTCTGTACAAGGAAGATTGCCGCTTTTTCATCACAAGCGTCAATGAAATGGTGAAGCACAGACTGAATATACGAATTGTCAGCAGTGACACTCTCCACATCACACCCTAGCGAAACGAGCATTTTGGCACAGTCGTAGTGACCTAGATTAACAGCCTTTATCAAGCCAGTTCGTTATCACATACTGTTCTGCTTGCCTTCAGTAAGTGCACGTTCTAATACCGTATATCCAAGGCCGCCATCAGTACGTTCATTGATATTCACTCCAAGACCGCATATGACACGAAGGGTATCAAGAAGACCAAAAGTTGCGGCTAATTCGAAACAACTTCGCCCATTTGAATCCCTGCAAGAACCCGAAACAACGCTTTGAAATGTATGTAAACAAAAAAAATGTTGAATAATCACCTTGCAAGATGATTTGCTCCTTGTTCTATGAGAAATCTAGCCCCTGCATCGTCAGAAAGAAGAATGCGCTGGATTAATAGTGTGTTATCATCCAGATTCCTCTCTTCAATCTGAGCACCGGCTAAAATTAAGCATGCAAAAGCATTCACTAAACAGAGTGAAAGATCAATAGATCTCATTGTATCGACCTCCAATTATTATTTTTGCGCAATCCAGCGCTTTCTCATCGAGGGCATATTCGAGGACTTTAGATGCTGTCCAGTCAATCCCTGAAAACATGAACTATCGTCTATACATTTTGTAGTCGATAACGCACCTTTTGCTTTTTCAGCAAAAACCTTGATCATCTGAGCGCCTTTAGAAACGGCAGTATGAAGCATGGAATCCTTCCTCTGCTGCGAGATGTCCACGCTAGCACAATGCTCCAATAAGAGACTGGCCATTCCTGCATTATTCTGACGCACAGCAACCTCTAGTGGAGAAGCACCCTAAGGATGTAACAAAGTGATAAAATGTTATATGGATGAAAAGGGCAATCAGTACAAATCAGTGGCGTGCCCAGGATTTCGGCTCGAGGGGGGGGGGCGCGACAAAAAAAATTTTCTAATAAAGGTGCATGGCGTCAGCCACGCACTCCGAAAAATTTTATGGGGTGTTTTCCAAAATTTTTCCGGGCCCTTGACCCCAAAATTCAGAAAAAGGGGGCGTGGCGGCAGCCACGCCCCTAAAAATTTTTTTTTACAAAGCTAATTTAAATTTCTAAAAATTTTTAAAAATTATTCTAATTGTTCACAAGTAAAAACAAGTCCTCTGCACATTTTTAAAACACATTTAAGTGATTTCCAAAAATTTCGCGACCCATTCTCGGGGAAGGGGGGGGGGGGGCGCGCGCGCTCCCCCCCCCTGCCCCCCCCCTCCTCGGTACGCCACTGGTACAAATGGATTGGAGCTAATGTGACTTACATTCTTATCTTCGACATCAACATTTGCTCCATTTTCCAAAAGAAACTTTGCGATATCGAAGTTGTCTCTATTAACGGCGATGTGAAGCAGCGACTCTTCAAACAACATTCGTTTAAACCTTCACTCCACAATAGGTACAATTAATTCCGATAGTAACTTTGAAGGTGTGTACTAGAAAAATGGTCATATAAGCGTGAGAAAAAAACGGAACACCAAGGGATCTACTTGGAAAAGAACTGGATGATACGAGGGCAAATGTATACAGAATGCAAAACTTCACGCGAACTGGCTAGAAAAACGGCTAGAAAAAATAAAAACAAAAATGCGAATATTCCTCATTATCGCTTTCGCAAAAATTTTCGAAAAAACAACTAGTCAAGGTAGCATCAAAAAGCAAACCTTTATCTATGCGATGATTGACGACACTCGTAGCACCATGACCAACGATAGTTGCCGCAAGATCAAGATCGTTTCTTTCAAAAAGAGCGACAGAAAGAGGGGATCTTCCATCGACATCAGACTTGACCAAATCGGCTCCATTGACAATGAGTGTGTTTGCCAGAGGAAAGTTCCCGCTAGCGATACTGAGAAGTACGGCTGTTCTAAAAAAAGGTATCAAAGATGGAAAACCGCAAAATTCGCAAACCTCACCTGTTTTTGTAATCCGGCGCATCCATGCTCATCTCTCTGAGACGCGATTCAGCCCACTCGGCCATAGCAGCTTGATTAAGGGGAGAAACAGCAATAAAATGAAGTAAATTCGATCGCGTTTTCTCATGAACAAATGCGAGATCCGCCCCCGCAGACGCTAGGAATTCACATGCTAGCGCATCCCCTGAAGATACAAAAGTTTCGAGAAATGTTCATAAGAAAGCCTGCATAAGATGGAGGTAGAGAACCTGCCTTTTTCAATCATTCGCACAAGAATGGACTTGCCCAATCCATCTATCACGTTGCAGCTAGCGTTCTTTGACAACAGTTGGTTAGCCATATTTATATGACCAGAGGAGAGCGCAATTTCCAAAGGTGAAAGGCCGCTTTGATCGAGAGCATTTACCAAGATGGGAACCTGAGAAAACAATATAATTGTCGTGCAAAATGAGACAAACGTAAGCTTTGAAAAAAGGGCGGATACATACCTTTGAGTCGTTCTCAATGAAGTATAAGAGAAGGACATCTTCACGGTTGAGCTGGACGATCGAGTGTAGTATATGATGCGAGTTCCTGGATTATCTGGTGTTGAAGCAGCACAGACTGCTCTCAGCTGGACGATGCCTACCTTTTGAGAAGTTGATAGAGTGAAGGTGCTGAAAGATGAGCAAACTGCTGGGGAACAAACTCGTTCCAGTGAGCAGCAATGATAGCTCCACAATAATCACGTAAATCGCCTATATCCTCGGTGTCAGCAAATTCATAAAGTGATATACAGCTGCTAACATCTACGCGTGCTTTCAGATGTTGTACACACCTGAACAAAGGTCTATTGATGAGAATCAAGATGATACAAAAATTTACCTGGATTGCAAGCCTTTGAAGTGGTATCGAAACGCAATGTGGCACACTTCTCTCAACAATTCCTGGGATACATTTGATCGAGGGAGCACATCCGTGTACATCCACCGATAGACCAACTCGAATGCTTCGTAGTTAACGTCTGCAAAAAGCGATTATCACAAGATGTCTGATCAAATACATCATGCCTTCCACAAACTGGGCAAATTACAAAACAGGGAATTACAGAGATATGATATGGAGTATCGAAAAAGCTTTAAACTATCTCTGAAAGGGCATATACCACGAATCGTCAAATGATCACAAGCCTCGCAATGCAAACCTTATGTGATAGAACTTTTATCAAACATGGATTCCCATTAAGAACGGACACACATTACGCGATTTTAGGGATCGTTCAGACCGCGCACAAGGGCGCATGAAGGCGCATGAAGGCGCACGAAGGCGCGTGTGAGTGTGTGTGTTTGTCGAGATAAACGAGACGAGACGAGAAGCGCCTTTGTGTGCCTTCGTGCATCTTTGTGCGCGGTCTGAACGATCCCTTATCGCCTCGCAATTCTCTCAGCAAGACAACTGTTACGAGTCATTGCATGCCGATCATCTTGCACTTCAATTGTGACAATTTTCCGACACGTCTAATTGAGACTAACTCTTACCCGAGATGCAAGATTATCAGCATGCATTAAATTGGTAACAGTTGTCTCGTTGAGAGAACCGCGTGCGATGAAATCGCTTGATGTATGGTGCATCCCTCAATATGTCCCCATATGAACCTTTAATGCGTCTCGATCATTTTAAAATGTTTACTTTTAAGGCAGCCAGGTGTGGTTCACAAGGGAACAACTTTGTGGGATGCACGATACGCCCGGCCTTTGAGGTCACATGAGGTAAAAACGGTAAATATACCCTTACTTCATAAGAAACATGACCTGCTACTGACCATCTCTCTGTTGCTCTGTGAATCTAACCTTCTCTTATATTTTGAGTATATTGTGTGGAAAGCTTGTTTACTTAGGATCGTAGCGCATATAAATGTGGGCAGCAACGCGAATGCCCCTTCATTATGTGTAGTGCTTTACATTTACCTATTTCCTAAAACAAAACAAAAAGATGATAACACAAAGCTTAAACGAGATGGCTAGCAAGAAAAGTACCTGGTATTGTGATGTGGCCCACATTTTCGAGATCGTTCCAGTGACTGCTCCTCGTCGTTAGAAGGAATTTATGACATCTCAGTTCCCGGTTGCCAATGCGAATGACAATGTCACTAAAATGGATAAGCTATACAACTGTCAATGTCAGTCAGTGTTTGCAAAGATTCCTGCTAAGGCCTCGGGCAGAGTTCACGCGATTTCATCATCGCGATTGACCGCGACAAGAGAACTGTAACGATATCATTGCATGCCGATCTTTTAGCATTTCGGTTGTGATAGTTTTCCAATAAGGCTAATCGTCACTAACTATCGCATGCGAAAAACAGGAAGATCGGCATGCACTGAACTCGTAACACTTGTCTTGTAGCGATAAATCGCGACGATGAAATCGCGTCAACTCTGTTCGAGGCCTAATGCGGAGTCCAACGGCGCCACCACTGTTATGCTAATACTCTATGATGCTTTTCTTCTGGTGCATTGTTTTATTTTAGATGAAAGGTGTTTGAGAAAAAAGGTAGCACTTTCGATAAGGATATTGAGACATTTTAATTGAAAAAACTCCAAGACGAACAAGATTAACGCTGTTCTTGGAAAGCATCTTGAGAAGGCAAAACATCCGGTGAGCAATAAATGGATGAACCGTAAGTGATCAAATAACGACTTGTAAATTACCTGAAAGTATGGTGCTCGAACAGAGTCCTCATGGTGACAAACAGTTCTCCAGCAAGTGATCCAGCTTCAGGGCATTGTCCTGGGTCGACTTTCGCTTGTAGAAAAGCATACTGCTGTTGCAATTGCTCATACTTTGTCTGTAGTTTCAGGTGCTCCTCACGCAAAAGGTCGACCTGATTGAGCGAACCCATGCAGGACAGCACCAGCCCGCGAGCGCAGCTGATGGATAATCGAGCTCGTCAACGTCTGCGCCGTGTTGCGACTTTGTAGCGCGTTATTGAGTCACTGCTGAAAACCAGTCTCTAGCTTTAAGATCAAGTCATTTTCATGTCGATGTTTCGAGAACTAGCCTCGGAATCATTAGATGTGTGTTTTTGAAATCTTGATAATTTAATACATATTAGGATTGAATTGAGTGATAAATCGGAAGGCAACAACACCTCGAAACAAGACACCATTCTTTTCTGAGACAAATTCATACAAATCATATACATATGGACCTCTAAATTAGCTCTTCAACGGCTTTAAGAACTAGAATTAAATCTAGAAAGAAATGCAGTTATATCCGCTCCTTTCTACTTTCTGAGTTCCTCGAATCGATAGAGTATGCGCGTTCTTTCTACAAGTTGACGCAATAAGTGAATACCTTGACTAGGTTTTTGGCAAGAACGACCTCCAAAATAAACAGCTATTCGGCCTCATTTCATGTGGAGAATGTATAAGACGTTGCCATGCTCTAAGAAAATTCGCCAAGTATGTAAATCAGTGTTGCGCATACTTTGTGATGAGTATTGCAAAGCATTCCTGGTCACTTGGTTCTAAAGTTGATGAAAAAAGAACTCAAGCTTAGCTCGCATTGACAGTTACACGAAAATTCATTATTGCTGAACAGTTCTCTCGAATTTTGCAGTCGTATAGGTACTGTAAAAAGCTCGCTTCTGAAGCAAACAACGACTTTTTGCGTACGGCGCGAATCATTTTCGGAATTTGAAATATGTGGTGTTGTTGCGCGTATTTATTTTCCTTCTTAGTGCTGCGTTTCTTAAAGTACATTATTGAGGAGATGATATGTTGCCTGATGGATTTCTGTTGTCGGGAGATAGCGCTCTCAATGGTCTTCCGCATCTCTCGAAATTGGTGAAAGAATTGCTTGGTAAGAAGATCAAGAGGATTGTTGAGCGAGAAGTAAGTCTTTTTTGTCTCTGTCCACTATTCCCTCCGTTTACTTCTGGTTTTGTTTGATCGAGTTCCCCATCAGTTTTTTCGCTTTCCTTCAATAATGAATCGTATATCGATGACCACCACCTCGCTTTTGTCGTCAAAATTCTTGCACTCTGATGAAGCTGTTCTCAACTTATCTTGTTAACTTTATTGACACCCGCACGAGTCTTTGTTCCACTCATAACTTGGGACCAATTACAGCTAAAAATTGCGCAGCAACTTCTGCTTCATTTTCCGGTCCAACGATCCAGAATCTTTCATTTTGCTGAAATCAGGGGCACTCAATGTGCTGCAAGAAGAAGATATCAAGCCGCAATTTTTATTGCTAGAAGGAGACTGATTGCAGCATTTTCAACTTTGACTTTCCAGAAGCTATAAATTCCTGAGGAAATACGCTAGGTCGTTGTCAGGGCTGTCCAACTCATCTTGACATTGAAACAAATTCTGAAGGTCAAAAACTCTTGAAGAACTGATCTCAGTTTTGCGACAATTTCAATTTTCACAAAGCCGTCATACATAGCAACTGGTAATTTCAAATAATTAGTAAGCTAGAGCACTTTGTCGTTTTTTTTTTGAAATACTCGCATACATAGCTCTAAACTGGGCTGTGGATTTGATGACCTCTTGAGGAATTTTGACCGTCTCTTCCGCAAAAATATAATCACTTCGTTGTTACGCTACACGCTTAAGGGAACACATTGGGGCAGTCGTCTCCTGCGCTTGCAATATCTTCCCTTTTGGGTTGATACAATTTTCATTTTGCAACCGATTTCTTCGCTTTTGTTGAATGTTCAAATCACTTCTGGCGTTCGAGTTGCTTTGGAAAAGCCGACCAATTTTGCCTAGTAAGCTCACAAAGGCATTCATGTTATGCAGTAAATGACAGTCAAAAGTTGCCATAGCCAATTGAACTCTCTTTGTTTTTGCCCTCCAGTCTATCGAAACTGCACCGTTAGCCCTAAGAAATAAAAGTTGTTTCGCCTAACAGTCGCTTCAAGCTAAATTCGTTAAGGCAGCAAAAAAGGATATCGGCACTATAGTGTCGAACTGCTTGCCTTTCTACGTTACCGGTTCTGCTAATGACGTGTATCCTCTTCACCTCTTGATAAAGGACCTGTGTTCGCTTGCTTTGATCGTGAGTTCGTTTGGGACAAATTTTTATAGGTAACATGGTTGTAGAAGCAAACTTTTGAGCTAAGAACCTGGGTTTCAGTGATCTTAGTTTTAGGAGGTCGATGAAAATTCTCAGAAACTTGACAAAAACACATCATCTTGGAAAACGCAGAGTTTGGAAACAGCAATAAGCGTGCTGAGTAAAACGTGTCATGGTTTGTTGCTCGATTTCCCTGCTGTTAGTTTCATAGTAATGGATGCATGTAATCCACAAATAAATTCAGAGCGCATTCTTGACGACTATGATGATCTATTGCTATTTATTGTGAATGTGGTTGAATCGTCTTTCGCACAGTCTCAAAGATGGATCGAAGATGACCTAGCTACTCTTTTGGTCAGGTTCATGTCTACCTCCACATCTCTTATCTCTTTCGATTCACTAAAAGGTGAATTTATTCTTTATTACATACTTTCTGTAAACTTGCCTATTTGAGCCCTCTGGTCCTTCATTTGGCGCCGCATACCACTCGTGTTAGAGATGACCATGAAGTCGTTTGGCAATTATATACGGGTTGCTCGTTACATTCTCGAAGATAGCTGCAAATGCGCTATGATCATGGCCGGGAATGGTCACGAGTGCATTGTGGACGTCGTTGAAAAGCTCTTTTCTGGAATAGAGAAAAAGCTCGACTCAAGGTGGGTTGCAGCCGTCTACTTGTCAGCATCAAATTTCAATCGACCTTGTGAATCCTCGTCATAAAATTTAGATAATCTCGTTCGTAATGATTGTGTTTTATTATTTCCAATTCTTAAAAGCAAAATTAGCCAATTTATGTGCATTGGTCATAGATTTACTCGATTGCACGCTCTTCCTTTCATCGCAAAACTTGCTTGGAGACTGTTGAAAGATTTGTGGCATGTCTAGATAGTGGATGGGGAGGGAAGGGGGGGGGGGTGACTCCGGACTCGAAGACAGTGTCCCTGCAAATTTGAGTTTCCAGATTTTCACTTTTTTGGAACCTTGTCGCTATGCTGAACCCATTAGTGGACTTTACAGCGCATGAAAATGGCCAAGAAAAACTAAGTCGGAAGTTTTTCATGCCTGCATTCACTGAATAATACGTACAAGTGAGGGATCCGAAACGAGGGGCGGGGTCGGGCCGGAAGAATTCCGGGGCAGTTTTTGGGCTTTCCAGATGCGCTTTTTCGCTTCAGACACTGATAAATTAGGTGAGGGGTATGTCACTGCTGCGGGTAAAATACCGAAACTCTTCATCCTGCCGGGACGCTGCTTTCAGTGTCACACTTGTTTTTAACTGGGTCCTTGTTTGTTCTCACACGCAAGCACCTTTGCGAATTTAGATGGACTGCCCATGCTGAACCATTGCTCGATTTGCTATCAATGCTCATCGACGTTTGGGGTGTCGAATGCAGAGAAGTACTACTCCATCACTGTATTCCATTCGCTGCTCTACTTGTTGAAAACCTCGATATTTCTGCGAGCACTTCAAATGTAACAATTTGGTATTCTTGACTATCTTTCTTCATAATGGTAGATTTTCAGAGAAGTGAATGGAATTTTTTTGACCGCTTGTTCCATCTTGCTATTCCTGACTGCAGATTGTGCTCTCTGGTATCTAGCGATGCATGCTCTCTTGCACAAAGCGCCTTGAATGTCTTACGCAAGTAAAGATTTTTTTGAACCTAATTTTCCTGTATCTCAGATCCTACTCTTAGCACTCTTCTTTCACATTCGCAAAGCAACGAATTTCAACTTAGAAATGATGACATCCCTTTGTTTTCACGGTAAGTCCGTGTATCTTGTCGTTCTTAGGTCACCAAAACCGAACACTCAGCGTTTCATTTCCTTCGAGAGCTTTATCTATCTGTTACATTCTTATTACTAGGCTGATTGTCACAGTTCACACAATTACTTCAAATTCCCAAAATTCCTTGACCGCTACGCTAAATACGTACACTCAGCGCGCGAAGCGAAGGAGAGAGGACAATGTACTGGAAGTGAGTCCGGATTTGAGATTTCCCTGATTCAAATCAAACTTTGTATGTTCAAACCTGATCAGATGATAACCGAATGGAATTATGTTGATGGGGTCGACTACAGTAATCGTCCACACTATGTCTTCTCTTGCCTTAGTCTTGGATGTGAGATCACAGAACGATGGTCACATCGCATAGATATGCACCATTTTGTCCATATGGCAACTCGCATCTGGGACCTGAGGTCTCGCATCGAATTGTGGGTTTTTGTTTGATGTAGTCAGTCATATGTGCCTCCTATCGGTCGAATCTATGATGCCCAGCTTCAATCTTGTATTGGGCTGAATTGACGAAAGTTACCAAGTACCAGAGTAAGGCCTGTAAGCATGACTTTGGATCTCGACGAAGAGAGGACATTTGTACAGCGCACGCTCGCTGAGTCTTTGTTAGGTAATAAGTAGGCTACTTCATGATTTGAGCGTACGACACGCTCCTTCAACGCGACCATACAGTCGATGTCAATTACATACTCCCTTTCGCCTGGGAAGTACGCATGCATACGCGAGGGCCTTGCGTGCGGACCTTCAATCGACAAGGCCGATTTGAATGCGCAAGCAATATGTGCGCGGAGTGACACCAAGCTCTAGCGTGGCGATTGCGCTTACGGGAAACGGAGCGTGATTGACACAGACTGTACTCAGATTGGTAAAATACAAAATTCTGTCTGGGCAAACGAACGTTGAATGCTTCAGGGATCCATGAATGTAGACTGGCATCGTAACCTTGATAATATATTTCTAGAGAATGGCAGCTTTCACCTTACTGCCAGCTTCTCAACAATTTGATAAAGCTGGGGGCTTTTGATGAACTGTGCGATCTCGAATCTGATGTATGGTTTGCTGTATGATTTAGTTGGCTCTCCATTCAGATTCTTTTCAGAACGGAGAGGACACTGCGAAAGATATTTGGAAGTTTGCGTTGTCCTCGGCGCATACAGCGGGCAGTTTCGATACTGCTTGTTCACTGATAATGTCAATTTTACAGCGATTTCACGGCGTGAGTCTACGGCCCTCTAGTCCTTTGTATTGAATGCAGAAAGAAGTAGTTAAAGGCAGCGTCCAGGCAGATCTGGACCTATGGGGCTTTTACGTGGAAAGTACTTTTGGGGCCCTAACTAAGGCACTGCCCAAGCGGCAGCTCAGGTAGTGCTGTAATGGCTGAGATATTCCCCTCGAAACTGGACCGCGCGACCGTGTTTCGCATGGTTCATGGCGCAAAGCGTGGATCCTGGCGCGAAACTGCCATAAATCCATGCGAATACGTTCGTGGGGGCCAGTTTCGAGGGGAATATCTCAGCCATTAGAGCACTACCTGAGCTGCCGCTTGGGCAGTGCCTTAGTTAGGGCCCCAAAAGTACTTTCCACGTAAAAGCCCCATAGGTCCAGATCTGCCTGGACGCTGCCTTTAAGTCTCCTAGAGGATGAAAATTTTGGGAAACAAGAGGGTGCTTTTGTATTACTATGCAGCTTCATGATCTTTAGTCATTGGGAACTGACGATGATCTCACAGAGGCAGTATGTGATGTTCTATCGCGAAGTGCCTCATCGCATGGCTCTCCGCTTTATGCTTTAGTTATCCATATATTGGCTGAATTGGAGTTCGATGAGCTGAGAGCATTTCCCGGCGTTAGCGATAAGAGAAGAGGAATCGAGTGCTGGAAGTAAATATTCAGGAAAACTGTATTCGTTTGAGAGTGGGTAAAAAGTTTGAATTTAGGTTTCGATGCCAGTTGGCTGAATGGCTCATTACTCACAGTGAGTCTGATAGTACTGTAGCGGAGCCTCTCAGCGTAATTTGCCAGCTTCACCCACAAAAAATCTCATCAGTTTTGAATAGCACTGGTATGATCTTTATAAATCACAGCTAACGACGGCGAATCTGTTTCTTTTGTAGAAAAGTCTGGGATCGAGCAGGATCTGAAGCGCTTTGGTTTATCCGGGTCTGATCTCAGTGAACCGATACCATCCGATGTTCCACTTGTATTAGTTCCCGACCTGATACGTTATATCTCCAAGCTTTATGAAGAGTACTGGTTGAAAAATGGTTAGAACAACATTTTAGCGCCCATTACTTATAACTCGATTGCATGTAACCGTATACTCAATTCAGATCTCACACCAAAAATGCGGGTTTCCCTGTGGTGCTCTTTTCTTATGTTTCTATCCAAATTCGAGGAGCCACTGCATTTGAACTGCGATGAACTCATCAGCGTGGGTGTTGGCTTCTGTTCTATGATCGATTTGAGTTACATCTCTTTTTATTTTAGAAGATGGAGCAGTTTATCGGTAATTTGATTGTAAACGCGGAATTGGATCTACTATCGTTTGTGAATCTGAGAGGAGTTCGCTCTCATTTCATATCTGTGGAAGTTCTCCAGCTTTTATCATCTCGGATTTCTGATTGTCCAAAACTTGGTATATATCTGATGACACATCAAGCGAAACTCAGTGTTTCCGCCGACACGCTTGTAAGTTATTGCAGCTGTTTCTTTAAAGATGTAGAATTTGCAGAATTTGTGAAGCATTTTTGTCTAAAACTTAAGGAAGTTTTAAGTAGTACTAGTCCCCGCTGACTGAAGATTTCATTTTCTCAACTTCTGCACTGCTCAAAGCAGTAGTGACTGCTGAGAAGCTTGGCTATATATGTACGGCGGCGAGGAAAATATTAGGTTGGCACATAAGTTTTGCAACCTTTCCCGTGACTTTTTTCCTATTTTGTGTAGCAATCTCATTTTGTGGCATCATAAAGATCGTGATGTAAGCTGCATGTCTGCGCAAACCGTTTGGTTTTTGATAACGTAGTACAAAAAATCTACGCATCTTTTGAAAACTGCTGAAAATCGAGGTTTCACGATTTTTTGGCAAACATGAAGCCCTACGAAACCATTCGAACATATGAAAAAGCAATTATAGGCAGCATGTAGCTGGAAGTTGGCACATTGGAATCAGTGGAAAAGAAATGAAATTTAAACACAAATTAAGGAGGGGCGCCTTTGAGAAGTTAAACAAGTCAAATGCGTCAAGTTTTGAAGGCAATTTGTCAATAACTAAGCTGCGAAAAGTCAGAATTCGCTATAACTTTGCACTATAGGGTAATCCTATGCGGTAAACACGAATATCATGTTCATTTGTCGCTAAAATGAAATTCATCTTTTCATCTCACGTACGAGGCCTTTTCATGCAAAACGGATCTCATTTTTTGTGATCAGCATGTCAAATAAGCCCTATAAGCCAAGTTTCAGCAAAATCTGATGCATTCTAAAATTTTTCCCATAGTACCGTAAACCTACCGTAATCCTCACATAAGATGGTAAAATTCGGCAAAAATGTGTGCATTAGAAGCTTACATCATATTCCTTATATTGCCAAAAAATGAATGCGCTACGTTCAAATAGACAAAAGTTATATAAAAAGTTGCATTACTTATGTGCCAACCTAATAGAAGGACGAACACTACCAATGCTGTGAAAGAAATCGATTCTGTGGACATAATTATTCTAACAAAATACGAGTAAAAATTCGTAAGCTTTGCAAAATTCCTCAGTGTCATTAAATGAGTTTAGTTGGCGTTTCTGGCATTAGGTTTTAGGTTAGCGCGAGAGTTCTTGCGTCATCAAGAAAGAAAATCGGTATCTCTCCAAATCTTAAAGCTAGATCCAAGGTTTTGTTCATGGAATAGAGTAAAGAAATGTTTGCGCTTCACTGTGGTTATCCAAGTACAACTTTTCATAGACTAACCCTGGAGAAACTAGCTTACAAAAATAGCACTGTCAGATTCGCTTCCAAAGTCGCAAATCTTAGAGCGCTGGTAGCTTGCAAAGAGAATCTGTAAAAATTTTTTTACATAGAGTCAATATATAGCCAATGATAGGTTTTAATCTTGCATGGGGTGCAAAAACTAGAAACTCGTGTAAAGTGACATCCTAAAGACAAAACCCTCCCAATGCCGAATTTTGTTTCGATGCAAAAACGATCTGACCAAAATTCAAACTTCTCTTCCCCCCCACCTCCCTCCTCCACCCTCCCGATCGCCCTTCAGCTCATAATCATAACAATAGGAGTCATTCTTATTGTTAGATTTATAAGAATAATTTATAACACGCACTTTCACTGGAAATTGCCGAATTCTCCTTAGAAGTTTAGTGTTAGTATGTAATATAATCTCATTTATCATCAAAGTTGAGGCTTTCCGGACAGTTTATATTTCCTGTGGATGTAGAATAGCTTTAGGGAAGAAATTAGTACATAGTGTTTTGGTAATCTTCAAAGAATGAGGACATTTTTACATCATGAAATTTTTGTTCTCGTAAACCTAGAGGACAAACGACGCAGTATTTTCGAATAAACTTCGCTTTTCTATTTAAGGCTCAAGGCATAACTCACGCGACTCGGCCAAATCGTCACTTTCATACGACTTGGCGATTTGCCAGAATTCTATAAATTTATCATGCGTACTTCTCGGACGCATATCTGGGTAGCTTGTGTAAGTTGTTGCAAACAGAGCAAGTTCTGACCAAAGGCAGCGCATTAATTTTCGAATTACGAAGAGTCGCTGTTGTGCCAAATCGCGCAGCGACCGAAATCGCGCGAGGTATGCCTTAGGCCTAAGGCCTCGGGCAAAGTTCACGGGATTTCATCGCCGCGATTCACCGCTGCAACAAGTGTTACGAGTTCATTGCATGTCGATCTTCTTGTATTTCGGTTGTGATAGTTAGCCACGATTAGTCGTGTTGGAAAACTATCACAACGGAAATGCAAGAAGATCGGTATGCAGTAATATTGTCACAGTTGTAGTGATTGGATCGCAACGATGAAATCGCGTGAACTCTGAAGCCTAAAACGGAATCAGGGAGTACAATACCATGTACAACATGTGCTGATTGATTTGCAGAGAAGCCTGATGCGACATGTTGCAAATGACCCTAGTATTCGTGAAGACTTGGAAGTGCGTGCAGCTGCTGGTGATTTGCTCGAGAGTTTTACGACAGACGTGTGCACAGTGCCGGACTTGCTCGTCTTATTGGATGAATCTGCACAAGCCATCGACGAAATGTCGCGATATCGTCTTGAAGAGAAAATATCGTAATCAGTGACGGATTCGGCATCTAATATCCTTTTACTCAATGCGCTCTACATTTAGGAAAATCATAGAAGAGGATTTGTCTGCGGAAGAATACAGCATAGAAGAAGCGCAGGCTTATCGTAATCTTTTGCAAGAGTACATGTTGAAGTGGTCTGAGGTACGTGGAGTATGTTATTACTCAACTGTAGAACCTTTTTTCGTGCTCTTACAGAATTAAATCAGGTCCGCAAAAACATTTGCTCCTGCACCTGCTCTTTACTGCAACTCTCTTTTGAGCCTGCGCACTTATTGCCTGCCAGTAATTTTTCAAGGCTGGGGCGATTGTTACAAGCATGACTTTTCCATACTTGGCAAGGAAACTGTTGAACACGCAATCGTTATCGCATTTCTTTTATAGCCAGTGCTGGGTAGGCCCAAGGTGGTAGAAAAAAAAATGATTTGACACAAAGAACAAGAAGGGGAGGGCGATATTTGTATATTGTATATTATATATTTGTAGTAAGTTTGATGAAAAGATGTCCAATTTTTCTTTAGTAAAGGTTTGTATTAGCGTCAAAAATTTGGAGATTTCAGTATCTCGGCTGTCTTATATTTGGCTACTGACCAATAGTGAGCAATAGCTGGGACGTATATGGTTTTCCCGGTTTCAGGAATTTTCTTCGACGCTCCAAACTATTTGAAATCTCTGCGGGTCTACCCGTGTGGGGAAAAGGACTAGTGGCAGCAGCCGCACCAGCGAACTTTTGCAAATATAACGTTAGGTTTTCATAAAATAAAAAAATCATTCTGATAACTAGGGTGGGTCAAAATCGTGAGGTATGCATCTCTTTTTGCTACTATCCTCAAATCAGATAAAATATTGTTAGACAGTATTCTAAACGGCCCGATGAATTTCATGATTTCCATCTGAATCTCTCGACAATTGCTGAGATAATCGCAGAAGTTCTAAACACAAAGATATATATTTTTGAAGTCTACAGCAAAGCTATGTTCGAAATCAGGGCCCGGCAAGAGGTGGCATTTCAGGATTTTGAAAACGATATCCCCTTTGAAGCCAAAATTTCTTACGACTTCCCTTTTGACCCTATTTTTGACCCCCGTAAGTCCCTGACAGTCCCGAAGTGCAAGCTGGTAGGCATGCAATGAACTCGTAACAGTTGTCTTGTCGCGATTCAATCGCGACGATCAAATCGCGTAAACTCTGTCGAGTAAGGGATCGTCCAGACCAAAAACACATTGTAAATATGGGTCTCGCTGATCCACAAAAATATTGGAGGCAATGAAGGAAAACACACAAAGAAAAAGCAAAAAATTACAAATGTACAAAAACGAATGCAAAAATTCGATGTCATGTAACATATTTGCATAAATGCACCATTCCACCTACCTGAGATAGTCCGAATCAGCCGCAAATTGATGAACTAAGTGCGACGTGCTGTAGTCGAAAATTCTGACATGCATGTCATCTGAGCCGGTAACCAATCCAACCAATTTCTGCGTGAAATAAACTTGGCAGCGCGCACTGGCAAATCACATATCTGAAGAATGCGCAAGATACTGGATTGAAACATAGTAAGCAAAATAAGGCCCCAGCCAGACTTTAACTGAACAGCGCAGAACCGCTCAAAATCACCAAAGGCCCCTTTTCACGGCGCATATGTACAAGAACACCTGGCAACGCTAAACTATTTGCGGGATAGGAACTCATTCTTGGATGATCTATCTTGAGCGAAGTCTGGCCGGGGCCTAACATACAAAAACACATGAAAATTCAAAAAAATAAACCTACTTTGAAAGATTTCAGAAGCAGCTGACTCTCGTAAATATATCTGAACGCTTCCACTGTAAGAGCTGCCAATAGCCACGTTTCCGTGGGATGAAGGTCCATCGACTTTACTCGACTCGATCTTGTCAAAACATTTCCTCAACTTTTGATGACAGCATGCCTGCAAAACCAGAATAAAGGAAAACGACGAAAAACGACCCAAAGGAGCGAAAGTACGGAGAAATCGACCATATTGCGAAAACTGAAGAAACACATTCACAAAGACAACTTTTAACATAGAACATCACGACCAAATATGATCTCTGGCCCTTCTGAGCCCTTGTAGGGCTTGTCGAAGAAGCAATCTATTTAAAAATTGTGAAGATTGCTTCAATCAGCGATCACTTATCAAGCAAAAAGTCAAATTCTCGAAGTTTCCGCGTCGTCCGTGCAAGGTGCACCGCTTGCGATTGGAGCGCGCTTTCCGAGGCCGATCATAACGCTGTGAACCCTATTTGGGGCTGTATCGAAGCGGTGCCTTGGTGGTTTCGGAAGCGGATTTGAACATATAGTAATACTCTCGACCTAGTCCACATTTATGTAAAGAAATCTGGGAAATTATGTGAAGGGAAGCAGGGAGCCACCCTAGGTGGCTCCCAGGTGGCGCGGGAGCCACCTAATTTCGAAAAACACTTACCATTTTTTAAATTCACATAAGTTTCTCATAATTCTTCATACTTTTTTCGTGCTTATGGTCCTCCAACTATATAGCAAATTTGGTGCCATATCGTTACTAGTGCATTGAAAACGAGCCTATTTTGTTATTTCCCTCTTACAAGAATTGCGATTTGAATTCCCGCCTGCGGGCAGGCTAGCGATCGGAGCACAGGATCTTCAAATTGCTGGAATCTAAGTTCATAGGACAGTAGCATGAACAAGGAATGATGAATAAAGAATGATATGTGCATTGTTTATCGGTAAACAAAGGGGAAGTCGTATTTTGGGGTCCGGGGCTCCGCCCCGGACCCCAAAATACGACTTCCCCTTTGCTTTTTCGGGCCAAAAACGATATCCAGCTTGTGAAAGCGCCACCCCCGCCGGGCCCTGTTCGAAATTTTCAAATTATTACAATTTGAAGCGTTAGCTTAATTATGTACTTTGCAAAATAAGAGTGAAATAATAATCGAGTATGATTCCTTCGAAGTCTGAAGATTTTGGGTGTTTAAAGGCAGCGTCCAGGCAGATCTAGACCTACGGGGCTTTTACGTGGAAAGTACTTTTGGGGCCCTAACTAAGGCACTGCCCAAGCGGCAGCTCAGGTAGTGCTCTAATGGCTGAGATATTCCCCTCGAAACTGGCCCCCGCGAACGTATCCGCATGGATTCATGGCAGTTTCGCGTCAAGATCCACGCTTTGCGCCATGAATCCATGCGAAACACGGTCGCGGGGTCCAGTTTCGAGGGGAATATCTCAGACGATAGGGCACTACCTGAGCTGCCGGTTGGGCAGTGGCTTAGTTAGGGCCCCAAAAGTACTTTCCACGTAAGATCCCCATAGGTCCAGACTTCTCTGGACGCTGCCTTTAATGCGTTTTTTTTAAGCGCTTTTGCATTCTCTGCGAAGATCAAAATATTCGAAAGCTAAGCAGTAAGTGGTCAGAACATCCAGCCATTCCAAACAAGCTGTATATCATCGGACTCGCCTTAAAACGCTAATTACAAATATACGTTAATTATCTGCCAAGCGACTATCTGAGAGGAGTTGTGAGCGTTTAAATGTGCTAATTTTCAGGTGTTCTGTGGTGCATGTTCCACGAAATAGGTTTCAAAAACACTTTTTCATTTTTTTTGCGAGTGTGATTCTTTTCTGTGATTAAATTAACCATAGCTGTAAATCCGAGCCATCAGGCTGCCTTAGGAAATATATACTCGAAACTCGAAAAATTTCTCATATTTGAACGCTCATAACTCCTCCTAGATTGTCGCTTGGCAGATAAAAAACATATACTTACAGCGTTTAAAGTTGAGTCCGATGATATACAGCTCGTTTGGAATGGCTGGGTGTTCCACCGTTTCCTGCCAAGGATTAGAGGAGGGACTGAAAATAGGATATACAGCTCGTTTGGAATGGCTGGGTGTTCCACCGTTTCCTGCCAAGGATTAGAGGAGGGACTGAAAATAGTTTGCTCTATTTTAACGAACGTCTTCTAAAAGTTTAGGTTAAAAATTGCGACGATTAACCAGCAAGGGAAGTGACATGGTCGAATTGGCGTTTCCGTATGAAATCTGCGCTGTTTCCAGATCTGCTTTCGTTGTCTGCAAAGCCTTTTGGGAGTGGAGTGATGGGAATTTTTTGAAGCAAAAATTGAACGCGCTGCTATTATGAAATCATTTAGGACTGTAGTATGTGCGCTCAAATGGGACATGTACTGTCAGGGTGCTTCATGAGTTGATACCTTTAGTCTGATAAATAGTCATTACCGCTTTCAAGCGCCGAAAAGATAAACACCTGATTTTACTTAGCCACACCCTTGAATTTTTGCCTCAAAAAATCCCCGTAACTCCATTCGTACAAGCGCTTTTGCAGATACCGAAAGCAGGTTTGGAACCAGCGTTCCATGCTCTATAAGATGTAGCAGAAAAGACTTCTGCGAACTTTTATAAATTCTCTGAACGGTCTTGAGGAAAAATAGTTCGATGATATAACTGCTGGGAAAGAGAAGAAAAGCTGCGCTGAATAACCGTACAGTACACGTCTATCATCATTCTATAAAATTTGCCGTAACGTTGATAAAGCGTGAGAACCTCATCACTTTTGACTCAACCTACTAATTCCGAGTAAACTCAAGTCATTTCGTCCCATATGCGCCGCTTTCAAGGTGTGCCCCATTCACAGGAGAGGGATAGCTCGCGGAAGTGTACGAATATGCATAATCAAAAATGAACTCAATGTCCTGCGTAAAGAATTGCTGCAAATGCTCCGTTGAAGTTTTCTTCAAAGCACTGTAAATACATTTCAGGCCGGGTGCTGCGATCGCTTGGACCTGAACTCTGTGAGCGCCTGCAGTGTAATTCGCTACATGGAATCTGTGCCTTCTTCTCTGATAGACTGGAAATTGCTGTCCAAGTTGATAGAGGGCGCCAAAAACAACGTCGTTTTACTCTCAGTAGGATTTCCATTACCTTTCAGTTCTTTATTCAGTGGAAGTTGGCAAGTTGAGCAAGATTTTCTACATTATAGAAAGTCGTGAAACACGTAACAGATGATCCTTCTCTATTCCACCTTTGTTCTTCTGTTCTTGGTGCGGTTCTTGGAATCGAAGGTGTTGTTGAGGTGCTTTATATTAGAAGTCCATGTTCGAAATACTTTATCTGCAAAAAAATTCAGACCTTGGAACAGATGATCCCAGATTTTGCGTTGATATTGGATTGTCACCACACATCTATCAGGCTTACCCAGCCACGTTCTAAACCTGTGGTGTACTTGAAGTAAGACAATAAAATCTTTATTCTTACTATTATCGAGGCATTGTCAGAGTTGACTCCTCGCTTCGCTGTGACCAGCTTGTTGAAAGCTTTCTGTCTGGAAAGGAGGATTCAGTGACTACAGAGCAAATCACCACTACTTTGTTATCGCACATGAACCAACAGTCTGTCGAGAACTTTGTTTTTTAAGCCTAGCCTTCCATTATTTCTCACTAGCTGGCTTGCCCGGCTCCGCCGGGCCTGCCAGCTAGACCCGTGTACGTATGTTCCGAATAGAATTGGGACCGAACTTTGCACACATACACTTCGGGGCACGGAGCTTGTCACAGTCCACTTTTCGTTATCGATCGATGTCGATTTTACCGATTTTTTGCAAAATTTGAGCTAGGGGGCTAGGATTTTGCACAGGGGGGTAATCGAGCATGCTGATCACCCCCTTCGGGGTGATCAGCATGCTCGATTACCCCCCCCCCCCTGCCAAATCCCAGCCCTCTAGCTCGAATTTTGCAAAAAATCAATAAAATCGATATCGATCGATAACGAAAAGTAGCCTATGACACGCTCCCTGCCCCGAAGTATATGTGTGCCAAGTTTGGTCCCGATCGGTTCAGAAATAAAAATTTCTATTCCGCACATACGTACAGACATACATACATACATACAGACAGACAGACAGACATTCAGCTTTATATATAAGATTCCAGACACGAAGCCTTTTTCGCTCGAGTGTTTTGGAACAGGCTGGATAGTAATACATATGCTCTTTTGACGAGTTTCTGGAAAGCTGTAGGTCCTTCCACACGTACTGAAGATAGATTTTTTTATACCTCCAATGCGGAAGTAATTAGTCCAAGTTAATTGATGCCACCTTACTGGCGATATTGCTCTTTACACTTTCTAGACGCTTTCGCTGGAGTTTTTTTTTGCACTTTCGCTCGTTTTGCTGTGTCATAAGACCACTCACTACTGTATAATTATTTGGGATTTGGGAATGCGTATAATAAGGCTTTGTTCGTGCATCGAGATTTTCTTACAGATGTACACTCTTTAGGGTGCCTGATGTGTTCTTTTATGTTTTGAACGTTTCTATCCTGCGCTGCAATTTGTACGGTTCTTAACACTTTTACGTCTTCATTGCTCTAGCTACTATGTCACTTTCGGGCATTGATACTGAATATCTTAGCTCAGATCTTATTATTAGACCAAATAGATGCCCGTACTTCTGTTAAGGCTGAACTATGTGTGAGACGAAAAACTCAGTTGCTACTGCTTCACAATATTCAAGTTCTTCTCGATTATCGCCGCTCACTGATGCCATCCAGCGAACATGAATTTCAAATCACGTTGTATTCTGTAATTTCCACTATGCTTCATCAAGCGGTGCGCAGGTATTTATTGACACGGTGTATCGGTTTTTTTCCTGAGGCGATTTATTTCTAGTCAGCCCAAAGTGCTCGATCAAATTCTTCGTCTGGTCGCCGAGTTGGACAGCTTTTCCTCTGCAGAACTTCTACTTTTGCAGTACAGTGTGATCGGTGATGTGAATGATGTTTCTTCTGCCGCAAAAGAGCTCTTTGACCTTTGTGTTGAAGATCTTTGTACAAGAGGAACAGTTTCGGTACGCGCTTTTTTTTTGCGATGCTCCATTTAGCGCGTATACTCTAGGACATTCGAGTCTTTCACTGTGCTCAATTCTGGAGAGCTCTGCGCTCCGCATTATCATCGAAAGTCAAACAGATCAGCGAATCAACAAAGAACAGCGAGTTTTATCTTAATAAAGGTTATCGTCATTCTGACTCCGGGATATCTAGATATTTTGTCATATGCATTGCTGATGTGGGACATTTCCTCCTCTAGTCGTCGATATGTTGCTCCAGTCTTGTCGCTATGTATGAGTCCCAGTCTAGTACCTGGTAGAAAGCTGGACTGCGACCAAGCTGTCCATGTTGCTTACGACTATTGTCGTCTTGTTCTGAGTGATCCAAGGTTGGTCTTTTTGGTTCTCTGCTCCATAGATTAAGGTGCATAAGAATCTATCAAAAGGCATCACAGTAGGAAAACGTTCGTGAAAACTGGTGCTTGAACCATAATGTTTTTCCATTCCTTCCTTATCATTAGTATACAATCGCGAGCTTTTAGGATTCTAACTTGATATGTTAAAATTTCGATTCAATTATGTGTCAAATTGGCCTGAAGACTTGTCTGCACCATTGTCATAAACTCATATCTCTCTTTTCAACCCATTGGCATGGCTTCAATTTTATTAGACGAAACCGCAGAAACACTGCATTTTTTGACTTAATGCTTGTTCGCTAAAAATCTGGCTTGCTATAAAATTGATTATAGCACGCCAGATTCCCAGCAGCAGTAAAGGTCTCATATCACACTTTATCTACAGTCGAGTAGATTTAGCGGTAAATATAGTGTGCTTGCACAGAAGGTGAAATGCGGTGAAATTTGCGCGTGAACAAGCAGCCACGCCAGTACTGCGGGCATCGTGCGCGCGCAATTGGCCGGCGTCACGGTCGAAGCTATTTTTTCACGCGCAAATTTTACAGCATTTCACCTTCTGTGCAAGCACACTATATTTACCGCTAAATCTACTCGACTGTAAATTCTATTCTGTTGGTTGAACAAATTCCGTGCATTGAAAATCCTTTTGAAGAGGATTTCCAAGGAAAATGCCAAAAATCAAATTGTTATTTTGCGTCACTAATCCGTTGAAAATGCACAAATTATTCAGTTTTCTAAATGATACAACGTACCTTTGGGCTTTTTATTAGCCACAGTACGGGCTATCCTAATATTTTTCTGAGCCACAAAAACTGTGGACATGTCTTGCTGTATTCGAGATAAGTTTGAGCTTTTTCAGCCGAATGACTGCATATTTGAGCTCCACCTTTTTCACTACCTAGATACGCAAACCAGTTTTCGATCCCAATTATATACTCTCGACTTGTTTAGGTTGGACTCATTAGATGTATTCCGCAGTTGTCTGCACATACTCTCCTGCAAGGCTTTCAGAGGTCGCTATCTCTACTTCGCCGACGAGGTCGAACATAAGTCTGTGAGTACCGTTTCACTTTCTACGCTGTGGTCAAGTTTTCTTTTGCAGCATAGCGTTGACGACATCATTTCAAAGTGGATCGTGCCGCTGTACAATGAACTTCTGCCCTCATCAGAAAACATGAACGATTTTGATTCGTCAGATACTGGCGTTGAAGAGCAGGATCCGATTGGAATCTTACTGCACACAATCGGCAAACATGCGTGTTGCATTGTACGTTGTTCTCCACATTCCAGCTCACGAGTAAGGCTGATGCTTTTTAGCCTAAGCTCTGCTTGATGATGCTGCCACATGAATTAGCTCTGCATGGCACTCTCCCAGATAAAGTCATCGAATCCGTGTTCGATTTTGCGGTTGTGGCTATTCAATCAGGTTTGGTGCAAAAGTCGTAGCAAATTTGCAGCTCAGTCAGAAATGACAGGGCTCGGCACGAGGTGGCTTACAAGCAAGCTGGATATCGTTTTTGGGACGAAAAGCAAAGGGGGTTTCGTTTTTGTGACCGAAGACACACGCAAAATTGGCGGCATTTTTTTTAGTCGACGTTTCGTTTTTTGGAGAATTTTTAGGGAATATGGTGGGGGGTCAAAGGGGACTTCGTAAAAATACCCAAAAGTCAAGGGGGACTACGTTTTTTGCATTTTCATCTAACCACCTCGTGCCGAGCCCTGAGAAATGATGTGATTAGCTTGCGATCTTGAATTTTGAGAGATTGTAGAATCTCAAATAAACTTGTTTTCATACTGATCAGCTAAACCTTCCTCTGTTGAAATCTCATATGTTGCCATTGAATAATCTGAATCGCACAAGGTTGAGCACTAGGGGTTGCATTAGATGCAGCTCTAATTTTGTCCTTTCAGCTGTGTCATGCCATTATCTTTCGAACGGCATCGTTTATGATGCCAAATCATTTTCAAAATGCTGAAACTGATTTTTTTCCAAACATATATTCCAAGAGAAATTTGAAAGCAGTCGAACAAAGAAAAAAAACCAACAGAACAGGAATAATTATTTGAAAGTCATAACTCTCCAGGTTCTTAAACAAATTTATATGAAAAAACTTTCCTCATTGGCTCTGCTTTTACTGCAACGTTTCGATTTATGCATCCCAAACCTGTGAGATTGATGCTCTGGTGACTTTTTTCCGATACTGCTGCACTCTAGAAAGCGCTTAGGCGCTGATTACTTACTGATTTACTCTGTTCAACGCAACTAGTGTCAAGCAAGTTCATCAGTATTGAGAGAAATTACAATTTTGAGTGGTACACTGAAACATTGGGTATCCTAATGTCCATCGATGATGTCTTGATTATCTTTGTTAAAGAATCAGCACCGTGACTGCACGAGTATCAATCGGCTTCATGATTCTGCTTTCTCGTTACTGGTCTTGATAGTTAAATTTCTGTATTCCACACTGAGTTGCATCTAGAACTACGTGCTTGCTGATAGTAAAAGTAGAGAAATGTATTGAAATACAAAGCTGTACAAATCATTAACTTCTAAATAAATTAAATCACTTGATTTTCCACATAACATCTTGCCGCGTTTACTTTCTGTTGATAGTGCGAAGCTTTTATTATCCTCAACAGTACTGAGACTTGCGGTTGAAATTCTGATTTGGTAAATTATATCTTCACTCATCATTTCAGCTGGATCTTCCAACAGTGCGAAGTGGTTACGAATTGCACGATGTCTGGCGGAGTGCATCGATGGCATAGGTCTTTACCGTCTTACTCGAACAAAACTAGATTATCAGCGCTACTACGACGGCATGTGCGCACTTATAAAGTGCTGCTTGTTGTGTGATCTTCCCAATCATGCCTTCGCCGTTGCTAATGTGCTGTATAATACGTAAGTTTATGTACGCGTAGATGCGCACTTGCCATTTTTCCGGAATACTATGTATTTAGAATTTTATGTCATCGAAAAATGCGTCACCTAGCCGCTTTCGATGGAACAGCTATCGACGACGCCCGCTTTTCAGATCTTCTCAAACAGATTTACATTGCGTGTGAATCTGTGTCAGGACTAAAAACGTTGCCGATAGAAGTGCAAGTAAGACTTGTGAAAAATGCACATGAGCCTTTGTCCTTGGAGATTACGATGCAGCTCACCTTCTGGGTCTAGACAACCTGTGCTGAATAGTAGAAGCTTTAACAGAGCAGCAGTCACTGTCTTGTGGTGCTAAGCATTTTGCACCACTCAGGCTCTCATCTGACAACATCAATTTTGCAGTAGTTGTTTTTCTGAGTTTAGTTGTTGACGTTTATTTCATTCGAAGCTCATGAAAACTGACCTTTGGAAACTTCACAGCATTTGCAGGGGTGATTTACTTAATTGCTCGAGAAAACCTTAAACATCCTCATGTGGCCCTACCCGCAGGATCATGTATTCGATAATGAGACTGTGTAGAGCTTGATAGATGAAAATTTGTTGTGTAATTTCAAAAGTTCATGATCTGAACTGAAATAGCCAACTCTGGATTTCTTGAAGACTGAAACACTTTTAGAACAAAAAAAAACTTTTTCTTGAGATTGATACTGTTGGGTCTGCTTCTATTGCACGGCTTCACATCATGCATTTTCTCGTATGACTCCAATCTGTTCGTTTCAGAGCGATGAGATGGTTCGTGTGCAGTTTTCTAAAGCCAGACATGATTGGCTCGATGTGATCTCAAGTCAAAAAGCGTCTTTGCATGATCTGATGGATGCATATTATTATTGGTAAGTATCGGGATCTACTTCTGTATTCTTATATCGTAAAATGTGAGAATTTCAGTGGTATTAACTACAATGGAGACGTTCGCGACTTGAGATATGCTTTAGCAATCCGGAATAATAATTGGAGCACCGTTAGTTATCCGAAGAAGTAAGGATCATGTCAACAGTTGTCCATGCTCGTGATTTACTTTGTGAACAAATGGATTACCCGCTTTTCGAGAATTTTTGCTATCAATCTGCACATCATTTGCTCCCTTTACTGCCTACGGGGGAAGGATACTTAAGTTGGCGATTGAAGACGATATGTATATCACTAGATGCCTTTTTAAACGCTGATTTCAAATCTGCTTCTTTTTGCGAACCGCTTTTTAAAAGAAATTATGAGCGTTCGAATGTCCGAATTTGTCGAGCATCAAGTCGGTTAAAATTAGCGAAAAGCTCTAAAGAACACTTTTGTGCAGCTTTTCGCCAATTTTAGGCCACTTGAAGCATGTCAAATCTGGACATTCGAGCGCTCATAACTTCTTTCGGAGAGTGGTTTCGCAAAGAGGAAAGGTAGATTCGAAATCAGCATTTAGAAACGCGTCTAGTGATACATATCGTCTTTGTTCGCCAACTTGTGTTGGTACCCCTCCCTTATTAATAGGGAGAAGCTCCGAAACGGCAACATTTGGGAGCTGTTGCCGTTTCAGAGTTTGCCAGGAAAAGGAAATCAGAGAAATAGGTGTTGTTTGCTGCGGTCAGTGTCTCCTTGGAGTCAACTGGTTGAATTCTAGTTTTACTGCCATTCAAATCCGAGTTTCTAGGGTACTGTCTCATCAAGAACGTCTTTTTGTTTTCTTACACTCACTCCGCCACGGATCTTCAACCTCTAATAAACTGAAAGCATTTTTAGAGTATGTTCTCTTTTGTATGTAATCCTCGCACTCGCATTAAGTTTCCTTGTAGGAATATTGAATGTCAAAGCATTGCAAACGAGGAGATACCAAATTTCTCTGCGCTCAACGAATTTAATGACTTCTCTGTGATGGATCTCAAATGTTCACTAACAGCTGATGGCTTGGAGGTCTGGAATAGCCTACAACTGCTGCTGGTTTTTAAAACTTGATTTTTCTCAGGCGCTATCAAGTGACCGTCTAATTCTGTACCTTGCTTATCTCCTACAACCGAACGTCTGGGATGGCAAAGCGGAATCACAACGAGATCTCCGTAATGCCATGACAGAACTCTTCAATAGGCTCATTTCTATAAAAGCATACACGGTAGCTTTTGAAAGTTCCTGTCGCTAGAAATTATCCTAATGTTTAGCCATGCTTCTCGCTTTTGAAAAAATGCTGCGGAAGTTGGGTCACTGTTGAAAAATGTAGGTTGCTGATTGCAAAAGGAGATGAGAACACGGCGGAACATCTGCTGCGTTCCTTTCTTCACTCTGGGTCAGTTTGAAGTTCTTTAGCGAGAAGCGAGAATTATCGAACAGCGATGCATTTGCTTTACTAAAAGTATTATCCGCGTTTCAGTGCGAATGTCGAGCCTGAGACCGAAATTGATGCACGTTGTTTGCTGGCGGAGCTTCTTGCTGGTCCTAAGAATATGCTAGACCAAGCTGTTGTCCTCTTACAAGATGTAAGCTAAAAGTTTTCTGCCTGGAGTTTTGCAGAAGAGTAAAAAAACCTTAGGCACTTGATAAATTTGACAAGTCAAACATCTCATCTGAGTCGCGCTTACGATATTTTGCTCTACTTCATCGGCTCACTGCTCGCCAGCTCTCTGGCATCGAAGAACATATGGAATCGAGAGCATTCCGTATGAGGAAGGATGCCATTCGCGAATGGAGCAAACAGCATGAGCAAGCTTCACAAAGGTGCTCTACAGTGTGTTTTTGTCCTTGTAATTTTAACAATGCAGAACACCGACACTTGCTTCTCGACGTATTGAATGCGAACTCAGATGCGAAAAAGAAGTTGTGGAAACGATTGAGAAGAAATTGGTTGTTGCAGCTGTGGCCACAGTATCTGCCGGTTTGGAAGCATTAAGTCGGTTTTTGTACGTTGCTCTCCTTTTGGCAGTGTGTCATAGCTAATTTGATCTTCTCTTGGTATTATTATAAAATGACTAGCTGGCTTACCCGGCTCCGCCGTATCCGGACCAAACTTGGCACACATACACTTCGGGCCCCGGCGGGTGTCACAGTCCACTTTTCGTTATCGATCGATGTCGATTTTACCGATTTTTATCGATTTTTTTGCAGAGTTCACCTACAGGGCTAGGAGTTGGCACAGGGGGGGAAGTGAGCATGGGGATTCCGAATACAATATTAGTTTTCAGAATTATCGATTACTTTTATTGATTTTATCGATTTTTTTGCAGAGTTCACCTACAGGGCTAGGAGTTGGCACAGGGGGGGAAGTGAGCATGGGGATTCCGAATACAATATTAGTTTTCAGAATTATCGATTACTTTTATTGATTTTATCGATTTTTTGTAAATTTTGACATGCGAGGCTGGGATTTTGCACAGGGGGGTAATCGAGCATGCTGATTACGAACACAATATTAGTTTTCAGGATCGTCCATTACTTTTATCCATTTTATCGATTTTTTTGTAAAGTTTGACCTGCGGGGCTGGGAGTTTGCACAGGGGGTAATCGAGCATGCAGATTACGAATACAATATTAGTTTTCAAGATCGTCCATTACTTTTATCGATTTTATCGATTTTTTGAAAATTTGAGCTAGGGGGCTGGAATTTGGCACAGGGGTGTAATCGAGCATGCTGATCACCCCCCTTGGGAATGATCAGCATGCTCGATTACCCCCCTGTGCCAACTCCCAGCCCCCTAGCTCAAACTTTGCAAAAAAATCGATAAAATCGATAAAAGTAATCGATAATCCCGAAAACCAATATCGTATTCGGAATCCCCATGCTCGATTACCCCCCTGTGCGAACTCCCAGCCCCGTAGCTCAAACTTTGCAAAAAAATCGATAAAATCGATAAAAGTAATCGATAATCCCGAAAACCAATATCGTATTCGGAATCCCCATGCTCGATTACCCCCCTGTGCGAACTCCCAGCCCCGTAGCTCAAACTTTGCAAAAAAATCGATAAAATCGATAAAAGTAATCGATAATCCTGAAAACCAATATTGTATTCGGAATCCCCATGCTCGATTACCCCCCTGTGCCAACTCCCAGCCCCGTAGCTCAAACTTTGCAAAAAATCGATAAAATCGATAAAAGTAATCGATAATCCTGAAAACCAGTATTGTATTCGGAATCCCCATGCTCGATTACCCCCCTGTGCCAACTCCCAGCCCCGTAGGTGAACTCAGCAAAAAAATCGATAAAAATCGATAAAATCGATATAGATCGATGACGAAAAGTAGCCTATGACACGCGTCGGGGCCCGAAGTGTATGTGTGCCAAGTTTGGTCCGGATCGGTTCGGAAATGGAATTTTCTATTCGGAACATACGTACACACAGACAGACATACAGACATACATACATACATACATACATACATACAAACAGACATTCAGCTTTATATATAAGATGAACGGTTGCAGAACTCATGTCGGAACCCTACAAAAAGCAACCACATCAGCCAAGGCATAAAAGCGATGCAATCTATAGGCACATCTTTCCGCTAATCGACGTTATATTCCGCTTTGATAATAACGAAGATGTCGTGAGAGAACTCAAGGTTGTTTATATCAAACTACCACATTGCATCAGATTTATGGTCTCTTCGTAGATGTACGTAGCCAGCGGTATGGTGCCAGCTGTCTGGGTTCAGATAGTGAACCATCTCGTCGGTCATTGCTTTGCTAATAGTGTTCTTGCACCTGTAATTAGAACGGCAAGTTGACATGCTTTTTTGCACTCTGATTGTGCTGTAAGTTTGCTTTAGATGGTCGTGAAGCTGATCATGGCGTACCCATATCACACACTTCATAGTGTCCTCCTTTATAAGTTCGACGAAGTAACCATATGTTTTTGCAAGAATAAATATGAGAAACCATATTTAGAATCGTGCTCCAGTCGTGGAAAATATGCTGAAAGAGGCGGAACGTCGATTAGTTGATGAGGCAGAACGCGTGCGATTTCGCGAAGTTATCGACGACATGACTGTAGCACACGTTGCTTATTTGCAGTTCACAGCTGCAAAGATAAGCGATGCTCGTCTTTTTAAGAAGCGAGGAGATTCAGGTTTGTTTTCAGAGAAATATAAAATTGAATGCTCAAATGCTCTTATGTTTGAATGGATCTGTAATATGATGTGAGCAGTCCTTGTGCAGTTTATCGATTCTTGGGGAGAAGCATATGGAAAAACGATCTGATGCAGAGTTTTATGGGAATTAGACCTGTAGCACTTATTATGATATTGAGGAGTTATATAGCAAAAATGTAACGTACTTCTGATCTTTGATGGCTTTCTTGCATGAATTTTTGTGGTTATTCGAACATAGGCTGTAGAGCTGGCTTCGGCTTCCATTCTCAGTACGGAACGAATCACCGATTGCTTTTATTACTGTAGGATTAAGGTAGGAATTTTCAAGAAATTTCCAAGAACGCTTTCTCCTCAAAAAAAAACAGATTAAAGACCTAAATACTCTTACATTAAACTAATCTGAGGCACTGACTACAAATATGAACATCGCACCTTACCGTAGTGCTATGTTTATGCCATATAACGGTGATTATTCTTGAAATTTGAAAGATGCGGTTACGCCATTCAGAAAGTTACAAATTTTTTGAAAGCTGAGTAGTAATTTGCTTGCTTAAAATCCGTATACTCAAGTTAGATTTTTTTCGGAATTTTTTTTTGAATGCCTGCTGCTCACAAGGGCGCTGTCTGCATGAAGTTCCAAGAATTCGTACCGTAATCCTTCGATATTAAAAAAGCGATGATCCGCTCCATACTGAAGATCTAAGTTGAAGCTAACTCTAGAGTAGGGTATTCAAATGATCGCGAAAACCTTGCATACGAGACTCTAGTGGAAATCAAACTTCAATGAATTTGTTTAAAACACATTGTATTATCTCGGTCAAAAAGAATGCGGGCAAACAGAGCAAGAAATCAAGCCGTCTTTGTGGCCATTTTGAGAGAAATTTCCAGAATTTGCACACCAACAATTGTTATGTATGCTGCGTCAGGAGCTTGTGCCAGCACCATGCCAGCCCCATGTCGAACATTTTTCGATCAGTGAGAGGTGCGTTTATGTGGGTTACGGCATGGCGCTAGCACGGCGCTGGCTCACGTCAATTCTGAACGCTGCCTCCTTCGTCGTGCCATTTTCTTTTATTGTTGAAAAGCTCTGATCTCTTTTTGATTGAGAATGCAAAAATTCGGTCGTAACAAGCTCAACTTACATATAGCGTTCAAGAGTGTAGCATAGATCCATCTGGGTTTGAAAGCAAACTATAAACCACCAGCCATATGTTTCTTACAGCAGTGTACGACATGCAAGAAAATGTTTCGATTCTGAGACAAGCTAAGATTCTGAAACGTGTCCCGCTACCAATTGTTGAGCAGAAGGTGAGTTCTTTTTTTCTGGAAGCGCGTTCAATATAGGTTTGTTTTCTCAGATCTGTTTCCCAAAAGATTATTCTGGCGATGATTTGATCAAGTGGGAATCTATAGAAAGGGAGTGCATACAGGCTGATGGAATATCGGCACCAAAAGTGACTAGAGTTAAAGGGAGCGACGGAAAGTCATACAAAATTATCTGGAAGGTTGGTGATCTGATTGTGAGGACACCTTGGTGGCTATAAGTATAATTTTTGAACATTGTTTTACTTTAAATTTGGTACTTTTTCCGTTATCCAGACCAATTTTTTTAGAGAAAGATATCGCTTCTACCCTTCTACTATATCTGGTCCCGTCTTCACAGGAAAGAGTGTCAACCTTCCTGCCACGTGTCAAAAAAAGTTGACATGTCATTTGTATGTTTAACAGGTTTAACCAAGAGTTTGAGTTGCCCTACCTAGTATAGTTGTAACGAACAGAAATTTTCGCCGAATGAACGAATGTCGAATAATCAATTTTTGAAAATTTTTTGAACGAATGAATATCGAATAATTGATTTCGAAAATATTCGAACGAATGAATATCGAATATTTGATTTTCGAAAATTCTTCGAATGAACGAATGTTATTCGACTTTCGATGTTCATTTTATTCGAATTCGAATATTCGAATATTGGCACATTCCAAAATTCGAATGAACGAAACTTGGATAACCGAACCTGATCGAATATTCGACTAATTTCGAGTAAATGTTCGAATATTATTCGAATATTTGAAGGCAGTATTCGAATGTTCGAATATTCGAATAACTATCATCTAAAACTACTCGAATGAACGAATATTCGAATAACCGTTTTTTAAAACTCCTTGAATGAACGAATATTGGAATAAGTCATTTTTCGAAATCGTCGAATGAACGAATTATTCGAATAAAGACCTTTATTATTTATTCGACTATTCGAACAATCGAATAAATGGACTTTCTCGAATATTCGACTATTCGAGAAAGTCCATTTATTTCGAATATTTCGAATAAATTACTCGAATACGAATATTCGGTTCCAACTAAACTACCTAGCGACGTATTTATTTCAGTCTGCTTTTTAGTCAATAGTGACTCCATTTTCGAGTATCAACAGTGAACATTGTTATCATAATAACGTCATATTTTATTAATGAGCAACTTAGACTTGCCCAGAAAGAAGTGGGCTAGGGTTTCACATCATTTAAGTGACGAAACAAGCAGCAGTGAGGAACTTCAAGCCATCATTTTATCTTGTCTGCTAAATTCGCATGGCGAAAAGTTTGAAGAGAAAGACAGTGCTGAATCATTGCTGAAAATAATCAAGATTCTAATATAAGTTTTAGATTGTTTTGCTCCTTCAGAAGACAGTTAAATAGCTCTTAGGTGATCACAAAAGCCCTTTTACCTTGCAGGAAATGATTTCGAGAAGAAAACATGCCAAAATGAACCGAAAGTGCCAGTATTTTCCTTACACGTGGCAGTGAGGCAGTCCTCCTGGAATCTATGAAAAATTGTTCATAGACTGAAGAACTTATTATAGGAGAGCTTTTTGAAAAAAAAATGGGTCCGGATAACCGAAAAGTACCTTAAACTTCTTCACAGCAAATATTGAGTGGCGGTACATGAAAAAAAAGCAACTTTACTTTCTTTAGAATGATGATGTTAGACAAGATTGTTTGGTCGAGCAGCTATTTTCTATTGTCAACAGCATCCTGAATAACGATGAAGAAGAAGCTTTTCTTCGCACTTACAAGGTACTATTTGTTGCGGCATGCAAGCAACTTTATCAGCGAAATATATGGGCTTCATATTGCGAGGAACCGAGCATATGACGATGAATTTTAGGTTGTTCCACTTGACTCAAAATGTGGGATGATTGAATTCTGCCAAGGAACCACCTCGCTAAGTATGTTCTGCAAGTACAGTATTCCCTTACTCATACTTTCGATTCAAGAGCAGATCCTGTGCGGAAACAACCTTCTTGGTGGCCTTCATGTTTCGGAGCAGCCTCAGGATGATACACCTCTCAAGATGCGAAATAAGTTGAAGGGATTAGCGAAGTGTCATGTCAAACAAGCTTCTGCAGTCTTCCGCGAAGCCTGTGCTCAGTTTCAACCAGTTTTTAGGTAGAAAATTTTCAATGTCAAACCTTCATTCTTGCTAAGCTGAAACTACGAAGCAAGCATATACACCGCTGTGGAATCTATTTTTGAATTGCAAAAAAAATGCTTTATGTAAACATTAGATTTTTCTTTGCAGACATTTCTTTTACCGTGAGTATCCGCTTGTTTCTGACTGGACTAGGATGATTCGCAACTATCGACAGAGCTTAGCTCAGTGGAGCATAGGTATCTTATGCTTTTGCTGATATCGCAGATTTGTACGAAAATATGTGCTTTAGTAACATACGTAGTAGGACTTGGAGACCGGCATCTCAGCAATGTGTTGTTTGAGCTCGGTACCTGTAAATTAGTTCACATTGATCTTGGTTGGTGAATCTTTTCAGCAGAATGTCTTTTTTTTGGTCTGCAGGGTAAGCTGTTCATTTCAGGAATGATATTAGAGTATAGCAAGAGAACTCTACCTATACCCGAAAGAGTGCCCTTCCGCTTGACCCGGGATCTTTTGGATCCGCTGCTCATAGAAGGAACAGATGGGAGGTTTGCTGAAGAATGCGTGCATGCCATGCAGTTACTGCGCGATAATGCTCATGTAAGGGTGCACGATCAGTTACAAAATCTTATCACAACGATCCTAGTTGAGGTCATTCTGGGATTAGCTTCTGTTTTGCTTCGTGAGACCATCTCGAACTTTGAAGAGGTCAATCCGACCAATGGTGACAGACCGTCGTTTGTGGCAAAGACTGCACTCGCTAGGCTGCGAGACAAACTAAAGGGAACCGATGATTCTTTCGTTCAGCAGGACGTGCAACACCAGGTGCGGCTAGATTTCACACCATTTTCATATGCAGAAATCAACTGTGCACTTCAAATAAGCAGTGATCCACTCGATTTTGTGATGCGGGTGAGATGGGCAAATCTCCAATCTGTCGCTATAGTGCCGTTGGTTGCATTAGTGTCGTTTGTTCCTGAACGCAAAGTTGAGACATACCTGAATATCAATGTTGTGGACTGGAGCCTGCTGAGCCAAGCCCAAGAAGCACTAGGTTCATTTGTGTATTTCTTTTTTAAATGCGAGTACTAATGAAATAACTAAATCTCCAGCTTAAACCTTTAACAAAGCGAGCTCAGCGTTTTCGAGTACGGTAAGAAGTACCGCTGACCTGAAGTCCTGGCTAAATTCATCTGTTACGAATAAATAATATGAACTGCATAAGTAGGACTTAGGTAAGGCTTCTCAACCAGTATTCGTGTTTGCCTGGCTGGGTTGGAGAAGTGCCAATTTTTTAAATAGAGGTGCGTGGCGTTGGCCATGCACTCTGAAAGTTGGGATGCTTCATGAAATTTTTGTGGGCCCATAACCCCGAAACCTTGAAAAAGGAGGTGTGACGGGCCAGGCCGCCGAAAAGTTTTTTTAGGGGTTAGTTTGTGTTTTTGAAAATTTTTGATAGTTATTTTGATCATGTACAAGTATAAACCAGTCACTTTGCACCATATCGTCTATCAACCTTGGTCGATACTAGTTTTACTCCCGCACTGCGGGAGGGGACGTTTATCATTTTTATCCCATCCAAAAATTGCTATATCAATGGTCAAAAGCAAAAATTGGTTTTGTATTTTATTAGTGGTTATTTATCACCTATGAAGTTCTGAAATTCGAATTAAGGTGCGTCGCCTACTTTCCGAGGCAACGAGCGTGGACAACATCAGTCGCATGTTTATTGGCTGGATGGGCTTTGTTTGAGTTCTCGGATCTGATTATCTGTACTTTTCACATCGTGCATTCAACGTCTTACTTCTTTTCTGTAACTTGCAGACGATTGTTCGTCGATTAGCTTTGTAGGTCTTGCTCATAGCAGTCATAGCACTTCTCAGTTTGTTCAGGCTGCTCAACTTCTCAAGCATCGATATCAGTTCTGTGTTCATATGTCTTTCCTTTCTTGCTCTACTTTTTTTTGGATCGCTTTTTTCCGATGCATGTAATCTGTTGATGTTTGTTGTGTAACGTAATAAGGCATGAGAAATTTTTCATATACACTTCGATTTTGTTGTAGTTTTGCACTGCTCATATGATGAACAATTTTTCAGTGATTGAAATTGTCACAGATTGCGCGGTTTTTCTGATAAAAAGACACCTCCTTGCTAATACAAGGTGTTCCAAAAGATAGACATTTTTTGATTGTGAATATCTCCGTTATCACGAAGTTTTTCCTCGACCTTTAGATTCTGTAGCTGGTCAACTCAGATTCACAAAATTAGCGATCTGTAACCGGGGGTGTCTAGTGGAACGGTTTCAACCGGATCGATAGACTACACGGATTGAACGACTAATTATTTATCTCAGAAAACGGCAATAAACAACAAGAAAACAAGAACGTGTAACTTGAACAGGCTTAACAACGAAACGACGGGCTTTACCCTCTTGACCACTTCGGCAGGCTTAATAGTTACTATCTATCTAAGGGGGAGATCCGCTTCTCTTCGACGGAGTTAGCTCCCGCTAGCGCTTCCTCAGCGCGGACTCCGAGACTCCCCCTGACTCCCGGTATTTATACCCTGCCGAAGAGGTCAGCGCGGGCTTTTCTTCCCGCCACTGAAGATCGGTAGGTCGGTGATCCGCGCCCTCTGACAGATCTTATTTTGCATCTATGGTAAATGTTCTTACCACGACACTGAATAGCGCGGTATACTCCAGTCTTGGATTCCAGAACGGAGTTTTCCGAGTTTGCATGTAAGCTGCGGTTCAGATTTGGAATCAAAGCTATGAAAAGACTCGAGAATGTCCAAATCATGGAAGTCAGAATACGGCCCAGACCTGCCTCTACTGCTTCGTTTATAGGATGCTAGGCATACCGTGAAGCTGCTCTCTCAATGTCTTTCGAACGGGAATTACGCTGTCAAGAAGTTCGTAGAAGGCTGCATAGTGAAAGTAACATGTGTGGTGACCTCACTGTACAATTTCAAAAATATTGGGGCATTTTATCAAACGAATCTTACAATCACTGTGTATGCTGTAGGTTCCGTAATCCTACGGTGTAATTCGCTCGTATCGTAAATCTAGGTTAGAGCGAGCTCTAGAAAATGGTACTAAAGATCGAAACTCAGAGAGACGTAAACGACCAAACACTGTATACGCAATTTTGAAACATCTTGTTATGCGCTTCCCAGCCTCTATAACAAGCAATTTGGCTTTCTGTGCAAAGATCATCTTTCCGATATAGGTCGTTATTTCTTCCATTTTCCAATGCATTGCTCGCGGATATCCCCCTATCTCTTCACTGCTTTGATTGATTATGGTTGAAAAAACTTTTTTTGTTTATCTGCCGATAATTGCTCAGAATGTAAACTAACGATCTCGTTGGCGTAGCCAATGATTGCTGGAATTTTTTCGCATTTTACGCACGTCCCTTTAGTTTGCGCACATAGACTACGCTAGTATGAATATGAACTGTTTGAAGCCACTCATAGGTAAAATCTATATGTATAGGTCTTGTGGAACTTAATTTCCCGTGCCGTGCCTTGAAACCAGCGTAAGCGGTTGTCGCAAGGGACTGTAGGCGTTCATTAACTTTCATATGAAATTCCTCCAACTTCCGTGTTGTTTTCAACATTGAAAAAATTTTTTGGCGGAAGCTTGAAAGAGGTGCGCGCTCATTGTAACAACTCAGTAGCGCTTCGGAACCCAACATTTTCGGCCGCATCGCGCGTTTTCAAAGTTACGCTTGGGCAATTGGATTTCACCACGCCTGTTGTTTTCCATTATTTGTTTGAGAAAAATAAAAGCCACTCAAGAAATGCAGAGCTGAGAATTTGCTAGATGTACGAACAGAGTTGCTGATAGGTTAGCAATGTGTGAGCTTAGCTAGAACTTGCATTTTATACTAAATTAGTAGCAAGCAGTTGGAATGTCATCTAACAAGACACACCAAAGGTCAAAGAAATTTCGATCTAAGCAAAATGTCCCGGTCCCCACAAAGTTAGATCGCAAAAATGTGCAAAAGGCCTGAATGTCAATTCACCTGTTTCTTTATTGTGATTTCAGTATCCAATGAGCGGGAGAAATGCATCGCAAATACAAAAACATCTTCTTTAGTATAAACCAACAGACGATGCATGTAAGTGCATACCTTTCGAATGTGAATGCGAAAGTGGGTTATGTTCGCCTTCGTCAGGATAAATGTGTTTCCTATCTCACTTGCTCGTAAGTCATAGGCTTCGGCAAAGCGATCCGTTTTTGATTCGCGATAAATTTAGGAAACTGCAACGCAAGGCTAATTACACTTTTAGCCCTCGCTGACTTAAACGACTCGCTTTACGATTGACTAACGAACCGATAAAACAGCAATGTTCATTCAACAAAAAAAAATAAAGCTTCTCGTAACTGTTCCTGGAACAGAGATATTCCTGTTGGAAGGCGTTTGAAAATGGCACTCAACAGCGCCTGTTATTTTAGTCGTAAATTCTTGTTTATTTCTGTTCTGTAACACCACAGCTTTGACCTGCAGTTGCTAAGTCAAATGAGTAATGGTTTGATCGAGTGGTTTGGAGCGGTCGTGCAAGAATAGCAATAGGGGGAGTACTGTGAGTATTCTCAAACTGTCAGAAGAAGCCATACTTTTGAACTGTAATTTTGCAGCGCAGGTATCCGCACTTACCATTTTGACCAGAAAGAACTGCACTTCTTCCATTTGAAGTGATTTAGTTGTTTTATAAGATCATTGGTATTGATAAGTTATGATTTTCAGAAAAAGCGTATCTTTATCGAAGGCATCGAAGGCAGAGTATTACTAAGGAGGACATATTTATTGAGGAGATTGAATGCGTTGAAGATGGAGTTAGAGAAACTGAGGAAGCTTGAAGCTTGATAATATCGTCTGCATTTTGGTTTTTGCTGTTGTCTCGTAACCTTGTGTCGTAGTTGTAAATCTCCTGAATCTCATATTTGCTGCTGCATTTCATTTCGATTACAATAAATCTGCTCGAGATAGTCATGTTGTATTTGTTAATACATTTCATGACATAAGACTGGGTTTTATGAGTAAGAAATAAGAGGCGAAAAAAAGAGACTTACATTAGTGAGACAGACACAAGGTAGTGAAAAACGAAACATGAGAGAAAACATAGAGAATGCAAAAAGCCGTTAATAAGAGCGTAGGTGGCGTGCTCTGAATGCGATCGGGACATTATCTGTCGCAGATATTCCGATTTTGACCGGAATGTGTCGGTCGAAACACCCGGTTTTGCCGTGCACTATTACGGAAACAAAATCATTTGTCTTGATTTTGTCCCGACACCAATTTTGGGGGTCACGCAGGCATTTTGTGACTACAGTCTGCCCACTCAGACATTCGCGGTTAAGTCGAGATCCGCCCACAAAATGAGAAATCGCGAGAAAATCGGGACTCTTGCGCGACACCCGGTTTTGTCCCGACTTTCGGGATTATCCCCACAGGAGATTTGAAGCGGGAGATTATCGGGAGTCGCAATTTCGGGGCGCGCTCCCAGTGTCTGAGCGTAAGGATACTTGCGTGAAATACGACGCATGGTCAGACTACCCTCAATGTCCACAACTTTGGGTGTGTTTCCAATCTTAGGCCCGTATGCACGTACATCCCCGCTGGGGAGGGGAGAGGAACTGGATCCCCAGGGGAACGATCCCCTCCCTTGAACCCCGCTATGCCAGAGGGGAGGGGAGCGATCCCCTCCCTGCACCTATAGCGGGGATGGTGTCATTGCGGTAGTCGTATCTGGCTCACGGCTACCAGAAGACCTCGGCAAAAAAAGCTATTTTCAGCCAATTTTTGTGTACAAGAATGGCTTTTGGAATAAATTGTACAAGAATAGTGACTTCCAGAGTCTTTGTTCCTTTTCTCCGTCTTCTCCTTTTTCTCCTTTCACCCCTCCCATTCTTCTTCTTTTCCCTGTTACTGGTTTCAAGGATTTGTTCTACTCTTTACGTGCTTTCGTAGTAGTAATGTTGATTTTCAAAGTAGTGATTCTATCTTCATGTTATAGTTTCCTATCGATTATGTTATGGCTTACTTTTCTCATAGAAGAATTCATGAATGTGCAGTTTTGTAGTTTCTGTGTTTTCTTTTCAGTGTTTGCGAGCCGTTTCTTTGCGGTATCATTTCGCTGCCACAAATTCGGTAGTTCATTTCAGGGGTATCGATCGGGCGAACCCCAGCGGGGATCCCATGATCCCTTCCCTTCCCCTCCCCGTATGCACGAATGGAGCTCAACAATGCGGGGGAGGGGATCGACATCCCCTGGAACGGAGTAGGGGTTCGATGGTGTAGATCGTACCAGAGAAGCAATATTTTGGTTTTAATCAGTTATTACCAAGCATTTCGTTCAACTTGATGAGGCTCTCTTAGCGACCTGTAGCTGCAATTTTTTCTCTCTCTTCTATATTCGCCTCTCGAGAAGAAACCCGAGCAATAATAGCTGTCGATCGAATATTTGTTGGAGTTCTTGATTATTCAAGAAATTTGCGCATTTTTCATATGATATAATAGTTTTGAGCATATGGGCTGATTAAACACATTGTAATCATCGTATTATGTGATATATTGCCTTTATCTTGTTATCTTAACATAAGCTGCCTTGAAAAAATCCAGAAAGTAGCAGATTTGCCTAATGCTGAGTAGAGATCCCCAGAGGAGTGATCCCTCCCCAGCGTTCCCCTCGTGCATAGCAGGGATGGCCGCTGGGGATCATTCCCCTGGGGTAAAGGACGATATACAGCTGATAGCTACAGCGTTTATGGAAAGCTGGCACGATTTGCAGCTTCAATTGTGTGTAAAAATGCTGGTTTGAATATCCGCGGTACCCGCTCCCTTTTTTTTCTCGGCAGCATAACGTCTTCTACCGACTCGCTGCAGATACACCTTGACTTCTATTATTGAACACCTTTACGCTGAAATGGGCAGCTTGGGCGAAAATGAGCAGCATCCATGAAAACAGCTGGAAATGGATGTAGGGAATATTTTATTGGTGCGCAGACCGCAATCACGGCAGACGGCATTCCGCAACGACAATATCACCGAGACACATTGAAGGCGAGTAGCTATCAAAAGATAAGAAAAAAGGAATGATTACTGCAAAAAAGCGGAAGCAAAATGAATTCTCCGCTCGATCTCCTTTTGCATAAGGGGGCTCCCCTCCCCTGCTCCCAGGGGATCCCCTCTCCGGTATTGTCTTTCTGCATACGGGGTTCGCGTGGGGAAGGGAGGGGAGCCCAGCGGGGATCATTGCAATGGTTAAACGCACATCTCTCCCCGCGGGGATGTACGTGCATACGGGCCTTACAAGCAAGAACACTATCAATATGTTGTCAACCTTTGATAGGATCTTGACGCTACAACCTTCGTCCCAGGACTTCGTTCCCGAAGCTGCTGTACGGTGGCCCTAATTGATCTTTGTACATGAGCGGGAGTCCCGCCAGTGGTTGGATCGCGACACCATCTGGACTCCCGCAGGAGCTCCCGGATTTCCCAGTAGAAAGCTTTCGGGACAAAAGCGAATATCGCGCAGGATTATCCCGAACGAATTTCGGGAGTCCCGGTTTTTTCGCGGACCATTTTATTTGTGTCCCGTAGTCATTCCGTCGGGACACAACTTTTTCACCGGCGGGACTCAACCGCGAATGTCTGAGCAAGAGGGATCAGGCTGAACCGTTCGGGGCTAGGAGTTTGCGCTGCATACGCCGCTGTCGCAAAGAGCGAAGTTTGAGGAGCACAGACTAGTTAGCCGTAAATGTGACGCAATACCCACGCTGCACGGACTCCCGTCATGCCAGTTTTGGCCTGCTTAAGATTGGGGCAGACACACTTCGATGTGTCCTGCGAGAATCAACTGCGAACGTCTGAGAATGGGAAAGGCGCGCGCTTTGTTGCAAATGTCCGCGGCGGCCTCCCCTTTCGGCGACCTAATGTCCTCTGCCCGTAGCTTACGTGATATCATATAGGTTGAGAGCAGCTTTGATGTGAGCATTGAGCATCCTTTCTATACATGGATCGACATTTCTTCCATTATCATTTGGGCAACATTGGTTGCGGTTAAGCCGCTATCTTCCCAGTACTTCAATTATTTGTGGCAGGAAAAAATTTGTTTTTTTTTCATCTGCAGAATCGAATCAGGTTGTGATCTAAGAATCTCGCCGGTATGGTCTCCAACTGCTGGAGATAGAAAAAGCCAGACAAGAAAGAAGCAAGAGAGAATGAGAATATGACTGACAGGAGAAGATTTGCACTCATCGAATGCTCGTGAAAATACTGGAGCTGTATGCTAAAAGGTGTTGATTTGCGAAATATAAGAAATCAATAACGCAACATCGAGATGACGACCGTGCACGTTTACTAAAACCATCGATTTAGCGCACTCTATTCCTAATGTGTATGAAGCACTAGAGTTATCTAGTTATCTCTTGTGTTGCATGTGAATTACAATACCGCTCGTAATTTTCGAAAACGATGCGCACTCGCTCGATTCATGTGACATCACCGTAGCATGGCCATTTCTCGCTTTAGAGTGGACAAATCTCAATCAAGGACACCGTTCGACTCAGGCTCGCGCGATCCGTCTTCCGATATTCGGAAGTGCCCGCTCAGACCAAGAAGTAGGTCAGATTTTACAAATCGTTTCAGATTTTCGCTGACGGTAGGTTACTCCGTGTTTTTTACTGCACTCACTGGGCAATCTACCTTGGCTACAAAAATATGAAACGATTCGTGGAACGTGGCCTCCTACTGTGTCCAAACAGGCATATGTGAGAAGATGGGCCGAGCTAAGTCGAATGCCCCTGGATTAAGAATACGTTCACTCTGAAGCGAGATATTGCCGATGATTTCCCATGAATACGGCGACTGTGCGTCGTTTGTTCAAAAATCACGAGCGATTTTGTAGCATGAAATTAGCGATTCATTGCGTCGTGTTCAATTTGGGAGCTGTAAAAAGAAGGCGCATATGCTAAATCACGCTTAAAAAAGAAATAATGGAAAGAAGACAATTGCATGCATTCCATCAACATAACATTATGTTGCTCGGCTGCTAAAAAGTTTCATTTTGTGATTAGTCAACATTCAAAGTTGTTAGCTTCGTGCAGATTCTTTCCACTTGAGGATTAGGTATCTTTATTCTAAAAAAGCTCTTGAAGAATCTTACATGACAAAAGTTTGTTTCTGAGAAGCTATGAGGCCTGTATCCATCGATGTTATAATAGCACTTGACAGGAGTTTGAAATTCCGAAAAATTAAATTAGGTCAGCAACGTTAAGCAAAGTTTCTCATAATATCCCTTGTATCATGTGCAATCTTGAAATTAAGGATAAGGTTTGAAAACATACTTATTCAGGTAAAGAGTCGAACGTCCATGCTGTTCACACTACTGGTATGTGCAGCTTTTCCTTTTAAGCATTTTTTCTGCTTTTCCGCGATAGAAGATGTTCATTAGAAGCGTTGACTAACTGTCAAAATATGGAGTTAACAAAAATTTGATTGGTATAGAACCTCAAGTCAAACGCTAGATATGATACGTATTCTTTGTGAAAAATTTTCCCTTCCGCGAATCCAGGCTGAAATCATAATATCAAGTAGTTGAACTGATGTAACCTCGAAATCGCATGATCGTATTATGGCTATTCCTGGCATGCAGGAATGGCCATAATGCTTGTGGGGGGGGGGGGGAAGGTGGGATCAAGCGCTGGAAAATACGACATAGTTGGAATTTGTATAGAAACCCGTGACGCCATACAGTAAAATTTATGTCGGCGACAACTAAGGACGTTTTTTTCAAAATCTGAATGTTGAAATTGGTGTAATCTCTCATGAAGTTTTTTGGCGTACGTCATCTATAGTTGTTCCTACGATAATCGATGAAGCGAGGGCTCACAAGTAGGTAAGACGATAGAGATTTCAGCATATTTAACTTTCGTAGCGAATGATTGCGAAACAGTCGTCATAAAAGGTAGCGAACTTTAGACATTCTTGCTAAAGATAGGTTCGAAGGTTTGCTTTCTTAGCGATCCAAAAAAAAAACAGGGATCATTAAAACTGACAATTCGACTCTGCCTTTAATTGCCCTCTCCTTTTTCGGTTTTTCTATTGGTGATTCGCCAAACTTTACGCATGACTCCGCAAGCAAGTATATCGTTTCCATTTTTGGATGGACAATGATGAGTAAAGAGGATTTGCTTAAATTTAAGCTTGCAACTGAAACGCGGTTTATTATGAAGAAGTAAGGTTGCAGCGCTTTTAGCTAAATAAAACTGATACCTTTCCCAAACTCAGTTCTCTAAACGTTATATTCACGCATGATTTGATACTTGCAGATCATAGCTATGATTCTGGAGTACTCAACTGGACATCCCACAAAGGAGCAGCTAGGTTTGTATGTTCAATTGTCACCAGGATCAACCAGGGGCGTGGCATGCTACTCTTGGGAGGTCCTATTGAGGGGTCAGGGAAGGGGGACGATCGTCGAATTCTGATGTCACGATATTCGTTAGCAACGCCAGATAGGCATTATGCAAAACACTAGCGCACTGGTGTTTTGGCCTACTATCGCATACGTGCGCATAAAAAAGGCCCTAAAAGCACAAGAGTATCCTCCTCGTAATTAGCATGTCGAAAAACCTTGGCCAAGTTTCAGGGAATTTTGAGGTTTCCAAATATTGAGCAACCCTAGTGAGCTGATCATTTTTGAACCTGTTACCCTTATTTCAAAGGTGAATTAATTACTTCTTTTTGCACTCATTACAAAGTACTTCTACTTCTTTGCTCGCACTCACTTCAAATACTCTCCAAACTAAAAAATTAAGAAGAAGACAAAATCTCGTCCTTTTATCGGGTTGTCCCGGAAGTTTTGTCCGCTTCTTTCATCGTTCACTAGAGCTCACAGAACATCAATCCATGACAACTTAGGTACGATCTGATTCAGAATTTTATCCTCTTTCTTACAGCTATATTTGCTCTCTGATCTACCTTGTTTTAGCAATGTTATCGGTACGGCTTTTGAGCAGTCAGCAGTAACGCCAAATCTTTCTTGAATTTTCCAAAGCATAAGGGTAAAAATTCAAGAATTTTTACCCTTATGCTTTCAAAGAGCGCTGGTGACTGTTATGTGGAGCAAACCTTTGGCTACATTATATTCATTTTAGATTACAAGAATGACGTCTACCAAGTCCATTATAATTATTTATGCAATAAAAACCCTTTTTAATCACGTTTACCACGTAAAAGTACCGAAAATTCCAAAATGCTGATTTTCCAAAGCACATCAAGCAAATTAAAATAGTTATGTTGCATGAATAATGTTTAATAAAAATCATGTCTTAATTCGCCAAAACTTTTAGCTTTCGGGTATTTGCTGCAATTGTGTTTCATGACTTTGACAATCGAGACCTTTAAAGAATTATTTTTTGAAGCTAGAAACAGCAGGTTAAGAGAATCTAAAAATATTACCTTGTAGAGTATTGCTCTATTTAATTCATACTTAACACTTTTCAAAACTTTGAAATGAAATTTTTTAAAATTTGCTTTGATAAAATAAAATCGACGATAAAATTGGCGGATAAAATTGACGGATGTAGAATTTTGGCAATTATCAAGAAATAGAGGGGGGGGGGTGGTTCGAAAATGTATCCATAAGAGATAGTTGGAAAAGCTGCATCAAATGCATGTTGAAACTCATTCGGCTTTTTATCGTGCGTGGTTTTATAGTCGTTTGAAAAAATCGACAAAACTTTCGGGACAACCTAATATATTTTGCGCTTTCAATTCAGACTGTAGGAGACCTAGCAAGCTTATCACTTTTTTTATGAATTGCGAGGCTTAGGCTATCGAATATAATTGTTCTTGTCGTTTCTCTCGCAATTTACATAGTAGAGCAGAAGTAGCATGATACCGTAACCCAATATTCTCGCACTATTTTCCATTTGCATAGGTAAGGAAAAACGGCTATATTTCTCTCTAGAAGAAATGATTTATGATGCATTCCCACTGTGTAAAGAAGAAGGATATGCAGTATCAATGATAGATATTTGAATGGTCTGAAGGTATGTTAATGGGGTGTGGCACAACTTTTGAAAAGGTGTGACCGCCACAGCTTTTTTAGAGTTCATAGCCCATTTACTTACCCCCAAAAAGAATTTTAGAAAAAAAATTACATACAGTCGATAGCCCAAATCTCGTAGTTTTTAAAGAAGTGACTAGAGTTGATTTCGTCTTCTTCCGTTTGAGCAATAATTGCTGGAAGCACAACCATTGCAAGCAAAAAATGGGACAAGTAAGACTTTGGGTGGCTTTTAAATCCGTGGTTCGATGTTTATTTCGAGCAGGATTCATGTATGGGCAAACAGGGAGTAGTGCTTCGTATTGAGTACAAAAATAGGCAGCTAGATGGGTACATTGCAGAATTTTGGAACAATTTTTTTTCAAATTCTAGAATGCATTTTGTCTTAAGATTCATATCGAAATTACCAGAAGAGCATGGGTATACCGCGTCGCGTATACGCCAATTTTTGAGCTTTTTGAGAAACAGTACTTTTACCCAGTACTTGTTTTGAGGAGATAGGAACCAGTTGAGACCTGCGAAGCTGAAAATCCACTAGGCTGTACGACCAGAGTTTGCTGATACGGTAAACAGTGTACGGTATTAGCTGGAAGACGCACTTTCAAGGATCCGAGGAAATAATTACAGTTGTAGGAAAATGTCCCGGTCCTCACGAAGTTAGATCGAATTGTACATTAGTGCCACAATGTCAAAGGCACTGTTACTTTAAGATGAGTATATATCTTATCTTACTATATATCCAATCTTGCATTGCATATACAAAAACGTACCTTCTTAGTCTGCACATTCGAAATCGGTCGACTCATGTAAGAATGCTAGGTGCATACCGGGATGTGAATGCGAACCTGGTTATGTTCGCTTTCATAAGACTGGAAAATGCATCACTGGTATGAGCTGCGTGTAAGTCACACGCTTCAACAAACGTTTCATTCTTGATCCTCAATAATTTCAGAAGACTTCAAGTCGCGTATCGCAACTTTGTGCCAGATAACTTCGACAAATCACTTCTAGATGACGCAACATTCTACCCAAGACCTCTACATCTACGAATTGGTCGACCTCGACGAATCACTCTTTAAATGACAATGATAAGTGAGAACGAGCAAAACGGCAATATTCAACATCAAAAATAAAGCTGCTTCCGTAAATGTTCCTTGTGATCAGAGATTTTCCTGCTGGGAAGGATTTTGAAATAACGATTAGAAGCTCTATTTTTCTAGAATCTCTTTTCGCTATTTTTGTTCTCGAATGCCACAAGTTGGATCTGTGGTTGTATGATGAATGAGTTGCGGCTTTCTCGAAAATCTATCATTTCTGCTATCCATGATCAGTTTCACAGTCTAAGGTGCAATCCTACCTGAAAACCAAAATGAGAATGGAATGAGTGAGAGCCTTGTTTATAGTAATCCGATGATCGGTTGCTAACTCATTCAAGTGAACTATGTCTAAGGAGTCATCTGTATAAATGAAGCTGAATATGTTTGTCGCAGGCCCTCAGATAATTTATTTATTTATTTATTTATTTATATGCACTCAAGGTGCGCCATTAAAAAGAACACAGATTCAAACACAAGTCTAACCAGTCACACAGTACACTGTAGTAGAACTTGCTACCAGCCGGCTAGACCTCTACAGGTATTAAGAATATAAAAAAGGCCAAGGCAAAAGAAATCACATTGAATAGTGTGATGTGGTAACATGATTCGTCTAATATTCTTAGCTGAATGCATAGGAGCGCCAACAATTTATCATTAACAATATTACTCAGTGCAAATTGCTGGATAAGGTATCGCTTTTAGAAAATTCAATTTTTTTTCTCGGAAAGCTTTGATCTTAGGCATTTGGTAATGTAATAGTTTGCTATAGTGCCCAAAATAACGGAGTATGATGGGATACCCTAGTGCGGGTAACAGATCACTTTCGAGTGGTACGCTTTGGTGGTAGTACCTAGGCGATATGGGTAGTCCACTCGTACCTAGGCTTCCATTATACTACCTACCGCCTCCACTTCCTCCGTGTTTGAACAACATAAGCAAATTGAATGTGCGATCAAAGCTCTAAATAATGCACTAGAGTAGATATAAGAATTTGATGTATTAGGTGTTCTGCCTTGGAAAATACTTAGTGCACTCATTATTTGATAAATGGTGAAATTTCAGTTACTCAGAGAGGCATGATCAGCTGGTGCAGAATCAGAAGAAAAAAGATTGTAATAGTGTGACTAGCCAGCACAGCAATCACAGTACAAAAAAAAATCTATGTCATGTCGAAGAACTATACGATCATAAATAGCCTTCACAAATGTCAGATAATCATGCTGTATGAAACAATGACCCATATGCGATCTTCCTACGTTAGCCAAAAAGCGAAGCGTGCCATAAAACCATAAGACTGTAAATTTCGAATAAGATAGAAAACACCTGAACAATGAGAATTAACACAAATACGAATACGAATCACCTTCAATAGCTTTAGTCAGATCAAAACTTTGCAGCATTTTTTTGAAACTCGAACTACTTTTAGCCGATAGCAACTCAGAAGGTAATCTTCTAAACCAGCGAGCACAGCGATAAAACAAAAAGTTGAAAAGTCCCGAATAACAGTATTTGCCAAGCCTGGGGTAATGGAGATTGAAGCCTCCCACTCTGCTACTTATTGGTCTGAACACCCAAAAATCACTAGCTGGGAGGTCAATTTCTTTACGCAAGACGCCAAAACAAAATGTCAAATCAGCAATAATTCGTCGTTGTTTTAGAGTTTTTAGCCTACTGAAATTGAGTCGTTTATCATAATCAGGAATTGATGATACTCTTCTAGAACGCAACATTCGAGAAAACACCATCCGAGTGAAAATGTGTTGGACTTTTTCAAGCTTGATAATTTCTTTCTTTCGGCACGGATTCCACACTTGAGAGCAATACTCAAGATGTGGAATCACACAAGCTTTATATAGTCGTAAAAGAACCACAGGATCACTGGAATGGATACATCGGAATATTGCGAATAGAGTGGAGTAAGCTTTTTTGATAATATAATCAATATGTGAAGTGAAATTCAACTGAGGATCAATATAAATGCCCAAATCTCTGACTAAGGAAGTAGCAACTAAAGCAGATCCATTCACTACATAACTACATGGGTTGGTTTTTCCTACATGTAAATAAGAACATTTATCAGAATTGAGAGAGAGGCCGTTACTCACAGCCCATCTATTCAATTTATCCAAAGCTAACTGCAGAAAATTTTGCATTCTAATGGCATCGTTCTCATTATAGCATGCGTATAATTTGATATCATCTGCATAGATTTGTACACTGATTCCATTTACATTGAGTAGGCCAGGTAACTCTATGGTAAATATAAGGAACAGTAGTGGGGAAAGTACGCCACCTTGTGGAACCCCACTAGTGCACTTATACTCAACAGAGAAAGATTGACCCACTCTAACCGACATGACCCTGTCTTGTAGATAAGATCGGAACCAGCACAGAAGATTACCAGAAATTCCAAATCTTTGCAGCTTTGATATCAAAACGTCATGCGGAACTTTGTCAAAGGCTTTGGAAAGATCAACATAGATAATATCGATTGACTTTCCAGAGTTCATGGCTATTCTCCAATCAAAAATACTTTTTACAAGGTTTGTAGTAGTAGATCTTTTCGAGATGAATCCGTGTAATTGAGCTGGTATTCCATAATGTTTTTTGATCCAAGAAACTAGCTTATTTCTTATAATCTTCTCCATCACTTTTATTGGGGTTGAAGTAAGACTTATGGGACGAAAATCTGAGACCCTAGTAGCACTGCCAATTTTTGGAACAGGTGTAATAATGGCTTTTTTCCAAAGGCAGGGTACCTCACAAAAGTACATGGAAAGATTAAATAGGTCAGTAAGAGGCTGAGAAAGAACGTCAGCGCATTTTTTGTAAATGATCGGTGGGATGCCGTCGTAAGGCTCCGTGCAAGAGAACTTGAGAGATTTTAAAATGAGACGGACTTCAGATTCATGAAATTGTACAGAGCCAAGAGTATGCTGGGCATCAGATGGAGTAGATAATGGATAAGTAACACTAAAACTTGTAAACACACTGGCGAAATATTTCCCCAATGCTTCTGCTCTCTCCCTATTACTGACACAGTTCTTTCCAGATATATCCAAAAGAATTGAAGAACTTCGATTTTTTTGCAATTTATTACGTAGATATTCGAAGAAACTTCTAACATTGAGTTTAGAAGACAGTCGTCTTTCGTAGTTGGCTAGGAATTTTTTAAGGTGAAAGTCTAAATCTGAACAAACTTTTTTGTACAGAGTACTCGACAAAGGGTTTTGCAAGGTTTGAAATAGATTTTGCTTCTGGTCTAAGAGTGCATTGATTTGGCCCGGGTAACGGAAACCCGTATTCATAGGAGTTCTTAAATGACCAAATCTGCCAAGCCCTATATAGATTCTAGCACAAAATCTTTGGTAAACTTCATCTACGGAGCGGTGATTTTCAAATAGAGAGTTCCAATTTATATTAAAAAAGTAGTTATTAAGGCCATGGTAATCAAATTTGCAAAAGTCGGGTGTAGGATAGAATGTCTCTGAGAAATAGCTGCCTTTGACATAAAATTCAATAATGTTATGGTCTGAAGTAGCGAGAGGAGGGAATATTCTGACATTCATTACATTTTCACTTGAAGAAAAAATTAGATCAAGAAGATGGTTACCATGGGTGGGATCACGAACATATTGTACATAGCCATAATTAGTAAAGAAATTCATCAAATGTGTTGAATTTTGATTTAATGAAAGGAGATGATTCCAATCAATATGAAGATTAAAATCGCCCAGAATAATAACGTCCTTGGTCTGTGAGGATGTCAGATCTATATATTATATTATATTATATATAATATAATATATATCATTTATATTGATCCTCAGTTGAATTTCACTTCACATATTGATTATATTATCAAAAAAGCTTACTCCACTCTATTCGCAATATTCCGATGTATCCATTCCAGTGATCCTGTGGTTCTTTTACGACTATATAAAGCTTGTGTGATTCCACATCTTGAGTATTGCTCTCAAGTGTGGAATCCGTGCCGAAAGAAAGAAATTATCAAGCTTGAAAAAGTCCAACACATTTTCACTCGGATGGTGTTTTCTCGAATGTTGCGTTCTAGAAGAGTATCATCAATTCCTGATTATGATAAACGACTCAATTTCAGTAGGCTAAAAACTCTAAAATAATAAAAATAAAAATATAATAATAAAAATAATGGCGACTAAAGGCCACTCTGGCCATTCTGCGGAAGTATCATCCTGAGAAATTATGGGCATTTGGAGCCGCATGTCTCGAAGCCTCAAATGCCCATAACTTCGTCAGGATGATCCTTTCGCAGATATGAAGCACAATTTTGACACCGCTGCAAGACCTAAACAAGGTCGTGGATGCAATGCTACATGCTCCAACGAAGTGAGGGAGACATTGAGACTAATAGTCGAAAAAGGAACTATCTTTACGTATAGGTTATTTTAGAATCGTGACAACGGATTTTATTGCGGTTTTTGCGCCCACAACAGCATAAACACTCGCACAAAAAGGTATCACGTCAACACTCAGCTCAGTCACTTCCAGTGACTAGATACTATCAAACGTGAGCAGGAAAACCCATCACGTAACGATGAATATCAAGAAACTGCGGCTGTCGGAAGTGAGTGCGTGTCGCGGTGTGATCGCGCCATTGTCACGATTTTCCAATGCTCTATATATGTCATCGCTCAAGGCTGTCAAGCAGTAAGTTGCTTGATCAATACAATTGCTCTCCTAATTCTGGGAAAAAAGGGATCGCGATAAATTGTTCCGGCGCTGCTTTCTGTGGTGAGGAAACTGTAGGAATGCTATAAGTTTTTTTTAATTCAGTGGTCTGCGAAGAATCCAGATATAAAACGTTATGAAGAAATTTTAAAAGCTTTCATTCAAGCTGCGAGGACATATTGTAGTGGTCTTGAGAAAGTGTCATCACACATAATTGGTCTGTTTACTACACGCAAGCTATAAGAATGAAAAAAAGTAAAAAGTTGCCAAAAAACAGGTAGCTTTGATTGCATGTACATGAAAAACTGGTTTATCTTCTTGTGTCAAAACAACTAGACTTCGTTTTCAAAATGATTCTCAGAAACCAATTTTATTTAACAGCGGCATGTTACATCAGTCTGCCAAATGGCAGGCATGATCTCATTTTGTTCACGACAGGGTGCACTGTAAGCTCTATACAAGCAATAAAATTTTCCTCATGGGATTCCCGCTGGCATGACTCCACAATTCGTGAATCCTTTATTTCGAAAAGTTGCATGCTGTTGAAATCCGAATTAACAATAACTTTTGTACCATGGTCATATCCTGCAAAAGTAGGTTCAGAGTATAATATAGACAGTCGTATACATGTGGACAACGAAGCTGTATTAGCTCTGTTGAATGATTACAATGGAAAGTTTGATGCAATATTTTTAGAGAACCAACGCGACGAAACGGGTAATTTTTACTGCAAAATAATCCGAGAGTGCTTACAAGGGAGGGTCACGAAGTCCAAGTGGCCGATCACCAGAAGCAGTATACCATTAGTGAGATGCTTGGAACGCTGTTTCCAAATCTGCTTTCGCATCTGCCGATCGCTTTCGGAAAGAAGTTAGAGCATTTCAGCGAAAAATTGAGCTAATGGCAGGAATATTAATCGATACAGCCTCTATAAACGTGAAATGGAGAAATAGGAAGTTCTTGTACCCTAGGCAGAAGGTCAGAGTTTTAAGTGCCCTGACACTTGCCTTTGCTTCATTTAAAGTCTAAGCTGCAGCGATTGTTTTTTATCCAGGCCATTATCGCTTTTTGACTTTAAAGAATGCTCAAAATTCTTTTTCAGAGGAGCTTTGAGATTAAAGGAGCAGCTTTGGTATCAGCTCTCTAAGCACTAATGGTATTCTGCTTGTGGTGGTGGGCCACATCGACTTTGTGACCCTCCCTTGGTTAGATAAATCTGCAAAAAAATCTTACGTTAGGACAAGGCCATGCCCAACGCTGCTTGAGGCATTTAATGCTTTGTCTGTGACCATAGGATTTGCCGGTTATCATCCACCATCGAAAACCTGTGCTAATAAGTTCGCGCTGCTATGCATTGATAACGATGCAATCTTCTCTCCGGCTATCATTTTGAGATTCCTGTTATGCATTTGACTCTCGTCATTCCAGTTTCTTTCGTGCAAAATCTATAGGGTTGACTACACATTTTCACTCATCTTCTACACCCTACCTTGTCTGTCCTATTTCCTGAAAATATTAGGTTGCTGCATAAGTTCTGTCCGATTTGAAATTTTTGAGTTCAAAATGTCATAGCTCTCTTTAAAGTCAACATTTTTCCAAGATTTTAGTTTCTATGGTTGAGTAATTCCTTGGCTATCAGACACATATTGAAACCTGCGAAAATCCTGTAAAGGAAGGAGAAAGAACTCAAAAACTTCACAGCGTTTTTCTTCAAACCTGTCTTTTTTGACATGGCAGTGCTCCCTTATGAGAATTGATAGGCATCTTGTCCAACAATGGATAGATAGAGAATTTTTCGCAGATTATTATGAGGCATAAAAGAGCCCATAGGGTCTGCGTTGCCGAGAGATTTTTTTGACCGAGCAAAAAAGAAGCCACTTTTTGACCTCGCTTCAGTGCATGTGTGCATGCCTATTTATGAATTATGAAAATTTTACAATTGATGTGAGCCCGAAAAGAAATTGGTAGATGGCCTCTGCTAGCCCTTGCTTTTCGCTAGCACCTCCAACTTTAAGTCGTCGATTACTTCTATTCACAGAAAGTTATAGCTTGTAAAACATCTCTACAGAAAATTAATGTTTGACAATAAATTTTACTAGCAAGACGTTTTCTTCATGAAACTGAACTTATGCGTACGCTAGCCTGTTACACCCTTACTCCGGAACCGATTGAAAAACTTGACCTATAGGGCGCATTATGGAGATTTCCTCGCAAGAACATATTTCTAGGGTGAGAACGTACCTCGACCACTTGGAGATTTTAGGCCTGAAATCTCCTTGCACTAAGAAATTTATTGAAGTTTGATATGCATTAGAATGCGCAAGAAAAGCACTTTTCAAAGATACTAACAATATCGCATCAGAAATAAGATCCTCTTAGAGCAGCTGCTTCAAAAATAAGGCAAAAAATTTCGGACAGAACTTATGCAGCAACCTAATATATTCAGGGCTCGGCACGAGATGGCTTTCAGTAAATGCAAAAACGAAGTCCCCTTGACTTTTGCCAAATTTTACGAAGTCCACTTTGATCCTAACCTCTAAACGTTAAAAACCCTCAAAAACGAAACGTTGACCAAAAAAACGTCATCCAAGTTTGGTTTTCGAGAATAAAACGATATCCCTTTGCTTTTTGTCCCAAAAGCGATATCCAGCTGCTTGTAAGTCACCCGTGCCGAGCCCTGAATAAAGCTTTTATTAGGTCGGACCGAAGGTTCTGTTGCACCATTTTCAAAAAATGGTAGCTTCCTCCGTCACGATAGTCTTGCATGAAGAAAATACCACTAGGAATGGAGCTCTGCAATTTCTAATGACACCTTGCCTGCTCTCTCCATGCTTCTATCGCAGAGATGAAATTGGAAAAAGGAAATCACTTTGTGTTTGGAATTTTGAGTCAAGCCCGTTAATATTCCAGAGCTGTACCATAAAATCAAAAACAGCCAGTATCCTAGATTTTTGACTCTCTCTTTCTCTTTCTTCTCTTTCGAGCAAAATTTGCTCTGACCGAGTTGTTCTTTGAAAAGTTATGATTTTTGTGAAAAAACTTTAAAAAATCAGTTTTCTAAGAAAGTGATTCTTTGGCTTTTTTTCTCGAACATCATGGCTTTTCAAAGAAGAACTCGATTAGCCCAAATTTTGCTCATCTAAAAAAAGGGTATCAAAAATCTGGGATACCGACTGTTTTGGATTGCAGCGTCATGAAATTTTCAACGGGCTTGTCTCAGTATTCCAAAATTGAAATCATTTCCCTTTCGCGATTCTACGTGTATATTCAAAGCTTATGCTTAGCAGATAGCAGCCAAGGTTCCACTAAAAAGCGCATGATTTGCTCTTCTCAGTAAAGTCTTTAGTCATGCAAAAACATCGTAATTGGAAGTTGTTATAATTAAAATGGTACGACAGAGCTTTTGGTTCGACTAATATACAATTGCAGGTCTCTCATTCTGAATCTTGAAGCAAAAAATTTTCTTAATAAGTTCAGCTTATCTTTGATTTGACGCAATTTGAGCAACTCTCTTCTCAACAATCTTTCAAGGTATCGGAAAGTTGTGATTGGTGATTAGTGGAAAACGTGCAAATTAGGAAATGCGCCATGTAAATCCTTCTATAGTGTGTTCACAAAAACTACAAATCTTTCGTTTTCCATTCATGTCTTCGGCATTATTCACATAAAATCGGTTTTAGCCGAATTGTTGTGTATTCTTTCTTTTTGACACGAAAGAGTGAGTTCATCTTATTGCTGTTACTTGGTCTTGCAGAAGTTGAGTATATTGTTGAAACGACCATAAAAATGCGCATGATGCATAACAGCATCAGAATTACAAACGCTACTACTTCTTGGGATGATGTCTACAATACACAACTATAGATTCGCCATATGGGGAGGGTCGAAGTACTAGATGGGAGTTTATCTAGACTGTCACCTTTATCTTCACCGGGTCTTTATCGCACTACCTAAATAGCTCTCTCCTTCCGCCAGTCGAAAAGCGAAATTTTTCTTTTCGAAAACGCAGTTGCACACTAAATTTTTCTCCAGTATGGGTGGTCTTTCCGAGGCGAGACGCGGTCATGTGATCTGCATTCTTGGTCCAATGTTCAGCGGAAAGACGTAAGTTTTATTTAAAATGCATTGGATTTCTCTCAATAAATTTCCAGCACCGAGTTGATCCGTATGCACGATCGCTACAGAATCGCTGGAAGGAATTGTGTACTTGTCAAGTACGCAGGAGACACTAGATACGATGCTGAGCTAATAGTCACGCATAAAAGGTTTGTTTCTAATTGATCAGGCAATGTCCAAACTAGAACATGTGTCATCGTGCCAGGGCAGTGCTAGCTCCGTACCTGAACCTCTGTAAACTCGTTACTGATTCATCTAAGTGCTGGCACGGCGCTAGCACGGCATTGGAACGACGCTGAAGCGGCGCTGGCACCGTTGTGAGCTTTGAAAAAATTACGTATAACGCAAATTCTTGCAGAATAACAGCCGAAGGAGCAACGCTGATTGCGAAGAATTTAAGGGAAGTAAGGGAACATCTATTCGCCATTGATACAGAAGTTGTCGCGATTGATGAGGGCCAGTTTGTGCGTTGCTAATTTTTCTTTTATAACCACGCACACCACTTCGTAACGTGAAAGTGTGACTTTTGCCTGCTCTTATGTGAATTTTACCAATCAAATATCAAAAAAAAAACCTGATGCGTGGCATCTGCAACTCATTATCAAAGTAAAGCTTAATCAAGATGAGATCACTCCTCCATGTAGTAAATGCTGAGGAATTCGATGAAACCAATGCAGAAAACTTCTCCCAAAAACGTCCCATTATTAGATTGCTAAGTTTCTTTACACTTTGACTTTTTACAGCGGTACAATTCTTGCTTCAGTCAGGTCTTCGATTTAATCAAACCGCAAATCAAGCTGTGCAAGATGGCTTGTCGAAGTTCACACTAGCTTCGTTTCACCTCAAATTTAAAGCAAAAATCCAAGAATTTCTGAATAGTCGGAAATTTGGAAGAAATCTGTGTCTAGGTTAAATTCTACTAACCTTTCAATCGCTCACGCATATGCATTCCACATCAGACCACTTTGAAGCTGCCGCCTTTTTCCTTGGCTAGTATTTGAGAATACCAAATCCAATTTCACCAAAGCAGTGCTTGGTTCCCACTCTAGAAATATCATAGTACAAACTTTAAAATATATCACTGTGATTTCTTAGCCTTCTAGTAGTATAGTCTCTAAAAAACATCAGCTCTGTCCTTATCTGAATTTTTTATAATTCGGTATGTTGCCAATGGCTCTGTAATAAACTACTAGTAAGAACTTGGAGATTTTGAGTTTTTTCAATTTGTGGTTAAGATAAAAGGCACTCTTCTGTCCAATAAATGAGCAGGTTAGATTCGAAGACGGGACTTTCTTAAAGTTTTACTTTTTCGAATCCTTGATAAAATATACCTTTTAGCTTTTGGCTGTAAACCTTGCCTTCTTCGAAACTTATGCAGTTATTTTGAACATCGTCTTGTAGAGCTTATCTCCTTCATCGAATGTTACCCTGAAACCTCTCTGAAAAGTATGGCTTACTGCGTCAAATCAAAGGCAGCAGAACATATGTAACAACCTAGGATTTGCATCGTCCCTTGACGTTTACTTCTAAAATGACCGATATTTTCATTCTGTTGTCAGAAATAGAAAGCAAAAATCGTGTGATAAGATTATGTTAACTACGAGACAGTAACTGTGACAACCACGACCAAAGCAATGGGTAGCGTGAAAGAACTCAAAATTGTATTAATTTTTCCGCAGACCCCATTACAACATCCAAGTTGACTTCATCGTCTTTCCATTTACAATCTTCTCGATACAATATCGTATTTGTTATGCTTAGATTTGTTTAGTCATACAACATGCTTTGAGCTCAATCATTCTTTACTTTCAGTTTGATGACTTATCCTATACATGCGAACGTCTCGCTTGTGAGGGAAAAACTGTAATCGTTGCCGCATTGGATGGCACGTTTTTGAGGAAGGTAAGGTATCTTTTTGACTAAGTATCCAGTTCTTCTGGACACCTTGTATTCTATATAAGACATGAATCGAATTTATACGTGAAGCAACTGGTACACGTATTATAAATGTTCAAAAATGCGCTAGAAGTTTGTAAGCCTAGCTTGCAGGACAATAATTCGAAATCCACTCAAAATTCTGAGTTTGACCTCTTGCACAAAATGCAGCAAGCACTCTCTACAAAATGTAGCTGCGCGTCTCATCAATTGGTAACATCTAACAAAAACTCGTATTTTCAAATTAGTACATCCAAATAATGAAAATAGGTCGTTCTGCGTAGATCATAGTTTTTGTATAACAGCCACTCTGTTTTGAAGAAGAAAGTAGGGTTTCAGATTACTGGAGCACTGTGTATTACCCCGAAAGAAACCTTCTTGTAGACTTTCTCAAAGTAAACCCTGTGAGCTATTTACGTGCCGGTGGCAAGGCAAATTCTTATGTATAGACCTTATAGCAAAGAGCAAAGCAAAGTGATGGCCTCATTTTGAAAGCGTTGTTTTTCAAATTCCCATTATTCCAGCCTTTCGCCGAAGTCTCGCAGTTGATTTCGTTTTGTGATGAAATCAAGAAACTTTCTGCTGTATGTATGGAATGTGGCGCTGATGCTCCGTTCACTTTCAGAAGCACAAATGAGAAAGCGGTAAGTAGAACTAAGCATAGTAATCAAGGGCTATCTTTTAATCGAATCAATAAGTGCAAATGAGAAAATTTTTATTTCGCATCTCCTTCTAGACGTAGGAAGATAGAAATGGCTAAATACAGATTTTGTACTATATTGTAAAACATAAAAATGAGCTGTGTCTCTAAAAACTAACTAAGTGAAATTCACTTGTAACCGTCCTCCTAGCGTCCCCAAATATTTGATGGCGGATCGTATGTGTTTTGAAAGAATCACTTGTTTACAGTACTTCAAGGGGAAGTAGAAGAAAATTATTAATCCGATATTTCAAAGCAAAAAAAATGTTATTTTCAGGTTGAAGTGATAGGAGGAGAAGATACGTACCGAGCTCTGTGCAGAGCTTGCTACTACTCGTGCTCTCTTCGCAAAGGATGTGAACGCTCATGCAGAGGATAACCCAACCTCAATATTTGGTTTCATAATTTATTTCCTTTCTAACCGACAAAAGATCAGACTTCAAGCACCTGTTCTGAAACGAAACGAACTTTTTCTCGAATCTAAAAACAACAATTACCTGCCGTACGGTGTTAATTTTCTCGCTATTACGCGATGAGTTGCGCGTTTCCCAGATGGGCGGCCTCGTTCAAAGCGATTTGCATCAATTGATGTCACCGACCCATTAGTCACCTTAGCTAGCACAACTTATGGTTGGAGAGCTCTAAGCGGGTCAACGAGGACACAACAACCACCCCCATCGACAAGACGATCTGACTCATTTATACACGCACAACTGCACAATCACAAATTGTTCTCGATATGATATTTTCGTATAAAAGTTCGAATAGCAAGATAGTAGTATGTTTACATCGGACGATAGACGCGGTTTAGATTAGTAAAATTGGAATCAAGAATTGAGGTCATTGATGGCTGCCACTGGAATCTCCTGATCGCCGCTTCTGAAAAAGGAAGTTTGGGAAAATTTCACAAATTGAGAAAAAATGTTGAAATACGACAGCTATTGCTGATAATTTCGTATACGCGAGTTCGCTTTGCGTCACTAACAGTACTAAGGAAAGCTTTTAGTCTATTCCGAATCATGTTGTATTACACGTTAAATTTCATAAATTCAAGCTTAAGCTACTTGGAAATGTGCCAGATTGAAATTTATACGGCAAAATAGAATCAATTATGATCGCAAATAATCCGCCAGTAAAAACCGTTCTTCTCCCAAGTTTGTAACACCTTGCTTCGAATGTTTTTTTTTTCAAAATAAACATGCACTAATTCAACAGTTATGTAAATATAATATTTAACAGAAGAACTATGTATCAAATACTAAGTATATCTCGATGTTGTTCCTTCGTAGATGTCTTGTAAGACCTCCGGGTTTTCCCGGAACTTCTCGTATGCAAGAGAACCCGGAGGTAGCGAAAGTTAGCTTTCAGAATTACAAATGTGCATGTTCTTTGGCATACGAGGCTTCAAAAAAAATTTCAATTTTTGGTAATGGTATGTTAACAGTAAAATGAGATGATAACTTGGAAGCAAGTAATCAATCAATCAATCAACTAGAGGACTTTACCTATTTCAAATAAAGTTCTATAAAAGCTTGTCCTTACGAAAGTTACTCAGAGAAATTACACCATTGTTAATCTGGATAATTTTATTCAAAAAATCGCGCTCATATAAAAAAATTTGTTTTAGCATTATTCAACAATCCTCTTCTCCGATAACCCTCTTTCCTGCGCTCACCCTTACCCTTGCACTTTGCCTAGAAAACTGATGCCTTTCGTGAGTGCGTCGTTAGGAGTGATTTACTAGGTAATGGCCGGATTACTGTAGTTAGTTAATTACTAGTCTATGATTGCGTCAGCAAGCACCGGGCTGGCTCTCGTCGAATAACAAAACATAATTGCTTGAAGAAGAAAAAACACTGCCGAATACTGTAGCAATTTACTCTTGAGTGTGAAACCCACCGGTGGGCGCTCTCCCGAATGCCAGCGCAAATGCGCCTTCAGATGGCTGCTCTTGTTGTAGACCTTTCCACAACCAGCTATGTGGCAGTTGTGGATTCCTCGTTTTTTCAATGGCACGTTATTGATTCCTGCAAAGAATGGGCATCAGTGATGGTGCGCATAGTTATCTATGAGCATATCTCGAGGTATGGATATGCATGGGAGCGGTTAGACAGCAGTTATGGCACATTGTAGCTTAGCTCAGAGATAGGATCGCTACTGTGGATGCGCTGATCAGCCGATAGCCGAAAGCAAAGAGCGTTCCGCCTAGCGCCTGACTGTGACTATCGTTACGCTAGTCGCAGTATATGATCACAAAAATATGCTTTTCAGGCAGGCTATTGGAAAAATCAACCGGATGTTTCCGCGTTTTTAATATTATTTTGTTTGATACTGTTTTCTAATAGGGCTACCTACTACTACACGACGTTAACGCTCAGGAAAAAAATGCAACAGATAGCTGCTACAGAAACATCTAATAAGTGGGGCAATTTTTTCATCTTCTTCACCTTTTAAGCCTAATAAAATCATTAAAACCCGTACAAGAAAGACTTGCAGGAGCGGACGGTAAACCAAGCCTATTAAAGCCCTAAATTTAACACGGTAGGGTAACACACCCCTTCACAAGGCAACTTACTACTATCTAATAAGATTTTCGCTAATTTCTCAAGTGCTCAGTAAATTAACTGAGTGAAACTAATCCGCGCCAGGCTACCCCGGATAATGAATTCATTGATAGCCTGGGTAGTGCAAACATTTCGTTCCGAGGATTTCAGCGTGTCCAAACTTTTCTACTGGCTACATTGCTTAGTTTACTAGGCGCGACCATATGTGGTCATCGCTACCATCATACTATGTTTTACGTACCCAAGAGACATGTGATTTATTTCCAAAAAAGGTTGCTAAATTTATCTATGCCTTTTCTGAATCCATAACTGATTTTAACACAATATCCATTTTTGTTTATTAGGATAATGACGACTTTTATGCCTCAAGGAGAGCACGTATATGCCTAAGCCTTACCACAAGCCTTACCAATACGGCAGAAGTTAGCTATCCAAAGAAGCTCAAGCAAGAAAAGAACACTAGAAGTGCCTTCCCCGACGGATATGGAAGTAAACTGTATGTGTTTTGCCACATGTGACTGAGGTTATCTATACATAGACATCTAAACCCAAATACGAATGCCACTGTTGAAACCATTGCTAATCAATATAATTTTTTTAGCAGCACGTGGTTTCAACACTGTCTTAAAAACCCAATTTTCGATATTAATTTTAGGGAAAGGCCATAAAAGCTGAAATTTCTAAAGAAAATTTCATTTCTTACCAAGAAAGTGTACAATGGGACGAAAACGCAATATTGATGTGCTTAGGAAGCTTAACACTGTCGGTATGAAACAGCAAATTAGTTTTTTTGGGTCATATTTTTGAGCAAGCACATCTACCTGTTCGTCAATGAGCCAAATTCAGTAAGTGAACCACGAAGATATGTTTTACACCCAGCCGAACATGGCTTAAAGTGCAAACGTATCGGTTCACAGCATCGAGTCAACGATTACATAACTCAAGGCACTACGGTTTGAGAGCAATTACGGTCATTGAACACACGGCAGAATTCCATAATTGCCTCTACCGTAACCCTTTCCACGCAAAACCTATGAAAATGAGGCTACGAGGATGTTTCGTAATTCTGGTTATAGATAAGAAGTTTCCAAAGGTTATACAATTGTAACTGCGTCGAAGTGCAAGTTTAGAATATTTTTTAGCGGCGAAATTGCCCAGTCTTTTTTTGAGAGTTTGGAAAAGAGAGGCGGAATTGATCAGCTATTTGTTAGTCCAAATTGACGCTATTGCATATAAATTTCATTTCTGACTATGATGCAAATTATGAGGAGGGTAGAACTTCTATTTAGATAAAGAAATGTATGCGAAAGGGCCTTCATTCCTTCAGTTTTCTTCACTAGGATTATCAATGATCAAAGTGTGGCAAGGAGTGGATCTGAAGGATTACTTTTACATGTTTTTTCTACATTTTAATCACTCAACATCGGCAAAAGATTGGCTTGGTGTGCGTTTTGCAAGTATTCTAAACGTTTGCGCAACAGGTCCTTGACGAACGGTCATCAAGTGAGATATACGGTCCGTAGAGAGGCGCTAAGTTATGTAACGTTGTGATTGAGATAGCATCGCTAGTTAGATTATAGGGCTCTGCGATCACCTATGTACTCAGAATAATGATATCTGTCACAAGAAGCGATATTGATGCTTCAGGTCTCTTTTTATTCCTAGAGGAACGCAAATACTTACCTATCCGTTCAGCTTCCGCACAATTTGGGCATTCACAGTTTCCTCGCGGGAACTTCCCACCTCCGGCTGTTGACATCGTCTGCTTGCCGAGATTTAGCCGTTGATTTAGTGTAGATGTTGAAGCAGGAACCGATGACAGAAGGCCCAATTGTGAAGACAAGTACGGAGAATACGCATCGACTGAGGTGTACGGTAGCGGCCATGTGCTCGCCTGGTCCCACCTGGCGTGAGGTTTGGGTTGCTTACAATTAAGAAAATGAAAAAAATGAGGTTTTACCATGTTGCTCCGGGCCAGTAGTGCTGGTATTGTGGATATGAAGTCTCTGCAGTGGTTGGAGATTTGTCTGCATTTGGTTTTGACTAAATATGAAGGCATGTTGTTTTGTGCAAAGAAAGAGAAGGTCCTGATGAGAAGACTGATGTACTCCATAGAGTTTGAATATGACTAGTATGATTGGTTTTGAAGCTCTCATTTAGTTCGCTAGCAAGAAAAGGTTTTTTTCGTCGAAGTGACCTTTTCAGAACAAGTCTTTGAAAATCTGAAAAGCAATGAATCCAAATGTGTCTTTCTTTATCTACCGTGGGCTTTGGAAGACAGCATTATGACTGTGTCTACACTATGATTTCTTCGTGGGAGGAAAAATTGAAATATTTGAACTCAGTATTCAATATTATTGCACTGTGCAATGGTTAACTTCGGTCTAATATACTTATACTCAACACTGTTCTGTTCGAACGCTAAAGGATGGATTCAAAAAGGAACGATTGTTTACCTAGCTCTGCGTTTATTTTTCATTTCAAAAACGCTCATAAGCGTCCAGAGGCGCACGACAGATAATAAAAATAGATTTTGATCAGCCTTCAATACATTTCAAAACAGTCTAAGATTAATTTGAAAAGGTCGCCCTTATAAAAAACACGTTCCTTGTATGGCTTATGCAATGATGAATAAGCAACAAGCACCAGCTGTGAAACAGGGTCGGACGAGTTCTACTTTGGCATTGATAGGGTCAAGAACAGAAGTAAGCTACAGACATTAGAATTAGAGGAATAAATATAAGAGAGAGAAAGTGAAAGAGAAGTTTTGCGCGTTTGATTAGAATTTATTTTCTTCACAAAAACGCCGCTATGCTGTCGTAACCAATATTTTTTTTTGATAGACTAGTCCAGATAAGGACTATGGCAATAAGAGCAAACTCGGATGATTAACTTTTGGAAGAAACATCTTGGGTGCTAACTGTAAGATTCGCATTTACTTGAAAGAAGAAAATGTAACTGGCTTTTCAAAAGCCTCTTGTATTCCTTCGACGGCAGACTTACCTCGAGTTTGTCGAGAATAACATTTGCATTAAGACGACTGCATTGTTCCATCAACTTTCCAAGCGGGCCCTGATCATTCTAAACAATTTGCATGATTGTTGAATTTGAAGAGATTTTCAGATAGCAATGCGTAAATGGAAGGAGCTTGCTCAGGTCGCGCGCAATTGCCTTAGAGGTGTGTGACTGTGCCGAAGCGCAACCGATCATCTTATATACTATCGGGGCGATAATAAAGGGTGACGAAAGGGAAGAATGTGTGATTAGGCCGTCGCCCAGCAATCCTGTTATTTGCTACATAATCATATCCTCGAATTCCAATAAAAGCCGGGTGTGTGCAATGTAGCTATTGAAGAGCTCTTTGAACGGCTGTAGGGTGAACTCACTGGAAGAGGTAGCATCGTCGGAGGTGGAGCAGAAATGGTCGTCGTAGCTGACGTCTGTTCGGCACTGTTCATACCGAGCATGTCTGCGCGGTCCGCGACCACGCCCCTGCTCTGCGACCGACGGCGATCCGCGCTACCGTAGTCCGCCGACGAATCGTCGCGCTCGCTTTCGACGCCGGCTCTCCATCTTCAGCTTTAGACCTTTAGAGGTTCGTGTAATAGTTTCCAGTACTCGCAAACAATGCGAATTCACCTTGTTTAGCACGACCCTACCCCTCCTACAGAAATTCATCAGCACCTGAAATTTCAGCAGATCGATGCTGCTCTAATTGCTACATGTGCACACCGCAATTGTTCATGGAATTGCGTGATTCCAGGTGTGATGTCTCCGCAAAGACTTGCCGCCTACCATTAACTGGGGCTGTTAACTCGCGCCGCGTTCTCATCATACCCATCGGAGGCCAACTTCGCTAGAAAAACATTGAAAAAGTTGAGAGTCACGCGAATGCACAGACTGAACGGCACCAATTCAGGGTGTGGAGGTGAAGTGCTGTGGGTAGGGAAGCACCTACCGTAAACGACAGCCTATGCGAATCAAATCTTTCCCAAGTTATATATTTACGTCGTGACGATATTCAAAAATTTCAAAAAAGGAAAAAACGTTGAAATAGGCAAGCCCTATTTGATATCATTTTCGATCTGGCAAAAAACATTCTGCTCGAGAAAGGATGATTAATTGACAAACGCAGTAATAGTCGTTAATATAGTAGCGCTGTGGGTTACATCACAATATCGGGCATTTTCCCTTATCTGTTGAGAGGAACGCTACAAGAAAGGACAGCCTAAAAGGAGAGCAATTAAAATTTTTAATTTCGCTTCATTACTAAATTGGTGCATCTGGATGTATATGGAGTTTCGCTTCTCTGTTTTTAGCTCTGCAGTCTTCTCTTCACATTGTTTCGAGAACTACAGTTTTTAAGAATTTTTCAAGTTTTCCCTTCAAGCTTTCTATGTGACGTTTCCGAGAAAACTCTCCATTGCTTCTGTGGAAGAGGCTGAGCTTCATTGTAGGTGAAAATGATGCTCATCAAAGGCCAAGTTGAATGTCATAAATTTTGTGCAGCTCTTCTCTTAGAACCTATCATTTCACGACCACCCACTGTGACTTTCTGTCAGGTGTGCCAAGTCGTCAACTACCTTAATGCAATTAGCACTAAGCTCTCAGCTCAGCGGGTGTGTCTTGGCCATGGGGATAGTTCACTCAAACACAATTGTGGATGTCATGTAATACATGAGTATGTCGGGATTATGTCAAACTTCTATAAAAATAAATTATTTTTTAGGGATAATTATCCTACATCGGGTAGTGACCAAATGAAAGAGCTCGTTTTGGTTTGAAATCCGGACGCGCTAGGATAGAGACACCTGTGCTGGTTGCATCGTTTGTAGCGGTCAATGGCGTGTGAAATCCGTAATGGCCGGGTACGCATGGGAGCCTCTGATGGACTACGTTGGCCCGAAGAATCCGGGGAATGAACAGGACGCACAAAATAATTGTCTGGCTTGGAATTCACAGCTTTCTTTGAGATTTATTTCGCCAAGAAACAAGCATTGGGTTGGATAAGCTTTTTCATAGTTGGATTCTCACCGGGATAAACCATTTCTTCTTATGACCCTGTACGATTTGGGGCCCTTGGGCTTCTTGGGCTTCTTCTTTTCCTTGTGCGATTTTTTGATCGACAGAACAAAGCATGTTCTACAAGATGACTTTTGAAAATTCGCACCAAGCAGTATCCACAAGAATTTTCGATGAAAAAGTTCCAAATGCCCAAAGCAAAAAAATGCGTTTAATTTGGGAAAATTCCATCAATTTCTCGTTCGCGTATTTAGACATGAACTTGCTGTGTTTTTTACGGCTAAAAATCACGAAAAATAAAAATAATGGGCTAGATTGGCAAAACCTAACGTTCTGACAGTAAGTTCCTTCCACGTATGTGTTTGTACCTCATCATTCCGGAATACTACCATAAATTTGCATCCTTGTAGAGTTTCCGTTCTTATACCATTACAAATATTGAAAATTTGAAAGTTTTATGGAACAATCTAACAGCTAGGATGGTCAGATGTTGACTACACTGTTAAATTCGTAATAGGTCTGCTTCCTTCATTTGAAGCAAGGATTATTTTACTTCATTCAGGAGAACTCACATTTATATAATTCAGAAAGTACAATAAGAATCTGTAGAAGCTTTTTGTAAAAAGCTTTTTGTATACCTAAAAACTCTAGTTATATCAACGACCACAATTATCATCAGCTTCCGCCCTCTGTCCGTCGGAGCCATCACCTATGATGTATTAGTGATGTCAATGACGTAATCATCACGACGCAACACAGAATTTCAAGGTTAGTACAAGCTTATCAATCACAAGTCTGCCTGCGTGCAACTCGCTCTCAAAATCAAGTATGGTTAGTGTTCATTTGTACAAATGTGAGACTACCGGTAATCTCGTCTAATCCTTGGGTACAGAATATCATCGTAAGTACGCAACAGTGCCTCATTAGGGGATTACGTCCATATAGACAAGCTCCGAGAAGGATCATATGCGGAAGACGTGCTTGTGGGTGACATGCTTATATAATCTTGTGAATTCGGAGCGTTATTTTATGAGATTCATTCCTAAGGGAATAGTTGATGACAAAAATTGTCTGCGCATGGAAGAGCAACAGAATTTTGTGCAAATCCACTTTCGTACGACTTCAGGGTGAAGTTCTTGAAGTAAAATCATCCAAATCAATCTCCGCTTATGTCATTCTTGTCCCTATATGGCCTTTTGACACTCTTCTATGTAGCCTTCGGAAACTTGAAACAGACATATGTTTTTCACTTTGGAACTTCTTTTTAGAGTTCCAGTTATTACAAACAAAATTTTCAAGCTAAAAATCAGCAAGGTACACCAATTTAACACCTCCATTCAGAGCTAAGTTAGCCTTTCAAGAATGTCATATTAAGTTTATTCTAGCTTACTAGCTATCTGGAGTTACCACTTGCTAAGTTTGATGACTTTGCTGCAAAATGTACGATGTACTCCGATATTGCCCTTTGCATTTTCACGGGTTTTTGAACTCCAACGTTCACGTTCCGAATCGGTTTTCAAAGAGTATGTTAAACTGCCATGCAACGATCTTCTATATTTTCTTAGGAATTTGATAATTCTTAAACGTCATCACAAAAAATGCTATTCGACGTCCATCTGGCCATAAAATTCGCGCCTCTTAACATAAACCCATGATCCAGAGATAAGAAATCTTATCAAAAAAAGAATTCAAGTTGATATGGCTTTGTCTGTTTTGATAAATTGAATTCATACGTCAACGCTGTCAGACTTGTCGTCGTCGCCGTTTAATGGAATACGGTAGGATGAAGTCGGATAATAGTTACCTTTCACGCGCATTTAAAACTAATTGCAGCTTGGGATCGTCGTTAGAAAACCATCGCAAGCTATAGTAAAAGAAAATAAACGGCTCCGATTACGGGGATCCATGAAGTACATGTTCAGAGGCAGATGTAGATTTGGTTTTGAGAAGATTGGATAGCGATTTTTGAGAAATCGACAAAAAGCTGACAGCATAAAGTGCGGTTCATAATTATACGAACACCCCAGATTTTGAAGTTTCTAGACTTTTCGGAAGAAACTCAAAAAGCCGTTGCTACCACGCGAAAGAGCACAGCCACAACGCTAATGATCTAAAAGAACGGAAATAGATGTGTCAATCTTAAGAGTGTTTATGCGCCTAGTGCGAATTTTTAGCGGTTCATAATTATACGAACACCTTAAACAAAGGTCCATTTTTCATTCAAGATTGCAATCATTTGAGTCCAAATTTTTTGAGAGTTACAGTAACAAAGTCTGACATATCTGATACACACTGAACCCAGTGCAGTTCAAAAAGAGGACCGTTACTTTTTCAGAAGGCTCTAAATGCTTTTGGAGTGATCGCGCTCCAGAAACATCTATTCTTCTGTGGTTTACTCGCTCTAATTAGCTTCTACCAAAGCTATGAGATAAAATAAGCTCTTTCGATAGGTATTTGACGCTTGGAAAATCTTTGCGTTTTTGTGCCGTTTTTAAACCAAGTTCCAACCTTACCGCAGAGTTAGCACGATTTCGAGCCTCAAAACTCAGCTTCTCTCTTGCGCAAACATTTGATATGAAGCAGCTGCATTGTTTGCATGATGATGTTTCTGTGCCAACGTTTTTGGGTTTTTTGTAGAACTGATCTTGAGACTGTGGAGCTACAAACCAAGTAAAGGTAAATTGCTAACTCTAGAGTTAGGTTGGAACTTGGTTGAAAAACGGCACGAAAACGCAAAGATTTTCCAAGCATCAAACAAAATAGCTATCGTAAGAGCTTACTTTATCTCATAGCTTTGGTAGAAGCTAATTAGAGCGCTTAAACCACAGAAGAACGGATGTTTCTGGAGCGCAATCACTCCAAAAGCATTTAGAGCCTTCTGAAAAAAGTAACGGTCCTCTTTTTGAACTGCACTGGGTTCAGTGTGTAGCAGATATGTCAGACTTTGCTATTGTAACTCTCAAAAAACTTGGACCCAATTGATTGCAATCTTGAATAAAAAATGGACCTTTGTTTGAGGTGTTCGTATAATTATGAACCGCTAAAAAGTCGCATTAGGGGCAAAAACACTCTTAAGATTGACATCTATTTCCATTCTTTTTTATCATATAGCATTTTCGGCTGTGCTCTTTCGCGTGGTACCAAGGGGTCTTTGGGTTTCTTGTAAAAAGTCCAGAAAGTTCTAAAATTTGGGGTGTTCGTGTAATTGTGAACCGCACTTTAGTTGCAGCAAATGACTAAACTGCAGCCATTAGCTTTTTCTTGCTGAGAATTTTCTTTTTTTCTGCTACAACAAAATGTCTTCCAGCCGTCACGGCATGACATCAACAAATTTTGCTGATAATTGACATTTATCCAATCCAGGCCGTCGACGATGCAGTCACATCGCCCATCCGCTTTTGATACATTTATCCCTAGTTCTCGATAAGATTTGTATGCTTGCTCA